CAAAACGAGACGGAGAGAGGAAGAGAGGAGGAGGACAGGATGCACTTGCAAAATCCTGAAACGTTCAGGGCAGATTTGTAGGGCATCTGGAACTTGAACACTGTAAACCCCCTCGGCCCCTCAAGCCCCAAAAAACCCATATAAGCCCCGCAATCTCCAGGAAGCCGCAAAAGCCACTCTTCTGCCCTGCCTTCTGAGCCAGCTCCCAGGTGCCACGCAGCCGGCCGCCGCTCCGCCGCAGGCCACCACCCCACAAATCTCGAACACGTGGAGTTGCTCCAAACCGGGTGCCTTTTATACGATGGAACCCTCGTCGTGGAAGGAGGACATATCTGACAACCTTGTGTGAAGTTCTTTCAAGTTTACGATGCCCTTCTAGATTTTCGAGTCAAAGCCAATTGTAAGAAAGGAGGCCCAAGGGAGGGAGCTGGGGAAGCAGGCGCTATTGGGCTTTAGGACCTACGGGCGTCAGTGGGTGGCATCTTCGATCCCGCGCCCATATCCCCGAAGCAAAACAGAACATGCATTTGCACAGCAGTAGGGTCGAAGGACGAAGGGGTTGCGTGCATCATGTAGTTGTTGGGCGAGGATGCGGAGGGGTGGCGGTGGTGACCGGTGGTGCTAGTCTGGTGGTTTTGACGTAGGCGATGTTTTCAGCAGCTAGGCCAGGCGCGGCCGCGTACGGCGTAGTGGCATAGTGGCATAGTGGCATAGTGGCGCAGTGGCGTGGCGTGCAATGCGGAAGCAGACAAAGGACAGCTTCGAAGCTTCATCCATAGGTACCTCCGCCTCGTGACAGAGCACCCCAGGCTGGTAACGTAAAGATTGCTGGTATACAGTGGCGACTCCGACACATGAAAGGGTTTCGTGTGTGCGGGCTGAGTAGTCTGCTGACTCAACTGCCTCCCATTGCTGTATACATGCGCTTGCAGGCTGCGCACCAGCAGCAACAGCAGGCTCAGCAGCAAGCTCAGCAGCAGGCTCAGCAACAGGCTCAGCAGCAGGCTCAGCAGCAGGCCGTCCAGCAGGCCGTCCAGCAGCAGCAGCAGGCTGCACAGCAGCAGGCTGCGCAGCCGCAACAACAGGCAGCACCTCAACAGGTGCTGCCACAGCAGCAGCAAGCTCCCCCTCCCAAGCAGCCTCCCCCACGACCGCACGTGGTACAGCCACAAGTCGTACAGCCAACTGTAGTACAATCACAGCCCGTCCAGCCAACGCAGCAGATGGCACAGATCCCGCCACAACAGGCAATGCAGCCGGGAATGGTCCAACCGGGAGTCCACCCGATGATTCAGCATCCTCAGCAGCTGATACAAATCCAGCCTCCTGGCCAGTTGCTGCTCAGATTGAACTTGAGATTCGCAGACAGCATCATGCCGTGGGGCATTTTTTAGGCTTGCGCCTTCGTATAGATTCCATGTAGCCCGTGTGCTGCCTCCCAGGCCGCAGCAGCCAGGGCCTGTGCCAGTACCAGAGCCAGTCAAGCCGGAGGCGCCTGACATCGTAGGTGGGACATCTGCGTGGAGCGCGTTTGAAAACGACATCGACGACCCTGGACCCCCCCCATATACGTGAGTCGCACAGGCTTCTTGGAAGCTCAGAGAACGGATGCCGAAGACATTATGGAGAGGAGGCAACAGAAATGAAGACCTTTCCTTGTATGTGAGACGTCCTAAAGCCTAATAGCTAGAAAGAGTTCAGCTTCTCTGAACTTCTGAAAACCTAACCAAACCTTGAAACCTCCCGGTTCATGCCCCAAAGCTCCAAAGCCCACAACAGCCGGATGGCACAGATGAAGGAGCCTTACGAAGAGCATCCGTACCTCGAGGACGAGGAGGAGGAGGCGGCATGTATGTCGGAAGTGTTTGAGATTCAACACAGCACACAGCACCACCAAACCCCATCCAAACACCCCAGACTTTCCTGAAAACCCACGATGAACATGCAAGACCCTAAAACGCCCCAGCCCTCGACCCCACATGGGGTTTACGAAAATCCACAACTAGAAGGATCCCCGGGCAAAAAGGTTCCCAATAAGGTACCCCTAATTTCGGAAACCCATCCTGACGCCAGGAGCCGCGCTACCAGCCGCCGCCAGCGGAGCCGCCTGGGCCGCGCGGGGACTCCGCGTCGGCGATCGCAGCAGCTCCGAGCGGATTTTGCTGGTTCAGTTTTCTCTGCGTGCAATGGGTTCAGGGGTCTATAGAGCTGACCCTAAACGTTTTCAATAAAACCTATAAACAGTATCCCCTAATCCTGGGTACAGGGTGTTGCAAGTTGCAAGTCCACATTGCTGTGTGCATCCCCTTTTTTTTGGCATCCCCTGGCTTCTGTAGCCAAGGCCCGCCACATGATCCAGGACGCCGGAGTGGACACCTGGTTTTTGAAACTGCCAACTGGCGACTGGGAGGAGGCGCTGGAATCTGAAGCCCCTGAGAAGCCGCAGAACCCACGAGCAACTTCAGTATTCTGCTGAAATTCAGTCCAGCGACAAGCGCTCAGTTTAGAGTTCGTAGGAGCCGATTCATGTATTTTGGCTATGACCCCCTGAGTTCAGCTATTTTGAGGTTGGTAGCTGTCCAGCCGAGGGGGTCCAAGGTAATTACAATCACTTGAGACGCGGGCTAGGCCAATCTCGGCCTGGATCCTCTGAAAACCAACCCACAAGGGAACCTCCCTAAGCATCAATCCTCCATGCTACAAAGGAAAGAAGCAAGAGGCCTAACTAAAAGCTTATGATGCTTACAGAACATACTCATAATTTCTTAATAATGTATTATGTACCATATCACATAGACTAGAAAGAAACACCGCAAAATCTAACGTGTCTTCTATGCTATACAGTAGTAATCATAAGAATAAGAATAAGAATAAGAATAAGAATAAGAAAAAAGAATAAGAATAAGAACAATAAGGACAAGAAGAAGAATCAGAATAAACATGTGAATGATAATGTCATAGTAATCGCACCAGGAATAAGAACAGACACACACGCATATGCATATTCATTCACATGTTACTTCTATTCCATTTACCCCAGGTGGTGAGGTTTTGGCCTCCGCCCGACGACTTGGAGCTGGCACGGCCGCCAAAGCTGAGACTTCGGCGGCACTTCCCCAGGGGCTTCAGATGGTCGAGGTTTAGGGTTTAGGGTTTGGGGTTTAGCGGAGTTACCAGGATGGGCTATTCTACCCTACAACCCCTTAAAACGGCCCTTTCTTGGGTTGATTCTGGGGATTGCAAGGTTACAATAGCCCATGCTGGTAGGGTTTAGAGGGTGTATGAGGTTCTAAGGACCCACAGTCGCTTCAGAAGGTCGAGTTAGGGTTTATCGGGTTCTAAGGTTTAATGCCAGGGTTTATAGCGGTTAGGGCTCTAAGGTTCATTGTAGGCTTTATAGGGTTTAGTGTTTAGGGACGTAAGGTTTGGTTCAAGGGGCATAAGGTTTAGTTAGAAGGTTTATAGTGTTTAGGGTTTGTTGCTGACGTACAATGCAGAAGGTCGGATAGATGGGCTCGACAGTTGCTTGCTTTGTCATCGCACCTCGTGTTGTTCCAACACATGAGTCGAGCAGATAACCGGGCGCACGCGCACGAAGCTGGATGCAACAAGTTCAGAAAGGGCTGGGGTTTGAGCACACGGGGCTATATCCAGAATCTAGTCCCGGGATTGAATGGTCCAGAGTGTTCAATAGTTTACGGAACCTTCCACGCAGAGATCAGGTGTACCGGTAGAGTACACGTAAGCTCAGGGCTAGAGTCCTGCAGTTGGAAGTTGGGTGTTGATGCTAGGTCTCCTCCAGGCTTTGATGTCGCATGGGTTCGACAAAAAGAGCCCTAGGATACTGGAGCCACGTACAGAGCCAAGGAAGCGAAAGCCGAAGCCTGACAACTGGACGCTTGGCAGAAGACAGAGCCACCATTGGACAGAGGGCCTACTAGGATGACGGTTTAGGCCTGTTGCGGGTGGAGTCTTGTAGGGAGGGCTGGGTGCGCTTCGTTTGGCTTATGATGGCGCATGTGGTATTCGCAACATGCACACCTGACAAGGTCTCGGTAACTACCCGGAAACCTTAGTCCTCGTATGGCCCTGAGCTGCGCAGAACGCTGGTTCAGGAAGGTTCGCTCCCTGGCGATGCGCTCTCAGCGGCACGAGGAGACATGTGCCCGGGTGATTGACCTGCCGAAGGAACCAGGCCCAAGTCTCCCAACCCAGCAAAAATCATAATTAATAATTTTCATCATCAGAATAAGAATAGAATAGTTTTTTGAAGAATTTGGATAATGATAATAATCATAATCGGAACAATAAGAGTAATACTAATGGTTGTGTTGAACCCCCCGCCTCTTGACAGTAGAGTAGGGCGGCCATACATATGCTGCCCGCAGTTAACCGTGTTGCCCACAACCCGCATGGGGCAAGGGGGCGCACGGGCTAGTGGATAGTCGATGCATTGTGTGAGTACGAGGGTTTGTGGTTGGCGTATTTGCCGAGCACGTCTGGCTGGGATTTTAGGAAACTCAATGTGGTGAGTTGGCGTGACAGTTGTGTGGTTTGGAATCGGCCTGGGCATGCTCTGCAAGGACCCTGCGTTCCGCGAGGGTCGCGGATGTAGCAATGTCAGACAAGCAGTAGCTGCTCGTTTCATGAGAGCCACCGAGACACGCAGCCCAAGCACAGAACAGCCAGCAGGAGATGGTCCGCGCGCTGCTTGCAGCGCAGTCGCTTGGTTTGGAGAGCTGCGAGGGAAGCTTTGGATGTTTCATGGTTTTTTACTGTAGGCTTTTCCGGCTTTTCGATTTGGATAAGCCGGAGTTGAACCTGAGCTCAGGGCGTAAACGTTGTTTTTGGGTCAAGGTTTGAGAGTTTCACGGGTTTTCATCCTGCCAGTGTAGACCATGCAGTCCCAAAGTCCCAAACAGGGTAGAGCTAGAACTCGACTCGTTTGGGCTCACAGCACCGCGCCCGCAATGCGCCGGGCGCTGCGGTCGCTTGCAGCCATGGGCATCGCTGAGCAGCTGCGCGCCGTGCAGGACAAGGTGCCCCGGACATCCCCCTGGGCCTCTGAGCGGACTGAAACGTGATGTCGTAGCTTCAAATTTCACTTAGGGACGCGCCACTACACTTCAAGTCCTTGTCTTGTGGGTGCACGTTGCACAGGAGCACGAGAGCCAGTCAGGCCTGTTGTAGCCTGTAGCCTCGTCCCAAATCTCTTGGAGGTTCAGACGGCCGCTGCGACACGTGCGGCCGCGCTGAAATCTGCGGAGGCGATCTGATGCGATCTGCAGGTTCGTTAACATTCATTCACCTCCGTTGGCTCACTTCAGAAACGGGTCGAGACCGCTCTTCCAGGCTTGCAGGATGATTGGGGGACGTTCCAAGTTCCAGCAGACGACGTGGGCAAAACATACATACATGATCAGATGCAAGCAGAGTCATCCCGCGTTAGACATAAAGCAAGGTTTGCACCTCCCCACCCCTGCAGGCTCCCGTAAGGCTCGTTGCAGTGAGCAAGACGAAGCCTGTGGAGGACCCTGCTTCTGGGGTTGTCAGGGTTTCGGAGTTCAGTGAGACCTGGATGCAAAAGTGCTTCATGGGGGTGGCGGTTCTGATTTTTTAACCTCAGCTACGGAGACATGTCGCTCTTTGAGGACTGCATAGTTTTCTCATCGCCAGGACAACACCGTTCTAGTTCTATACCGAGGATCAAAACATCGCACACAAGAAGAGTCTGATCATGTGGCTCATGATGGTTCGCACACCTCCTCTCGACTGCACCAGACAGCCCCAAACAAATAAGTCTAAACCCTAAACCCTAAACCCCTTAACTAAACCCTAAACCCTAAACCCTGTGAGAGGTGAGAACCTTCCAACCGAGTCCTTGCCTGCCTTGTGCGAGCGCGAGAGCCGAAACCCTGTGAGAGGACCTGAAAGAGGCATACGATGCGGGGCACAGAGCCTTGGCTGAAGTCTTCTTTTATGGCTGGTTCTTAGTAGGGAATGAGGGAATGAGGTACCCTGTATAGTCCCTTCAAGGGTATATACAAGGCCCTAATTCCCTCATTCCCTACTAAGAACCAAGGGTTTTTCGGGTTTGCAGGTTGCAACTACGACTTGCACGAGGAACTGCGCACGCTCCAACATAAATCCTATCTTCCTCTACAGTTTAGGGTTTAGGGTTTAGTAGTTTAGGGTTTAGGGTTTAGGGCACCGGGTTGGCTAAGCCTGAGTTTAGGCCCTAAGTCCACCCAAGCACTGGGAGGAAGATCAATGCTGTGCTCTAGAGCACGGCTTCTATCTGATTGGTAGGGCCTTCAGTTCTTGTGTCAAAGCAGGTCTTTGGGCATCGGTTTTTGTGCATCTTGCAGCAGTTGGGTAAGAGGGGCGTGAAGCCTCAGCACATAGACTTGCACCTGACACAGGACATTTCGGGGAGAATTACGTGCAGGCCTCTCTGATTGCAGCTTGATGCTGGACGTTTAATCAAAGCTGAAGAGTGCATGCGGACAATCGGAACCTGTTCGTCAAAACATAGGTGGATTTTGGATCCTGCGGCGCATGGTGGGTGATCTGTCTGGTCATTGTTAGCAACGCCGTTTTGCAGCTGGTGAGACAGGGTGCATGGGGCCAAAGAAAGCCACTCTGCTTTCCAGGAGATTGTAGACAAGAGCCCCCAGCTCCCTGCAGACGTGCAGTGGCACTTCATCGGACATCTGCAAGGTGGGGATGTGTCGGGCGTATTCGGCATTCGGCTCAAATATGGTCTGGCTGTTGTTATAAACTGTATGAGCCCTGCAAAAGAAACCCTAAACCCCGAAACTACCCCCCCCCCCAAAAAAAAAAACACAAAACAAAACCAAACCCTGAAGAAAGACACCCTTGGCATCCGCAGGCAACAAGGTGGGCATGTTGGTCAAAGGCTGCCCCGGCCTTGCTTGCCTAGAGAGGCTCAGCCCAAAGGATGGCCAGGGTGGGGCCCGGGCTTAGGGTCCAAGTTGTCTGAGCTTTTTTGTTTTTTGTTGGGGTTTAGGGTTTAGGGTTTAGGGTTTAGGGTTTAGGGTTTAGGGTTTAGGGTTTAGGGAGTCCTCTGGCAAAAGGGTTTAGGGTTTACTGCACCGTGGCTTTGGTGCCCGTGCGAGCTCTAGCACTCCTTGCGTGTCCTGTACCAATCCCCAATCCCATTCGGGTTTCCGTTTCTCTCGCCATTCACTAGGTTTCCGGCGGCTCGTCGTGGCAGGAAAGCATTGACTTCATTTGGTGGATGTGATGGAGCAAGGTTTTGCAATGCTCTGGAACTCCAGTGAAGACAGTCCAGTATTTTCGTGTGGCCTCGAACTTGGGCTGGAATTCTAAATCTCACCCAGGACGATTGACAGTGAGAAGCTCGCGCGGGCTGTGGATAAGGCCTGGAAGGCGCCGCTGGCTTAAAGATGCGTTCAGCCTTATGGCGACCATTGTGGCGAGCTTACGCTGGCACTGTCTCGTAAATGATGAAAAACGGTGTGAAGGAGCTGTTTCTGCCTGTGTAGGCGCAGTACCCGGACCGGCGACTGCGAGTAATGGTGCCTGGGCCTGGGTAAGGTTGCCAGGAGCAGAATTAAGTTTCGGCTGCGTGTTGGCTGCCCCGCTAAGCAGGAGTACTAAGGCTAAGTTCTCACCATGTCTCAGATACCCTTCAGTTGCAAAAAGGGGCTTACTCATGTCAAAGGGCCTAGCCTGTTGCTCAGGTGCAGGTGAATTCCAGTGGCGAAGAGTCCAAGCCTCTCGTTCTGCATGTCGATTTTTGTTATGCATTTTTAGGTTTTTTCGTTGGGTCACACGGTCACAGTCTCTTCATATCCAGACTTCAGGATCAGACATCGCAATCGCACTTACTTTCCTGTCAGATAGAGTTAGTGAACAAGCCGAGCCTCCGAACCGTAAAAATGAAAGAGCCACAGACACAGGAACGGCGTGGAGCCCAGTGAGGTCGCGGAGCTTTGCAAGGTCATTGCCAAGGACCCGATTTTTTGACATGGTGGAGGGATGTGGAGGGCCTGGAAGATTAGGACGATGCTCGGTGGCAGGGTTCGATAGAAGGATCGCTCCAAAAAGGGGTGAAGAGGGCTCCTGCCAGTATGGCTGCCTGTCTACGCCGTGCAAGGTATCGAGATCCCAGGAGCCTCTGATACCCTGGGACCCAAGCAAGCTTTATATTGAAGACTGAACACAATTGCCTTGCAGAAGCCCCAAGCAATCTCCACCCAAATCCAAATACCTTGAAGCTCCATGCGGAAGTGCCCGAGGGTCAAGAGCCCGAAGCCTCAAGACTCTGAAGTCATCCCGTTGAACTAAGTCACCCTTCCCCCCTGTCTCAGGAGTGCGAGGGGCTTGAGCTCGGGGGGCTGATGACCATTGGCGCCCCTGAGCCGTGCCTTCATAGACGCTTTTTCAGCTTCGATTTCATGCCAGCTGGTAATGTATATATGAAGAAGCCAACCAATGATCGCGATTAAAGAATCGTGGCGATGTTTGCAGTAGAGGGGGGGGGGGGACTAGGGCTCTGCTGTCTGTAACAGGGCTTGCTCCCAAACGTGGTTTTTCCCAGTTGTCATTTCGTTCGTTGGTATGTGTTCCGGCTAAAAGCTTCACAACCGCGGGAGGTGGATGTTGGAGCTGTCCAAGAGGAGGGTATAAGGAGTTCCTTGATGGGAATCCAGATGCCAGGATACTACAAGTTGGACTAGTCTTGGCACTGACCGACACTGAAGCGAGTTGTGAGCGCTTAACCCTTCGCCATTGCAAGGACTACAGCGGCTGCCGCACGGAAGACTTCGAGCTTCTTCGCGTGAGCTTGATCACTAAGCCTTGGCCCTCTCTTGGGTCATCTTCAGCCCAGGTCTTTGATGAAGTGCCGTGAGGAGGCAGCCGCAGCCATCGGCTGCGGCGTGGAGTCCTTGGAGCCCTGGGGCGCAGTTTTACGGGCATCGAGTCGGTAGATTGTTAGTTTTAATGTTATTGATAGTATTGATATTATTTGGTAATTATTCATATTACTGACGAAATGTATAGAAATGTATATTGTGAATATTGTTCATATTACTAATAGTCTGAATATTTTTCATTTTTTAATACTACTAATGCACCGCCTTTCTGCCGTGTGGGAATGGGGAGGGAGCGTATGACTGGGTTCAACTTCCGCATTGCTTGATGGAGTTGTGCGTGACATGCATGCTGGACGTATACAGGTGCGCGTGACAGTGCGTCAGTGCATCTACAAGTTCAACGACCTGTACATCCCAATCCCTCCAACGTCTTCCCAGGAGCTGAGCATGGGCATGAGCGCAGACTACGAGAATGCCATCCGCGAGGGCAGCACCCCAACGAAATTTGAAGGCGTTCCCCCAACCCAAATCATCAAGCTCTTGTGTATGGGCTGGCACGGAAGTGCATCGCGCTCACTGGTCGACGCCATCATTCTTACACAGACCTACCTTGCAACTCTTGTGTGCCCGCGCTATAGGAACCTGGTACGCAGGTACAATCTGGTATACATCTTTCAGGCGCTTAGGCGTCCTCAGCAGCTCAGCCAAGGCACATCCGTGCGCGTGGGCTCGTCTATCTTTGGGGCCCGTCATTACCCGCCAAAGTGAGCCGGTCGAGGGCACAGAAGAAAATGGTTTGGGTAAGTAGGGGTTTGCGGCAGTTCGGGAGTTGTCCCTACTGGGCGTGGGCATTATGGAGAGCAGTGGAGAGCTCCATTGGAGGACCCGCTACAACGGGTCCTGTGCAGACCAGGCATCACCGCGTTGATAGCATACAGCAGCCTGAGAACCCTAAACCCGAAACCGTACAAACAGCGGGTGCCAAAAACCCTGCAAAAGTGGTGCCTCCCATGCCGAGAAAGCGCGCCCAGGGTTGCCTTACCCAAAGTTTTTCCGATGGACCGTTTTTCGGCCAAAGATGGCCCCTTTGGTTGAGATCTGTCGGCACGATTCTTCTATAATGCAGTAGACTTCTGATTCGTACTATTAGTATTAGTATATCAGTATATTTTCTTTATATATTGTCATTCGTTTTTATTTTATATACTATTGCATATTTTTATATGCTTTAATGTATTTGTCTTACCTTCATTATCGAGGTCGTAGTCGAGCCCCGCAAAGCACCCTGTAACTGGCAAAGCCACGCTGTGCGGGCACTGCCGGGACAGTTCTCACTGTGGCCCCTGTGCTTGCGTGCTTTAAGGCACGGCCGTCTCACCTCAGCACGGTCCAGCGATGAGAGTCTGGGCGCTCCCGTCGTGTACACCAGAGACAAAAACCGGTAGATGGGTACATGCGAGGCAAAAAACAGGTGCCAATGTGGAAGGCCAGGGCAATAGCCTAGCTCAGTAGGATGGGCCAAGCCCATGCGGCAAGCCTCAACACCATGGCCCTATGGCGCATAAGGAGCTTGCTACCTGGGGATATGTATGGATGTTGATTGTTTTTAGCTGACTGGTGACATCGCCTGAATTACAAATCCAAGGTCAGAAACAATGCCAGAGGGATTTCGAATTTGGACGTTTCGGTCGCGGGATGCAAGGGCAAGCGAGAGCGATCGTTGTGGCTGAGGCTCCCAAAGGCAGAGTGGCTCTTCAGCACCTTGAGGGCAGCCTACAGTTCCCAGCTTCCAAAAAGCGAAGTGAAGTGAGGCCGAGAACGCAATTTGACGCGATAGATCACACTTCAAGCCCTGTGACTGTGTCGCACTCGCGTGTGGCATCATCTTCCGAAGGCCGAAACGAGCGCATAGAGGAGGGCCGATCCTAATTAGGATCCGTCAAGTCTGGAAAGCTTCAGGTATTGGATTGCCGCTGTTTAACCTTGCGAAGTGCTTTGTCTCTTCAGTTTAGTAGAACAGAGGGCACCCTGCGATTTGTCGTGATTCTCCCTGCACCTACATAGATTCCAGGCTTTCAGAAAGCCGCATTTCCCCACGACCACAAGAGGCATAACCGGGTTTGCAGTTGCCGGGCAACCTCGCAGGTTCCATCGCAGCTTGGCCCAGAGTCTCCCAAGTAGACTGGCCATGGCACGTGTCATGGCTAGTCGCGGGGACAGCTTCGAGACACAGCATTTTAGCGACGACCACGCCACTGATGGATCTGCGATGCCCAGCAGGAGCTGCCTCGAACTTTTGCATCCTCACCCTTTCTCCTTTTGGGGCCTGTACTTTTACATACCCTCTCAGGCAACAGGCAGTCGTAGTTCATGTTACTCTGAGGGGTGGTTGAGGAGTCTGGGATGAGGGCTCGGGTTGCAAGCTGACAGGAGTTGCACCGATGTGCCCTGCCTTGTGGTCTTCCTGGTCTACGTGGCGTGCATGCTGGGCATCAGTCTCTATGCCTTTGAGAACGGGCAGCCCCGTCGGCTGACGCATGGCTTCAACTACCAGGGTCAGCTGTGCGGAGTCAGCAAAGCAGTCGTCGATAAGCCCATGCTCTTCTGGTGCCCCAAGGGTAACAGAACTCTGCATGGCCACCCGGCAGATTTAGATATGGAGCATCCGGTGTGCTTGACGAAGTGCCCCACCGAGCCCTCCTCTGTCCATTGCTTCGACAACCCGACAGCAAAAACAGAAGTTCTCGGCACGAGCTCGCGCTTTCATTCTGAGCAGATCACCATCCAAGAGAGAACGGTGACAAAGCAGGCATACCCCTCAGCTGCCTTTGCCGGAATGTTTTGCGTGCCACATTTCCACAAAGAGATTGGGCACATCCTTGGGGACGAGCCCTTGGTAAAGGAGCGCTGCGACTGCTTCTCTGCAGCCGACCATCACAGCTTGTCTTATGCATATGTAGAATATGCATAGTGGCAGAACTACACTCTTTTTTCACATGTACACACAACCGTGTGCAATGCGTATTCGGGAAAGTCTAACAGGAACATGCTCGCGTACACACACAGACATGCATGCATACATACGCGCACACACACACACACACACACAAACACACACACACACACACACGCACACACACGCACACACACACACACACACAAACACACACACACACACACACACACACGCACACACACACACACACACACACACAAACGCTTGCACACATGCGTGCACACATGCACGTACATATGCACATGCACATGCACGCACACGTAGACACACACACACACACACACCTACACATACACATACACGTACACGTACACGCACACACACATGCATACACACAGATCCACCCTGTCATATATGTATATAGAGCACATGTACATATGGTTTCACAAAGATAGGCTCTCTCCATCTGTCTGTCTGTATGAAAAGTCCCCAGTGGCACCCATGTGCCATGGAAGCCTTGCTTTAAGCCTGCTGTATGGGCAACTCTAACCCACCAATTCGCAAACCTTGGCTGGCATGTGCCTGTCGTCAAACAGGAACGCCTTCAAGTTCTATAAGCCCCAAACCCTAAACGGCAGGAGCTTCTCGGCAGCCATGGGCCCATCGGAAATGGCTACTTCCGCACCGCCGCGGCTCTGGGTAGCTTGTATCGGTCCTGGCAGTTGGTGGTGGCCGCAGTGTTCCTTTCAGTTCTCCTCAGTTACCTGTACCTCTTTGCGTTGAGGCTTGGGCCGCCATGGGTCTTGCTGTTGAATCCTGCACTGCACGTTGCTTCGTTACCGTCCTTGTTTGTATATCTGTTCCGCCACAGGTGCGCGCCCTACGGGACCACCATGAGTAGCATCGTGGTCGTGATGGCCGCGAGCTTGATCCTTGGCGTGTATTTCCTGCTCGCCGACAAGCTGTGGGGCTCCACGCTGACGCAGTACCAGAACACCAATCAACTCTACAAGCAGTTCGATACAGATTACGCGCGATGGGTCTCCAAGGTGCTCTGGGATGCATGAAATGAAAGTTCATAACCCGTCGGTGTGATATTTGACTGCGACGTTTATTTCTTCTAGTGATAGTGGCAGCGCTTATAATTAAGTTGCCACAGGGCATTCTCTGTTGCAGCCAACTTGTATCCCAGCTTCCTTAAACCCACCTGGTCGACCCAAGAGTCCCAGGGAACGCATACGTGAAGTTAAAGGTGCTTGCTTGCTTTCGTATCCTTCCGAGTTGGAGTGCGATCGTGGCAACCCGTTGCCACCACGGGTGATCGGTATAGAACTTAGTTGGGCGCCATGCATGCCATGGTTGCCATCCTGCTGCGTGGCCTACTATGCCCCAAACTTCGTGGTCACAGGAGCTTCTTTGCAAATCGGCCATGAAGCTGATGGAGAGGCCACACAGGTGGCAGGAGAAGCGTTCCTGGCTCGGCCACCATCTTGGCAACATCTGAGGAGGAGGAGGTTATCATGCCAGTAGCTGTCAACGGAAGTCGTGAGCCTGACGACTTGATGTCGCAGGAGGCGCACGTGCTAGACCCAGGCCACCGTACCCACGTCGAGCTACGACGTGAGCTTGAGGTTGCAATGGACATAGTGGAATGCCACGTGAGCTTGGTGTCGCCTTGGTCAGTGTCCCATGTTCGAGCCAACGGAGGGTCTTGTGATATGCGGTTTTGTTCTCCCAAGTGCGCGTGCTCACGAGAACAACCTTAACTACTATCATGCCCACGTTGCTGCTACACGCCGGCCCTGTGTTGACTTGGTCTCTGGCTTTCCTTGGCGAGATCGGGCAAAATAGGCATGCTAACTCGAACTCAGAGGCCGTAGGGTTCGGCAGGGGGCATGCCTGGATAGGCAGGCTGGGATAGAGCGGGGGAAGGGGATGTCGTGATCGCGAAAACATGCGACTGGAGGTGCTGGGTCTACTTCTCCTGTGCACCTTCGGCTTTATGCTTTGTGGCTTTGCGGCCATCCGCCAGAACATCCAGGATGCTGTGGGCTGCGTGCGGGTGTCCGTGGAGTGCGTCTTCAGCATGCCAACGATGATGCTGACGCCCATCTTCGAGGCTGCTCGAGGGTTTGGGGAGGGCGGGGGGGGGGGGGGGGGGCTGTGCGGTAATTAGCCCAGGCAATATTGATCTCGTTTCGCAACATTTTCATCAAGATGCTGGAAAGAAATGCTGAGAAACATTTTGCCTAATTTGGATCAGGGTGCCCTCGGTCCCTGAGACACCTCCACAGCTTGTCGGGCCTCTGGAACTTTGCATGAATGATTCGCGAAACAAGACCTGAACAAAGGCCTCATACTCGCGAAATTCTGGCCTGCAGTGTGGGATTTTTGCTCGGCGGGTGGTGAAGAATCCTTAAGTTCCCACACTTGAGTTAGCAAAGGTTTTGCCAAAATGGGACCCACAAAGCCGTGGCTTTGTGGGTGCGACCTTGGGGTCTTGGCCTCGGGAGGCTTAGAAAACAAGAAGTCCAGCGCCTCATTGGCTCAACTTGAGGGGGTGTGTGGGGGAGGGTGCAGGGGAAGAGGGGGGGGGGTGGGGCCGAGATTTGGTCCCCTTCATTATTCATTTGGTCACCCCTCCTTCCCGACCTGCGCAATACTGCTCGGAAAGAAAGTCCCAGCTCGGATAATCGAATACACTGGTTGGCCGTCCTTCTGCTTTTGGATCCCCATCTTTGATAACAGGCTCGAAAACGAAAACCGAGGCCTAACCCATCAGAACAAGCATTGCTGCCCCAAAGCTACGGCAGAAACTCTCTACCAAAAAGCCCTGCACCCGAAGGCCATCTTCAAGCTCGTCCTGTGGTTTGGACTCCTGAGCAGCTTGATGTGGCTGCTCGGGACTGCAGAAGTGCACCCAACCAACCTCGGCGAGGCGGGTGCACTCTGGGTCCAAACGAAAAACCCTGAAAAAAAAAACAAACTTGGAACAGGTTTCCTTAAGCCCTGGGCGGATGCACCCAATTGGTGACCTCAACGTCCCTCTGTTTTAGCCATGCATGACATATATTCATGTATTAATGATATGATGTGATATGATGTGATATGATGTGATATGATGTGATGATATGGTATGATATGATATGATGTATGTATATATACATATAGAAAGATAAAATGTACATGGTAGTTATATACTACATACTGTGCATAGTCCATCGTACAGCTTGGGGCAGCCTCTGTTGCCTTGCAGACGCAGGGGCGTTCGCGCCCACAGGCAGTCAATCAATCAATCAATCATAGTCCATGTCAATATTGCACGAATGTTGCTTTTTGCATTGTCTTACATTACGTGGACCATTGTGTCATGTATTGTATCATGGGTAATGTAGTATAAATATATACATACATGTACATATATATATATATGTATATATATGTATTATATGTATACATATACACACATATACGATGGTGTGCAAATCTGTCTAGGCCGGTGATTTTTGGTTCGGCACAGCCCGGCAACTGGCGCTTTGGCATGCACATCTGTCCGAAAGCAGAATAAGCTTCACAATCAGACCTAGCAATACGAAAACAGTAATACTACATATACTGGTATACAGTACTGATACTAGCATGAATGGCAATACCAATTAGACTTAGACGTCATTCTAAGCGATTTCCCTGGCTGAGGTTGCCATACTCTCTCGCGATGGTGGGCCTTCATGACCGTTAGCGTTCAGTCATACCCAATATGAACCGATCCCCCCAAATCTTTGAACCCGAGCCAGGCCGTGTGCGATTTGCCGAGGTTTTCACCCTGGACCAGAAGATTATGCTGACCATCTACCTCGTAGGAATCACATGGCTTCTAAGCGGCTACAAGATGGGGGGCAAGAGTTGGAGCACATGCGCGCGCGGGGGTTGAACTGTCCGCCTCTATTGCTGCACAGGCTCAGGCAGCGCAGGGTTTGGCGCTCATTGGGCCGGTTGCTATACGGCCCTCATGCTTGGAGGTTCATGAGTAGTTAGAAGTAGGGTTATAAGCATGGTCATTCTACTTACAACCCCATTTGGGGCACGTATAACACTACTTAGAACTACCCATGAACCTCCAAGTCCCTCCAAAGCCTGGGTTCCATTCCTGGGAACATGGTTAAAATCCAGAAAGAAAGAGCCTAGAAGCTCCAAGCTTCTGACCACAAGATCCACATGAGTTGGGATGTAATCGGGATTATAATAGGGGGTACTATAATCCCTATTAAGGACTGTTAGTAAAGGGCGAACATCCCAGCACATGAGGTTTGTGGAGTTCACCAAGCACTTTGCGACCTTCGTCGTGACCTATGGCGTGTTTCTCTGGTACTACACACCAAAACCCAAAGGGTGGGGCCCGCAGTTTCCGCTCCCTGGCTCATGAGGCATTGAGTCTTTGCCCACACGATTCTTTGGGTTTTTGCAGGCTTGAAGGGCGATGTTTCGTTGTGCTCAGAATCGACCTGCGTCGCATCATGTCGCATCTGAGCGTCGCCCTCGGGTTCAAGGAATTACACGGGTCCCCACAGGAAACCGCACCATCGGTTCGTCCCTTTTGCAGTTCTGCTAGGAATGCACACGTCTGATCTGGGTTGAGCACCAAGCATCAGAAATCTGCCCCTCACCAAGCATGATGCTGCCCTTCTGCTCTCTCCCAACTCTAAACCCAGCTAAACCAGCCTCGAATCTTCCCAGAAAACAGAGCCTTGACACCAAAGCCGATTGTAAGGTCACCACCATCTTATTCACCAGAGAACCTTAGAAACTTATTACTGCAACGTATTGTAGCTAAAGGTTCCCAACCCAGCCTGACGGCCTCAAGCCCGACCGAGGCTGACTCAAGGACTGTGCGTGGGACTCGTCTACCACCTTGGCACCATCGCATTCGGCCCCTTGAGCCATGCAATGTCGATCTTATGGTTTTGAAGTTGTCCACCCTATATCCGAAGCCATGGCGGAACGTTTTTAGTGTATGCTGATGTCAAAGCACTGCCCATCCGAAGATCCAGGCCTGACAACAGACAGAGAGGTCCCACGAACTCACAACCTCTCGCCGAAAAAGAGTGACTACGCGTTTGCCGTCCTTTCCGCACGCGCGGCAGCTTGAATTGAGCACAAACGAGGCTCCTTTCTGATTGCCCTGACTCGGCCATTCCGCATCACCTTCCTCTGGCTGTCACGCCAAGCCAAAGGTGGCGAAGGACTGCAATGCCATATGCAGAGAAAGACGTCGCGAAGTTCGGCAGGGTATGGAGTTTTGGAGGGGTTGGAGCGAGGGATGGGGATGCTTGGCGGTTGACCTTAAGGGGTTGAGTAGGATTCCGGGGGAGGTGGGGAGAGAAGATGCCTTAGAGAGAAGAGAAGAGGGGGGAAAGAAGAGGGACTGCACAGCGTTTGCCACCAGCGCCTGGACTGGCACAAGGTTGGCCCTCACTACCACCTACCCCACGGGCTCCCTGCGCCTCAAGTGCGGAGCCTCATGCCTTGTGAAAGAAAGAGCCTCATGCACTTTGAGGGGAAAACAGATAACGGCCCCACACAGTTGCGTGCAGTTTCGTTCGACCTTGGTTCGGCCGTACAGAATGCACTGCAATTGCCCTGAAGGAAATGCCGTCGTGGTGTTGGTGGCCTCTTTCTGCAGTGCCTGCATCAGCTTCACGCAGAGATTCTCGGATAGACATGTTTTCGACCAGTGATTCGACGGTGCTCGCAATGGCAGGTCAAGGTCGTTGATTACAGCCGAAGGCCGTGTGGACATAACCCATTTCATAAGATGTTGCATTCCAGGAACTTTGGTGGTGCGCATGCGGCGCCAAGTGCTGTTTGTGCGGGCCTTGCTGTTGGTAGGCAAAACGGACCCCTATAGCCCTAAGCTACAACCTCAGGCCCCTCTGCGGGCAGAGCCAGGAGCCCGAAACCCAAAGAGGCCCTCTAAGTCCGAGCCTTGCCTGCGCGTGCGCTAGCCCTGCGCTAGCTGTGCGCTAGCTGTGCGAGCCGAAGCCCAAAGCCCTAAACCCCACCTTGAAGCGATGGTGTTCCTGTGGCCTAGGAAACTTGGAGTTCGTCACCAAGGCTGCCGGTGGTGGATGTGTCAATCGTAGCTTGCGGTTTCGGGAGCCAGGGATTATTCCATCTTGGAGGATGTATGAAGGGGGCCACAGTTGAGGGGGGTTTGGCAAGGCTGCCTACATGGACGTGGTGCTTTCTGCGACGCCCTTCATGGTGGCGGCACAGACTCTCGCCAGATGACCAAGGTGTCAGGTGGAGGGAGGACAAGATCAACAGTAGTTATTTACGGGGCATCCGGGCATCTCCCTGGCACGGGTAGGTCTTCAGGGCATGAAGGGTTTGCAAGCTTTTGAGCTTGCGATCGCAAGTCCTTGGCTTGGTTTAGAGTAGTTGGTCCCCCGTGGCTCAACCCCAGCTAGTGGTTGGACCTTGTTTCGTGCGGGCCGCCGGTGTGCAGTTAAGCGTCTGGTCAATCGTCTTGAAAGGGTTTGCCAGGTGACACTGTTTTCGGCAAGCATGAAGTCCGGAGTCAAGTGACACAATCCGCTATACGTAGATGCTTCCCAGTTTTCGCGGTTCCCTACAAAGTCCACTTTCCTCGGGAGTGGACCTTCGGTGGGTACCCCCTTCTACTGCTTGAGCCGATTCAATGACACTAGCTAATATGTTTCCGTCATACCATCACAGCCCCTGAAGCCTAGCTCCGCTATCTGCAGGAATGCGCACGGTTTCATTTCAGCGGACCTCGGCAAGATTGCCAATCTGACAGGTGCGCCCGTACCCGAGTTGAGATGTGAGCTACTGAGTCTGGCCGCTGTGCAAGCGAGGACGTGGGATTCATTTACACGCCATGCGTCTGCCATGCGTAAGCCAACTCTTCCTTGTGGCTTCATACCCACAGTTTCCAACTCAGAGGTAAGTTGACAGCATGAAATGTCCAACTCAATCGCCACTGGCACCAACACCTCATACATCTTCCTGGAAGCTGCGACCCCCCCGCTTTATCCCAAACCTCGGCCTTGCGCATGACCCTGCAAGGGATTTTTCACAAGAACGCATTAATTCTGAAACTCCCCAACAAGAAACGAGAAGTGAAGGATGGCTTAAACGCACCCCCATTGCTCGGCCCTTTGGCATCTTCAATATTCCTTGTAGCTATGTCGGCAGGCCCTGCATCCCCGCGAGCCTGAGGTGAAAGAGAGGGTTTCGGGGCAGGGTTTGGGGCCTAGGGTTTAGGGTTTGAGGGTTTAGGGTACCCGACAGGTGCTGTGTGGATCATCGGCTTTGCAGTCGTCGCCAGCGTCTTCACGGTGACGGTTCTCACCATTTGGGTTCTCCTGACGCCGCTGCACCTGCGGCAGGCAGGGCTCAGCAGGGCCCAGGGTTGTGTTGGAAGAGCTTGGAGGGTTATATATATATATATGTATGTGAATGTGTGTGCGTGTAATTAATATATGTATATGTATATATATATATGCATATATATATATATATATATATCATGCGTAGATATATATAGAGAGGGAACGCACCCCCTCCCACTATCACCGAAGTACGGCTTTTCCTGCATGTATGCACGAATCGTTGTGTGTAATTCAGCGAGACGTGTGGCCCGAGTGGTATCTAGAATCGAGGTAAATGTCCGCCCACAACCCCAGTTCGAAGAAGACTTGATCTTGCTTCTATAGTACTATACTAGCCGAGTTGAACAGTTCTTTGATTTAATGAAGTCTTCTTTCATGAAACAGTTAGTAGCGTCAACCCCGAGCTAGATCATCACATATCAAGGACTGTTGTTTCCGCAAAGATAAAAACAATGCCTAATACGAATGTGTAGCTTAACGAATCAGAACAGTAGCGGTGGCCTCAATTAGGCGACGGTGCATTATGTTCATGGTGTTTTGATAATACAGGTAATCTAGTTGCTGCAGTTAGCTTGACATGGATTAGCGCTCCTCGTCATAGTTGGAGGCCAGTTTGCTTAAACCAGTTAAACAGTTAAAACCGCTGAGAGAGTCAAATGGTCAGTTATATTCAATGGAACTGGCCCCCAGTAGTCACAAGACCCTTAACATGTTGAACTAACATACGGCTACTGTGAGGGGCAGGTTCTAGCCCTGCGTTATCCTGCGTTGGTTTTAGGTGACCACTGTGAAGCTCAGCTCCATGCAATGGAAAAATGGTATCAGCTTTCCATCTGAAAATTTTCGGCGGCTGTAGACTTGCAGACTCATCCAGCCCAAACCCGAAGAACCCGACAACCTCACGACACACAACACAAACACACCGACAACTTGGGAGTCTAAGCCAATTTCGTACTATTGTAGATATATATATATATACACACATATATTTGTATCTCTATAATTTGTATCTCCAAAATTAGCCGAAGAGAAAGAAAGGGAGACTAGTATTTGGGCCCTGGAGTACTGGTGGCCAGTATATTTTTGTGGTTTTCGTTTTCTTAGCTTTTTGGTGCCCGCGCTTCTGGACCACCATATTCTCTGGAAGCTCCATGGGGTTAGTAGATAAACACATAATTCTGGACCACCATATTCTCTGGAATCTCCATGGGGTTAGTAGATAAACACATAAGAATGCATTTTTAACAGTAAGTATGTATAGATATATAGATATATATAGATATATGTAAACTTGTCCATTATGCTATATTCTTGTTATATACAAGAATAGGTTCTTCTCTTTAAGCGGGCAGTCTGGAGTTCCCCATCCTCAGCCCATGACCTATCGGCCAGATCACGCCCGATCACACCCACAGCCACATTGAGAATCCCTACTTTGTGCCTTGGCCGAATCAGAGAGCCGAAGCTTCGAATACCTGGTTAGTGCCGAGGTGCAGCCCTTGAGCTGATGTCCTTCCAGGCAATGCTATGGTTCACAGCGCAGTGCAATGTACATGTTCTTCAGCACACCAAGAGCGGTTCCAAGCCAAGCATACAGCAACGAAAAGAATCATCAGGTGAGTTGCAGCCTGGCACTGTCAGAACTAGTTGGACCTGTAGGCAAGGATCAGAGAAGAATGATAAGAATTCCGACCAGAAGTTGACATGCCATTGAAGGACCTCGCCTAGCGCCATGGCAGCTTCCAAGCCCAGCGCCATGGCAGCCTCCAACGGCGCCTCCAGCTCCAAGGCACCTCTCATCGAGTCGGACGAGGAGACGGCCGACCCCAGCCATGAGCCAGTGGGGAGGAAGGTGGCGCCTTTGCCAGGTCATTTGGATCATCACTGCACGGATCCTGTCTGGATCTTGATCCTCATGGTGGCATTTGGTCCGCTGTACTTACCGATTTCCGCGGCGGTGACGGAGGGGGACCTGTCCAAGTTCACTCGAGGATTTGACTACACGGGCAGGATGTGTGGTCGTGACCTGTGCGACAATGGGCAAGTATGCGGGAGGTTCATTTACTACTGCTCCAAGTTTGGAGAAGAAGGTGTAGATACTCTTCATCCCATCTGTGTTGACAGCTGCCCCACGTCGAATCTGACCTCACACGTTTGCTTCGATGAGGAGACAGGGAGCACCGTCCTAGTCCAGGACTGGCCCACGGAGGAGTTCAACATGAAGTGCCTACAGCGCACTCATCACCTCAAAGAGGTGAAAGAGCATCATCGCAAGCGGCTGGCTGGAGACCTGAGCCGTTTCAAGGCAGGCGGTCACACCTCTGGGACAGTTCTGGACTGCATTGCCTCCATCGCCAAAGCCAAATGGCACCTTGTGATCGTCGTTTTTGTGTCGATCGCTGCCGGGTTCATGTACATGCTTTTCTTGTGGAGTTGTCTCAGATTCCTCATCTATGGATCTTTGGTGCTGGTGATACTCATCCCTTCTGCATTTGGCATCTTCCACCTCTTCCTTGTGTGGCGAGGTGGAGGGTTCAGTGCAGCCTTGGGAGGAGATCAGGCGGTCCAGCAGTCCTTGTGGATGGGCTCAGTGGGCATCTGTGTGGGCGCGTTCTTGTGGTGCACGCTGAAGCAGATCTTTGATAGAATTCAGACGGCTGAGGGTTGCATCGTAGCGACCACAGAGTGCCTGTTTGAGATTCCCTGCATTCTTCTAGAGCCTGCGATCAGCTTGCTGTTGAAGATGTTGGTGGCAGTACCCCTCATCTTCTTCGTGCTGGGCTACGCTTCAACTGGAGAGATGCTTCTCATTCAAGACCAGGACGGCAGCCTACATCGTAGACTCTCCCTTGAACCGAAGCAATGGGGCCTCATCGCTTACTGCCTCTTCGTGCTTGCGTGGTCTCTTGAGCTTGTCCACAACGCCACACAGTATGTATTGGCATACATCTCGGAAATGTGGTACTTCACACCCTATGTGGACGACCAGAAAGTCGATGTCCCACAGGTTTGCCTTTTTGTGGAGGCCACTTTCAATCTTTTCCGCTACCATCTCGGGTCTGTCATTCTCGCGTCGCTTCTGAAGACCGTCTTCCGCGTTCCGAAGATTCTATCCTATGGCGTCTTTCTCCTTGGATGCTGCAAGTACGCCAAGCACAAGGAGGCCGCCGCTGAAAACGGCCATTCTTGCACCTGCGCTTTCATGTTTGCAACGCTTCGAAAAGAGGGCTTCATGGACATGGCAATCACTTCAGCAAGTTACTGCGAGGCCACGGAGCATGCCACCGAAACTCTGGATGACTCCTCTACGGAACTCGTGTTAACTTGGACTCAGATCATTTTCGAGCTTGGCGGTTGGGCCCTCATGACGGGGGTAGCGGCGCTGTACATGGCCGTGACGGTGAACAGCAACCCGCACTTCTCAGACCCTGAAGACGACATGTTCCTGAAGGAGCCAGATGCTGTGGTCATTGCCGCCAGCCTACTCGGCCTGGCAGTTGGGATCAGCTTCATGAACGTTTTCGACGCCATTGGCGACACCATCTTGTACTGCCTGGCCCTGGAGGAGCAGCGCTACAGGCAACTGCATGGGGCAGGCAACCCATTCTACAATGATTCCAGCTGGTGCACTTGCCGAGACAATGCCTCGGGAGGGTTCTTCAGCTGGATGATGGGCTATACTGATGAGGATGACGAAGATCATCATCGTGTGCAGTATGCACCTAGATCCTTGAAGTCGCATTAACGGGGGACTGGAGGCTCTTCTTGCCCCCCGATAGTAGCATAGTAGTAGCATAGTAGTACCATAGTATAGTGGCCTTCTTGAACTTCAAAGGAAGTTCTGGGGACCCCTGCTTTTTCCGCTAGCAGGCTGGGTAATTTGACGTGCCTGAACTGCAACAATCTGTACTGGGCCTAGTAGCTCTTGAACTCCTACAGCTCATCTTATCCCATACTAACAAAGTGTTGCAATCCTCTCCTCATGATGTATGGTGGACTTTTGAATGGCTAGCTTGGATACAGAAGCTGTCCGAGGTGCGCTATGACACTCAAGATGTCATACATGGTTTCGAAACTCACATGCTAAGCCACTTAGCTTGACATGCGCAGGAAGATGGAAAAAGGAATGCATTTGTGGAGAGTCTGCTGCTCGCAGTGGGCATTCTGAGACTGCACAAACTGTCCACAGCCGTTATGGGCTACCGAGGTAGCCCTTTTGGCAGGGACATTGGCCGCTTCCCTGTCCGCAAGCTTCATGGCGCCCCCGCTGCTTTCAGATCTTCGGGCTTAGGGCAGTTTAGGGTTTCGTCGGGGTTTCGCCGTGCTAGGACCAGCAAGAGTTCCGCGTCTTGGCCCCAGACCACAACGGCGTCAGCAGGGGAGGGCTTGGGACCAGGAGCGTTGTCAGATTCTGCCGGGGCCTGTTCAGGGCAGGTCCCCTTGGCTAGCTGCACAGTTCGTGGCAGGGCGCAGAGTTGCCTACCTCAAGCAAGGTTCATGGGCAGTTTCAGGCAGGGTTGCATCTTGATTCTAGGCCCGAGGGATAGCCTTCTGGGTTTCTCTGCCCTCGAACACCGTATAACACTAAGCCACACAAAAAGAATACAACAACACAAGAACAAACATGTAACATGCTATGAGAACGTTGATTATAACAGATTGTTATAGTATTAGAACTAGCAATATCCGGATAGAAGAATATAGCCATAGATACTCATCCAAAAGTAGAACAATACAACAATGTGCCAATATTGATGTAATATTCTAAGAACGAGAATATAACATACTCCTTTTTGATATGGTAATAGATATTATTTTATGCAAGTATGTTAATAAAGTGTAAGGTTATAGTCGTATAAGCTATAGTCGTGTAATCTTTGAATCAGAACAAAATCACCACACAAACAATACTAGTACAAACATGTAATATTGTCGGCATGTAATCATCTCAGAATATAAGCACTTACGAACAATGGAAGAAACAAAAAAAAGATAAACCTATCAACAACTTCTAACCTTTTTGGAGCCCGACCTTTTTCCTTTTACCTGACATCTGTGCAGAGGTGATTTTCGAGCACTGCTCGGACGCCTTGCTCTATATCTTCCGCTGGAACAAGGCCCAGGGCCTAAGCCGGTAGCTCCTTGAGCCTTGAGCCCTGTGATGGGTTCAGCTGCGTTAGGGGAGAAGCGACTTCTCGGTCTCAAGCTCAGGACTAGTTGTAAGAGCTTCTCTGACGTTTCCGAAGAAAGGTAACCTGTGGTCACGCGGACGTTCTCCAACTCCTCTAGGGGTGTGGGTTCTTCAGAAGGGCCGAATTTGTCTCACCAGCCAATTTTCAAGCCCCACCCCCCACCCCTAGATTTTAAAAAGGGTTTTCGACGAGTTCTGCGTAGCCTGGATTTGCCAGCTAAATGTTTGTGACCTCGCGAAGTTTTCTGTTTGTTTCTGAAAATCTCTCGCGCGTGAGGAAAGAAGAGCAGATTACTTTGTTAATAACAATAGTTTGGGTTTCATTAAATTCTCGCTTGTTTTTGAAAACCTCAGCTGTTCAAATTTTCGCCAGCCTCAGGGTGGAATGCAGATCCAGTTTCCAAGCCCTCTTTCAACTGCTTTTGTCGGGAGTTGGGGTTCCAAGTTCAGCGGCAAGTCTGCGTCACATGGGATGGTGACCTCACACGAGCCTTCTTCACACCCCACACCCCTAGACCCTACGCCCCAACACGCAAAACCCCAACCCAACACCCCAAACCCGACCCCAAAATCCCCACAGTGAGCTGAGCGCATCTGCCTTGCCCAACCAGCAGGCGCATGGCCACAACACCGTCGCAAAGTACTGTCCCGATGAGTTGGCGAAGCTCACGGAGTACAAGAGCCTGTGTCTGCAAGCGCTTGTTTAGCTGCTTGAAGCATGGGGGGAGGGGGTGCTGGGCTTCGGGCTCGGGTGTTCTGTTGTGGCTGGCCCGCATGTGGAGCTTGGTGGCAGCTGTCGGTGCAGCTCTTGTGGCGTTTTCGTTCGCAGAATGCTTGATGGCAAAGAAGCTAGTCAAATCAAGAAAATCACTGTGAGCTTGGAGAGAGCCATGAGGGATTCTAGAGCTCTACCCAGGAAGGTGTCTCCCGGCGACGTCGGGCGCAACAGACCAGAGGCCCCCGGCATCTTCTCCACGCTGCTGTCGTCGGGCAGCGCCAGATGAGGCCCCAGCTCCGAGATTTGCCGCATCTTGTACCCCAAATTGGTAGGAGACTTGTCCAATTTGAGGCTGACGCCATACTGTGGCCACTGCACGAAACCCCACACTGTGGGCTTCGGGTCGTTGCCGAAGCGCGGGATGATAGGGTTGTAAAGCGTCGAAGTCAAAAGGCTCCCAGATTTGGTGCAGACTGGTGTCGGGAGGCCTCCGCGGAATTTCTCGGATCTGCGTTTCGCGATCCGGCCGCTGAGGCGTGTAGCGTACGGACGGCCTTCTCGAGGGATATAGGTGGTCCTAGATGGTCAAAATGTTCGCATGGATCCTGAAGCAGGGGCCTAGGGTGAAAGTAAGCCTGGAGCAGGCATCACAGGCATCACGTCTCGGCGTCTGTTTCAGATGCCAGGCTGAATGCCTTTGCTCGTGAGTTCGCTTTTTGTCGAAGCCCCGCTCGCCAGCTGAACAGCTGAACCTTGCCGCGGCTCGACACAGACACTCCACATTATGGATTCGAACGAAATCCATAAGAAAAGTGTCACAGACCTGAAGGTCTGTGCCTGCATGTGTGCCGGGGCTGGTGTCTGTCGCCCCATGTCACCCGTATTACATACAAGATGTGCCTATAGTGTAAGGGTACAACGACGAGGGAGCCGTATTGAGCCTTAGTAACCTTAGTACCAGTTGGGGCGAAAGACAGGTCAAGCCGCCAGACAGTAGCTCCTGGAACCCGAACCCTTCAAGCAGAACCTGCCAAAGCTCGACTCCAGAATCTCTTAAGCCTTAAGCCCCTTCACCTGAGCCCGCTTCTTGCCGAAGTGCTCGCGGCTGGCTTCGCTAAAGAAGAAAAGGGAAGGCAGGCATTGCCCAAGAGAGGGCGGCGTAGAGTTCAAGGGTTCATCCGGGGGTGAAGGGGTTGAACGCTGCGCGAGCTCTGTATGCCGTATTGAGACCTTGAGCAAGGCATCTCCTGCTAGCTGCTAGTTAGTTAGCGTAAAGGTGCTTGTGGGAAGGGGGTCTTTGTAGGCCCGGTAGGCGTTGGGCGCAGCCACTACAGCTACACTTCGAACGCCTCGCCAAGGTACAGCTCCACGGCCAACTTCTCTGCTCAGAAATACCCATGCCCACTTTCAAGCGAGTGGCCTGGCATCAATGGGAACTTGGAGTGATGAATTTCACCTGAGGAGTTGCTCGCGTTCAAACCCTAAACCCTAAACCGCAAATCCTGAACCCTAAACCTCGGTAGGATGTCGATTAGGGTCCTGACGTTCAGGTGGTGCTTCTGGGCATCGGACGGCCGGCAGATCACATGTCCAAGGCCTGAAGTGGCTTGGCACATCTTGGAAATGACAGTTGGGTGAGATGTGACACAGAGGAGGTTGGTATGAGGCCAATCTTGCCAATCTTGCCTGATGTCGAACGACGAGAGTTTGAATCCTTTTTTTGCAGCTTTCGCTGAGCCTGCGCTGTAGGAGTGAGAAGAGTGAGCACCTCCCAGCCTCCAAGCCCCCAAGCCAACTTCCTAAGAGGGCCACCGCCGTGTCCCTTGCTTGCAGCTGTCTGAGGATGGGGAGAAGGAGAGCCCACCAAACTTCGAGAGGTGTCTGCCAGAAGGGCAGAGGTTCAGACTGATGCAGAACAAGGTTCGCAACCAGCTCTCCTTGATCTTCAAGGCACCCCAGCTGCGGCGGTTGGAGAGAGCCATCCGCTGCAGAAATCGACCTGCCACACAGTCACTTCTCGAAGAACTTTCTGGAGTTCCGGAGGGCTTGAAGGCTGCCGCGCAGAAGCTCCTAGCTGGCTTCCGCCCAGATCCCGAGCTCCCCCCCAAGCAGGCCAGCGCTGAGCCCAAAGCACATACAGTCCCCCCGCCAAAGGCAGTGCCACCGGGGCTCAGGGTGGGAGCACCGCCGGAGACTGGAGAGGATGCACAGCCATTGCCAGTCAAGGCCAAGGCCCTGCCCCTCCAGCCCAAGTTCAAGGCCAAAGGCCCTGCACCGGTGAAGCCGGGCCAGGACAGCGAGACATGCGGTGTGTAACTGCGTAGCCTGAGCTCTTCAGACAGCACAAAGTACCCTTGCGTAGTCCTCCAGACTCCGTCGAGTTGCCAATGAGTGCATGGCCACCTCGGTGCAAATGACGTCAGATCCGTCGCTACTTGTCCTCCCCAAACCTCAACCAAGTCTCCATGAGTCAGGAGCCAGCTGCAGCCGTGGATGCGGCGTCGCCCTCTGCGGTAGCGTCCCCCATAGAGCAGCCCGCAACAAAGGCGCTTCGGGGCATCGTTTCTGGACGGTATTGGGTTCAGGTGATCCAGATTTGCTTCGGGTTGCCCCCGCTCCCCCTGTTCTAGCGAAAGGCGCCCTGTTGTCTGCATCCACTCCCCCGTACCAAACGCTACAAAGGGTGCATGATTGACTTGTTCTTCGAGAAGTGAGTAATTGCCGTGCGACCTGCAGGATGCATCGGGTCACAGCATGCTTCAGCAGCAACAGCAGCAACAGCAGCAACAGAACACCTCATTCATGGTCCCCCGAAACTCAGGACAGCCAAGAGTGCTCAGTGGTGAGAGAGAGAGGGTCATACGCCTAGCAAGCAAGCAAGCAAGCAAGCAAGCAAGCGAGAGAGAGAGAGAGAGAGTGACTCCTGGGACGGGCGCGCCCTCCGGGGCAGCTCCCTTCGGCGGGGGCTAAGCGTGTGGAGAGAGAGAGAGAGAGAGAGAGAGAGAGAGAGAAGCTCTCGCCTCTCGTGACATTACTGTGCTGCCCAAGACAATGCAGAACAGGCATTGCTCAGCCAGACGTTTGCAGGAATCTCGGACACTGTGCCTTCCCTGCTTTCGCCAGGTCCCACCCGTTCTGGATGACTTTGCCGCTGCCAATGCAACGCTCCCCGCGACGGACGAGGTGGTGCATGAATGGGGAGTTCACACTGAGAGTTACAAGGTTCACAGGGTTTCTGGATGATTTTGGTATACCTTGCTTCAGTATAACAGTATAGCTTTACATTCCTGGATCCCTGATACCCCTTAACCTCCTGCACATGTGCAATGACGACATGCGCCTTCGCACAGGCCTCAGTGTAACGCCCCCTCCCCGCCCCCCCCGAACGCAACCATGAAACAAACGACCCTCCAGGCAGCACCGTGGAAGAAACGAAGAAGAGGCGACCGACCCACAGCGGGGGCTCCAGGCGAGAGCTGCCTCTGTCAAAGTGTTCTTGGGTTTGGGGCGCTGCCAACTTTGTAAAGGTTTTGCAAGGAGGGGAGAGGCTTAGTTTGGGTCTGAGAGGCTTCTTGGGGCATCTATGATGCCAACTTTAAGCCCTCAGCCCGCAACCCTAAAACCCTCATTGTTTCCATGCTCATGCCCATGCAGGTCCAGCCGAGCCAATAGCTGCAGAGGCCCAGGGGGTCCAGTGCGCACACACAGGAACCCCCCTCCCCATAGAATTGCCTCTTTAAGTTTAAGGGATGATGAGGGGATACCAGGAACCCTGAACCACTCCTTGGGCTGGTGTACCGTCTGACCTTTTTGCCCGTAAACGCTTGCGACACGGGTGGGAAAAAACCCTAAACCCTAAGCCCTAAACCTTTAAATCCTAAACCCTGAACCCTAAAACCCAAGGCTTCAAGACATGCAAAGGTCCGACATTGGGTCCAAGGTCGTGTGGGTTCCTAGCTTTACAATTGCATCTTACACAAGATCCGACTGTACAAAGCCTCGGCTTAACCCTAAGCTCCAAAGCCAGAGCAACTTAACCCTGCTTGCCCTGCGGTGCGAGAGCGTAGCCTGGCGGGTTGCAAAAAAAATTCGCTGCTTGCAGAGAACGTCTTGCAACAAAAACAGAGCAAGTCCAGGTGCGAAGCGCCCCCAAGAGTGCCAAGGACCTTTCCAAGAAGGCCCGGCACCGGGACTCTTTTTTTCTCAGCTCCTGTAAAGCTGGAACCCGCGCCCCCCGAACTCGTGCAGTGCCGGGACTGCAGGTTCTCCAAGGAGGCGTCACGTTCCCTCGAGTTAGAGAGGCGTCACGTTCGTGCGCGCGCTGAGGGCTTGCAGAGGGCTTTTGAGGAAAGCCCTTCTCCGGTGCGTGATTGTAGATCAAGTCGACTTCTGCAATCCGGGGTTTAGGGTGGCCAGCACATCAGCTCTGTGCATTTTGGGTTCAAGGGCAGTTGGGGAGCCTCGAAGGTGCTACTGTCCAACGTGCCAACTTCTGCCAGCAGCAAGGACATGGGAGTGGGGTTTACAGGGCAGGCTGGAGGGTCCCCCCCCGCGGAGTCCCAACACAACAGCATGCCCTATGACTCCTATGACCTTACACAGCATCACAGCCATCCAGCGTTGCTTTGAGGTGTTGCTGCGTTGCATTCGTAAAAAGTTCTGCTCTCGCTTAAACCGTTGCATGCATGGAAGGCATCAGAAACTTCGCAGCGCATCGTAAGGGCTTTTGAAGACGACCGTAAGACGACAGCACTGCGAAACTGTTCTGGATAATTCTCTTCGCACGATCGACATTGCCTTTGCCACAGGTGTCTTTACCATCAGCCATTCCCAAAGCCTAAGTCTAAAACGCCGTTGTGCATTCACTCCGCAGTACAGCTTCCAAAGCTCCTGAGGAGCTCTTGGAGTTTTTTCACGGGGCGGTATGCTCGGCCACCGGGCACATGCTTCCGCCCGAGGTGACCGCCGAGAAGCTGAAGGCTAGTAATCAGAGTTTGGGGATTTGGGTTGGGAACTTGTTACGGGCAACCACGAACTTCGGGCGAATTTTAAAGTAGTGTGCTTGGGCCAGCCTAAACCCCAAGCCCAAGTTTCAATGAGGTTCCAGGGTCAGCTTGGGTACATCCCAATGGCAAAGATGGTTTTCATACTGAAGACCTGGACTGGTACATGCTAAAGCCGTTCTGGGGAAGCCAAGCAGCTTGAGCTAATTCAGTGGCACGCCCTGCAAAACAAAGCACAGCGAGCTCCATGCGGATAGGTAGTGGAGGGTGTGGAGATCCACCGCGGCGGGCACGCCGAGGCAGCGGGCACATGCGGGCACCTGCAGAATTGTTTGGTCTACCGCGAGCCAAAGTGGCCCAGCAGCTGGGTTAGCAGATGCGCAAGGTTTCCCCACTAGAAGAGCAGCAGCTGGGAGCTTGCACGTTAATGCTACCCGCAGTATCGCACTTAGTTAGGAAGCCTTGGTTGGAGCTGTGCGCATTTGCCAGGTTGTCTTCGCCACAGCACCGAGCGCGTCGATCGCCACGTTGCTCAATGGCATCCAGTTCCAGACCCTCGGCTCAGAGTCAACAAAACCGGCACCTAACCCTTCGATGGAGAGCAGGTCTGAACCCTAAACCCTAAATGCCCAGAGAGCCATCCCGAGCGATCCGAGGAACAAAGGCCTTTCCATTCGGCGACCACCGGGCTTCTCTGCACCTCCGGTGAACCGGTCCAAGCTTCTAGCCTCGACATTGGAGGCGCCCTGTGAATGGGCTGTGGCTCTGCGGGCTGTGGGGGCATCAGCTTTGAACAAGTAAACGGCTTGATTGTGAAAAGCCATCGTCGAGTGGGGGAAGTCCTTCGCAAGCCCGTAGGTCAGGGGACCACATGACTCAGCCATGAATCCTCCCTCACATGTCCATATAATCCGAAACTCAAAGCGACGGCCTTCGAAGCAGCGACATTGAGACCTCCACGGCTGCAGGCTCACTCTCCCTAAGCCCTTGGCCCTGGCCGCTGTTCCTGTACCCCACCTTAGGAACCCGGAAAGCAAACACCCCATAAGGTTTCTTAGCAAATGCAATAAGGCCTGGGTGTCTTAACTGTGTAAGCCCTTGTTTTTCACAGGTGCTTTTTTTTGGGTTTCAGAGGATCACATCCTGAAGATTCCCGGAGGGTTTTGAGGGCCCTAGTTAAAGAGGTCTCCCCTAAATTGCAGGACCTTGTCTCCGGCGAGCTGCCGAAGGAACTCCTTGAGCCGGATCCACCAGCGCGGCCCCCGGCCGCTGCGGCCCCGAAGGCCTGACCGATTTTCAAGAAAGGGGTTCGGGCTTTAGGTGTAAATAGGGATGAGGGCCAAAAAAAGAGATTTCCCTTCTTTGGTTTCTCCAGGTACTTGTGTTAGGGCATGGGAGTGCGTTTGAGGTTTGGCGGACGGGATGTTGCGGTGTCTGGTGGGCGTCGGGGTGTGGTGGCTTGGTGGTTTTGGGGCTGAGGCCGGCTTGAGTTTCGTGATTCCGGCTGCGAGGTTGGGACTTGAAGTGTTTCAAGATGTATGTATGTAACAATGTATGTATGTATGTATGTATGTATGTATGTATGTATGTATGTATGTATGTGCGTGTATTCGTGTGTGCGTGTGACTAGTGAGGAATGTGCCCATCATTTGCCCAGCATTCCAGCCTTAAGACTTTTTGCTTGTCGCGGTAGCTTTTGGCGAGGCCCGGCCAGCCACTGTCCAACTGTCGGGCATCCCGCCCTCGATGAACGGCACGACGCTCACTACACAACTTGGACCCCTTCTGCCCCCTCGGAACATTCGTGTTCAGTCATGGCCTGGCAGTTGTGAACCAAGCCTAGTTAATAGGAACCAGAGGATGAAGCCGTACTGTTCTAACTTCTAGCACTGTTCCCCTCATTAGCGATGCAAGGGCCAACTTGAGCAAGTCTCGTTTTGCATGCCACATCATGTCACCGAACCCGCGAACTCCGAGGAGCGTCTTTGACCTGCTGACGCAGTCCCTTGTCTGTGCAGCACGTTGAGGGTCCAGGGTTTGCACGTCGGGTTCCGGGGAGAATCCATCAAAGCTTGGTCCCAGCGCTAGGAGATGGAGTCTGCACTCTGTATCTATGTTTCGCGTTTTAAAGTTCAATACATAAGGTTGTTACTTATCGCCTATGACTATGACAATTTGAGCCTATCTCCTCTGCGCCTGTGTGTCATGGAAGTTTCATGTTGAGGTTTGGCGGCCCGGTGAAGAGCTTACATCTGAGCCATGACAGGTCGCAACCAGGCTGATGTCGACTTTGTGGTGCTTTTGGCGTTCAGGGGAAGTTTTGGGGAGCTGAGGAGCCTTTGACCTGTGAGACTTCTAGCGCGGTGCATTGCGATCACACATTCTAGGGAGGAAAGGATGCAGCTTCGCACTTGGCACCCCTCTCTTCCTTCGGAACCTTTAGAACAAACTCCCGAACTTAAGGCACCTGAGCCGCAAAACAGTCGCAAAACCAACGGATCCCGGAACTCGCAGCACGGTTCAAGCGGTTCAAGGCATTCGAACTAAGCGCCAAGCCTTATGAAACTCGAACCCCTCCCAGCCAAGGCCCGGGGAGGTCCTTGTGTTGAGACATTAAGACAGCTGAGGACAGGTGAGCACTCAGGAGCTGGCACGGCTGAGTTTGTGGACTACGACTCCGCGGTTGAGGCGGGATGCTGGGGGGGTTCCTGTATGGGGAAGCCCAGAACAAGTTCAGAAGGTCTTAGCCCCTCCGGGGCTGGCTAAATGGATTCCTACAGTACAAGGTGTGTATAGGGGGGCAGCGCCTACAAGGTTCTGGCTTGACTGGGCCCCCAGTTGCCTAGGTGCGAAGGGGTTTTGGAGCTGGCGGCCAGAACCGAAGGTAAACAGGCCTCAAGGCGTTGTCAGCACTTTCTTTGCTCAGGCTACCGTTCCTGGCCCCTTTGCTGGCTGTTTCGTCAATCCTCCTCTCGTGCTCGGGCACACATCTGTATGAAATGGTGCGTGGGCCGCGTTTGCATTTTAGAATTCCCTCTTATCGTACGCAGATTGTTGTTTTCTTGTCATGAGACGAGCACCTCCGTTATCTCGCCCGAAGTCTTGCTTGCGCGCATATGATGGCATGTGCGGTCAGTTTCCTCAACCATTGTCTCTTTTGGGTACCCATGTGCTTTTACGTGAAAGGGGGTGGCGCCAAATGGGGCCACAGTTGGCAACTGACTCGCCCGAAGCCAGCACCTCGAAATTCTGTGCCCTGACGTCTAACTTCTGCAGCACAGGAAGCTCTACACCCCATATCGTACACGCCCGGAACCTTGCAAGCCCAATCATGCTCTTCTTCGCACGCAGGCGTGTCGCTTCTCCCCGCTTCTGGGCTTCATTGAGCTGACCCTCGAGGTCGGCCCAAGTTTGCTTCAGGGCATCCTCCAGCCCGGCACACCTGAACACTCCGAGGCATCTCCAGGCCAAAATATGCAAGAAAAGTCCTGGCAGCTGCAAACCTCAAGTGGCCTTAAAAGCCTGAGGGCTAGACCTTGGAGATCTCTACAAGATGGTGACCCTGCCACTACACACAGCGCGTCGCCGCGAAATCACTCCCAGACCCTCCAAGCAGTTGCTCCAGGGCCAGTTCTTGCCAAGATGGGCACCCTCCACTTGCCAGGAGCCCGCTCCCGAGCACGACGCGGGTATGGCCGCTGACAGCGAGGCAGGCGGACTACACCTGCCATTTGTTAAGCGGGAGGGAATTGAGGGAATGCTTATATTGTGGTTCGGTCGTGTTCGGTCAATACGTGTTGCTGCTTGTGTTTCACGGTTTGGCCCGGCAGACATGGGCGGAGTAACTCGCATCTGGAATTCAGAAACTTGAAAGTCAGGCCAGGCCGGCACATCTGCGCATGGAAGGGACAGCACCAGTAGAGCTGGCACTGCTCGAGGTGAGTCATCGCAGATCGCGTTGGTCAGAGGATGCGGACGATGATCTTGGGCCCTTTAATGCCGCTTCGCTTGCAGAGATACATTTGCTCAGCGCCGCCGCCCTGATTTAGCAGAACAAGCACAAAACTCCATTCCCGACATGCGCCGGGAGTCGTTTGAAATGACGAGCTGTCTGTCTCTATGTGTGTGTGTGTGTGTGTGTGTGTGTGTTTTTGTTTTCCACCATGGCATTCGCAAGCGAAGTTCAGGAAGGTGACAAGAAGAGCAGGGTAGGCAATTAAAAGCACAATACGTGCTGTTAAGTGCGGTCCACATCGTAATCGCAACCAGGGCTTTGACACGCCACGCTGCATCAAACCGGTGGATTGAAATGTGCCGAGCACACGGGCTCAAAGCTTCGCAGCTCACATCTAGCGTCGTCGTGACCGCTCGCATCCGCCATGCAGATCTTCGTCAAGACTTTGACGGGCAAGACCATTACCCTGGACGTTGAGGCTTCGGATACCATCGACAATGTCAAGGCAAAGATCCAGGACTTGTATGCCCTCCTTTAGAGGAATTGTTGTTGTGAATTTGCCGTGTGTTTCTCAGTCTATACGACCCGCTGCGGTTTCTGCACGTGGTGTTTGTGTGACTCTGTGTGCATGTCAACCCCGACGCTGCTGAAGGACAAGGAGGGCATCCCTCCGGATCAGCAGCGCCTTATCTTCGCCGGAAAGCAGCTGGAGGATGGCCGCGCCTCGTACGAAATCTCGCCTTGCGTGTGACATGTGATCAAGGCAGGTACAGGTGCATGCGAGTTCATTCGTTGTTCAGCTGTTCCTAGCAATGCAGTAACACGTGCCCTAGGCACTTTGTCCGACTACAACATCCAGAAGGAGTCTACTCTCCACCTGGTCTTGCGCCTCCGCGGTGGACATTGCCAGGTCCCTTGCGGCATCTTCGACGACCCCAAGCTTGTGGCAGATGTGAATGAAGCCGTAGCTACCATTAAGAAGGCAATGGTGCAGATCGGAGAACTCTCGGCCTCGATCACTCCACTGAACATCAATCAGATGACACGCTGGGTCAACACCAAAGAGGAGCATGCTGGCAAGATCATCACCCTGATGTCGGAGTACTGCCTCTGCCAGCGTGTCAAGCCTGTGAGCGACCCGAAGACCCCTTTCTCCAGTGAGGCTGACTACATTGCAGCACTCCAGTCTCACCACCAGGTCATGCTCGCAGCTGTGAAGTGCAAGCAGAATGTGGACCCTGCGCTGGGTGACGCCCTGGCAGCAGCAGTGGCTGAGATGAGCAAGATGTACCTCAAGTGATGCCCGAGGGCAAAGCGGCTATGAGGGCATGTTTTTGGTTTGCGGGTGCCAATTCAGATACCTGGATTGGATCCTGCGGATCTCTGCCGACAAGGACAGAGGTTGAGGTCGAGGTCCTAAGCTAGACACTATATAGACACTGGCAGCAGCGCTTCAAAAAACAAGCGCAATCATCGTCGGTCGCCTCACGAGCCAGCAACCGCCTCAGCCCCACAGGTCATCTTTAAACCCTCAACCAAACGGGACGCCCTGACCACAAGATGTCACAGTAAGGCCATTCTGCCGCCGAAGCAGCCGGCCGAAGCGGCAGATGACGACGAGGACCTCGGACCCTTCAACGCCGTCCTGCCCAAGCCAGGGGCCTCAGAAGCAGCTTCCTTCAGTCCGAAACCAAATCCGCAAACCCCCTCATCCTTGCCTGCTGCGAGTGCGAGAGTCGAAGCTCCCAAAAAGCCTAAAGCGGTTTAGGGGCTCAATGGTGTTGCTACCAGCCACCAGGAACTTTTGGTCGGGGGGGGGGGGGGGGGGCGCAGTGGAGTGTTCTGGAGGGATGCTGAGGGTCTAGTTCACCACGCGAGCAGATCTGTAGACTGCCGCAGATAGGGTTTAGGGTGCTTACTCTTCAGGCGCGTCGCCCCGCCAGAGGATGACGACCTGGACCTCGGCCGCTTCACTGGCATTAGTTTGCTGCTGCACATCTCCAGCTTAAGGTACTGATTTGGCATGCTGCTATGCTAGTGTCCCTGAACCGTCATCCTGACTCGCATTTCGCGTAGTTCGTGAGGGCCTGTGGCGCACGATCATAGGCACAAAGACGTGGCTGCGTTCGACATTGTGCAGATCAGTTTCGTGCATCTGTCTCGTAGAAATACACTACGTACTTTCAAAGAGGCAAAGTTGCCGAACTGGGTTTGTGATCCCGATGCCGTGCTGTGTGACGCCCGAATTGCCTGTTGGCGCCTTTAACACATAGCATCGTCTCATACTTCTATCATCCCACGGCCTGGAGAGCGCCTACAACGGCTTTGAACCCTATGACCCCTCGATGTGCCCTGCTTCCCTATATTTCATAGGGTTAGGCTCCCTGGTAAACGCCACCAAGCCAATCCATCTTCATTCCTTCGGTGGCGGTTTGGGAACCTGCATTCTTGCCGTCCGAGGCCCCTTCAATGAAATCTTGCCGCCGAAGGCGGCACCCGCACACGAGGAGCCGGAGGTGGGTTGAGGGTTGAAGAGTTTTGGGTCTGGGGGTTTATGGGTTGGGCCCCAAGGCTACATAAAGCATGTTGCACGCACGCCTTTGGAAGTTCATATGTCATATGTGGCCTGCTTCAACAATGAAGGTGATTTTGTATGGTCACTTTAGCAGAGCAGGCAAAAGGTGCCCCATTGCGCAGAGAGTCTACCTTGTCGCACTGTTTGGTCAGAGCAGACTCATGTACCTACGGAATCCCACCGACCAGCACCACCAACAACCTGAGCACGGCTGCTTGACAACGCAGAGCCTCATTGTTCTGATGCATAGTTCCGCGATTGATGTATGTTTTTCGTGATGCAATGTCTACTTGGGGGTGATGCATATTCTCAGGTGAGATGCATCCGCAAGGAGTAGGATGTCAGTGGCACCCTTGCACGTTTGAAGACCTGTCTAGCAGCAAGGAAGCGTGCCCGAGAGTTGAGTTTGTATCCGTTCTGCGCAGGCCGAAGACGACGATGATCTTGGCCCCTTCAACGCCATTCTGGGTCGCTTCTGAGCGTGCTGAGTGAGGCTTCCGGCTGTCAGCTCGAGAGCCGGCGTCGAAGGCCGTCAAAAGCGTAGCTACCCAGGTTTACTGGCATGCCGCCGCTGTTGAGATGAGCCCATGTGAGCCCATGTCTACGAACACTGCAACGTGTCAGAGCGATTCATACCAGATGTGCATGTGAAGGTCTCTTGCATGGATGCTTAAAGCAAGCGCAAAACACCCGGGCAAGGATTGCAGTGTTCAGGATGTTGTTAGGGGCTGCAGGGGTTGGTGGCGCCTTGCTGCGGTCGCGAGACGAGAGCGCATGCTATGAGAAAAGCGCGGCACTTCGGAGTTGTGTCAGGAAGAGTGGATGTCATACGGGCTAAGATAGCTTGATCAGCACGATGTGCTCGATGGGCCGTTCGAGGCATCGGATACCCTACACTACCTTCGAGTCCTTAACAAGGCAAAACAAATCAATAGCATGTCTAACGTTTCTGCTGCGGAGCAGCCCTTGCACTGCCCCCTTCAGAAGGCCTCATCCAAAAAAGCATGGAGAACAAGTGCTTAAGGAAGCAACGCTGTCTTTCGAAAGTCAGTTGGCAGGCCACAGAAGTTTGATCAGCCTGATCCGACTCCTGCTCAACGCAAACGCGGACCGCATTGAGGGCGGGGGACGGCTGCGCGGGCATGCCCCTCTACATAGGCTGAGATGCAGAAGCCCTCAACGACTCCTTTTTAACACATGCAAAGAAGTTGAAAAGACCAAGGATCCCGTGCATACCCTGAAGGCCCTAGAGCCCCTATAAACCCTTAAGCTTCTCCAGACTCCCCAGACGGACCCCGACACTCCCAAGACGAAGAGAGCATCGCTCAGGACGTCAAAGCGCCGAACGTCCTCGGCGAGACGCCGCTGCTTGCCGCTGCAGGGGCCACAGGAGATGGAGCTTGGGGTTCTGGACTGGGGTCCCTATTGGGCCCCTTGCTTCAGGAGGCGTGTTGATATCAAACCTGGTGGTTTCATGTATATACGTATATACATATATTCATATAGGGTTTGGCGCTTAGGGTTTTGAGATTTAGGGGTTTAGGGTTCATTTGGGCATCAGGGTTTAGGGCTTTGGGCTTAGGGTTTAGGGTTATGTAGGGTTTAGGGTTTAGGGGTTTGGGGGCTTCGGGGTTTAGGGTTTTGGGTTTCGGGTTTAGGGTTTAGGGGTTTGGGGTTTAGGGTTTAAAGATATCAAATTAGATCTGACGCGTCCTGCTGTTCAACACATGACAACCACGGCATGCCCAAATCGCTGCACATGACAGTAGATGGGCCTCTTGCACGTCCCAGAAAGAGTGCTCGACACCAGGTTTTTATCAACACGTGACCTTGTTTCAGAGGGTTGGCCCTGAATCAACAGGGGATCAGTTGGAGCCAGGCCCCAGTATTCAGTTTCAGGTGCAGCTTTCAAGCCGCGCGTGCAACATCATCATCTAAGGTCGTCTAAGCAGGCGCGGCACCAAATGAAGACTAAGCCAACTACTGTAAGCAGCCCCGGGAACAGCCCAACGAGGGAATGAAGAGCGTGAACGAGCTTACCCGCACCCTATCTCCGATCCAATTCCAGAGTGTAGTCTCCACCATCCTTGGCATGTTGAGGTGAGGGCTCAATCCCGTCCGGAGGTCATTCGGTTGCTTCTTGAGGTGCGAAGACTCTTGGGGCCGGGGGGGGGGGGGGGGTTGTTAGTATTCTTTGCTGCCTACAGCAGGGATTGAAAGTTTGTTCCAGGGAAGACGGAGCCTGAAAACAACAGTTTGGGGCCTTGAGGGCTTCAAGGCTCGGTGGACTTGGGCTTCGGGCCTCTTTGGGGAGATCAACGGAGCAAGCATGAGTCGCCGGCTTTGCCGATTGTCTTACCATCTTGCTACATTATGACTATTTATCTAAATGGCTGTATGTGTAGACATACTGTATATATATATATACATACACAAAACATATATTCATATATATATATAGAGAGAGAGAGTATCACGGAATAGAGTTATATATGTCGAACGATATGAAGCACTAGAGTGTCCCGATCTTTCCCAGCTTGTTGGCCCTGCCAGGCGCGCGCAGACCCGAACCACCAGGATGTCTTTGGATTCACTGGAAGGTTCTTTGGGAGTTGGACCGCAAGATTAGTCATACAAATTCGATCAAGAACACAAGCCCGATTCGAAACCAATGAATGGTACCCAAACCGAAAAAAGCATCCAAAAACCGATGACCTAAACCCAAAATCTGAAGCCCCCCGAAGCTGGAAGCCCGAAGAAAGCAGGACGACTTTGCAGGAGAGACAGCTTTGATGGAAGCCGCCGTGGGCCCACAATTTCGGCCCTCCTTTTGTGGTCACTTCTGGGCATGAGGGGCAGGTCTAGGAGTCCAGGGTTTAGGGTTGAGGGCATTACCAGTCACCGAGGCTCGACGCCTCCCTTTTGTAGGCATCTGTCGATGGTGTTCTCTAAGAGGTGCGGTTCTGAATGTTAGGTACTTGTGGAATCTTACTTCCCAACACACTGCACAGACAGGTCCTTGGATCAGGAATCAAGCCCTTGAGTAAGCTTGCGATGTTTGAGCTCTCCGCAGCTGGGACTTCACCTTGCAGCTCCCGACAAGCGTATGACACGTGTGTGTGTGTGTGTGTGTGTGTGTGTGTGTGTGTGTGTGAGTGTGAGTGTGAGTGTGAGTGGGAGTGTGAGTGTGAGTGTGAGTGTGTGTGTAGGTGTCCACGTGCCCTGTGTGGCATTTTGAGCTCAAAGTGCTTTTTGCTTTGGAGCACACGGCAGGACTTATAAGTTTGTCTTCGGCATCAACTTAGATATTGTCATCTCCTGGCACTTCTCGTAGCACTTAATTTGCCGTGGGGTGGCTGTCGAATCCAAATCTTATGTTCAAGGCGCAAAGGCTCGAGGCTTTCCCACAAAGCAACCATGCTTAAAGATCACAGCACTCGACGATTTCCACCCCCAGCCACCAGCATTCACCCACTCAGAAACGAGCCTGAAGAAGCAGACGGGGGTATTTAATGCAAGCATCCGCGAGATTGAAAGAATCAGATGTCCTGGGATGGCGGCTGGGGCAGCGGCTATGGTGGCGACTGGAAGCGGAAGCGGGAGAGCCAGGCCAAGTACAGAAGCCCAGCATTCTGGATGTCGAGGTTCAGAGGTGGCATGGTTGTTGGCCTTGACCGCGAAGTCCGACTAAGAAGCAGGCGGACAGGTGCAGAGCTTCAGGGGAAGTGCAGAAGGTTCATGAAGCTGCAAAAGTGCACAGTGGATTTGTGGCAGGACTCCAAGTGGAAGAGCAACGAGCACAAATGTAAGCAATGTCGTCAATGGGCTCCTTGGCATGTCACCGTTAGTGCTTGGGTGGTTTCAGGCCTCATGTCGTGAGTACTGCGCGACAAGGGGGTGGCACTTCTCTGCGAGGATCTTCTGCCTTGCTGCTGTGCAGGCTTCTCAGGGTTCTCTTGCCTGAGCCGACCCATATACCACGCCACTGGCCGCATGACATCCAGACTGGGCTCCAAAGCCCCAAATCCTTTGCAATGAACAAACTCGCACCCGCAACAAGGAGTCCGAGGGAGAATGGTTTGGGCGCGCGTTTTATTGCACTCGCTGCTGCGCAAAAGTCGCGGAGCAGAGCCACAAGGACAACTACCACGAGGACCCTCAGGTTTTGGGCTCTAAGAACAGTGCCGTGGTTCGGCTGTGCAGCACGGCTTTTCAGCTGCAATTTTCGAACTTGCCCATTGATGGCCAAGCACGCTAGGCCGCCAAGGGCCCTAAGTTTTACACACTCTAGCACGGAAATTTTCACTGTTACCAGCTGGAGTTAGGGAATAAACTTAATAAACCATGCAGTGGTCCAGAACAAAGGGAGTCGTTCTGCTGGAAGGATGCCGGCCAGAGCAGCGAGCCCTGGCTTGCGTCATACAAGGCCGGCCCTGCCAGGATTTCGAGGCCTCAGAATGTCAAAGTTATGGATTCACAATGCCGGCGTAGACCCCAAACAGTGTAAGATCACCTGAAGAGACTTTTCAAGAGCACTCCTAGAACCCAAAAGGAGGACAGCTCTGCACTTCACAAAGCGAAGTAAACCCATCCAATGCCAAGCGCCAGAGGAAATACAGTAGTGAATGTTACAAACTACGAACGCAATTATTGGGCTTGTAAGGACGACGCTAGACACTGAAACTCCAAGTTTGTAAGCCGGAGTCCCCCAAAAGAAAGGCCGCTTCAAGCTTGGACCAAAAATCTCAATACATATTGTAGATGGTCAGTTCTCAAAATGTTGGGCCCCTTTCGGGTGCCCTTAACTGGCGGGTTGCCTTATAATCGTGACCCCAAAAGGACCTTAATGTAGAGAAGTGATCCATATATCTCTGTACACGCATACACGTTTCTACCTTGTTGCGACGTGCTTGGCCTACTTGCTGTATCGTCTCATGAGACCCGGAAGGAGAAGTGGAAGCACCTTGTGGAGATGGAGTGGCAGGAGGACCATGAGCATGGAACTATCTGGCGGGCAGGAAACAGCTGACTGACTGGCTCCTGGGCTCCTAGCTGCAAGTCCACATAGGTGGGGAAATCGATGTCGAGACCACTGAACTTGCTTTTTGGGGCCGGCCCCACCGACCCACATCCCACGCCGTGCCTACATTTGCCTGCGCTTTTAACATGGAGACATTCCTCTAAATTTATGCTTACCTGGGCAGCCGCCAGGAGATGCGGGTGGTGGACGACCGGCTCAGAAACTGGTGGCTGGACCGCAAGCCTGTTGAAACCCGAGCCGACACTGAAACGGGTGTCGTTGTAGTCAGACTGCTGCGGGTCTGCTCCAGGGATTGATTCTCGGAACTGTCGGCTGTATGCGGCTTTGCCTCGACCACCCAAGTGCACATCGGGAAAAGGCGAGTTAAACACATGCAAAGTCTGAGATGTGCCCGTGTTATGTTCGCTTCTAGGCCGGTGGCACGGCTGGTGGGCCAAGGCCTTGAGATGCTTCAGGGCTCTTGTGTTGGGTGCAGGGTTGGGGGCTTGGAGTCCAGTGGCAGAAGCTGCAGTACCGATCGCAAACGGAACTATTCACAACACAAGATGGTCAGGACAGTGCGACGTGGAAGTTGGGTGCATTCCATTCCGCCTTGCCCTTGGCGAGGCTTCTGTATAACGGACCTAGAGGCTCGAAAGCGAGGCGCGCGGCGGGACACGGAAGTTTCCGATATTGGGGTTTCCCAAGATGGTGCCCTTGTGGGAGGTTCCCACAAGAAGGATCATGCACGTGATGAGCCTTTGTGGATGCGGGGCGTTGGAACATGGTAGACAGCACTCACATCATGACACTCTGCATCACCTTCGGGCAGTTGGATCCCTGGGTGCCCGGGGGCTTTTGCATCATGTTGCATCAGGCACCTTCTTCGGGAAGGCGAAGATCGTCTTCTCCAAGGCGTCCCTGCCGAGGCCTGGACTTCTAGCTGCAACCACGGGCACGGGAAGTTCCAACATCATCATGCTGCGAAGCACCCAGAGATCCGATTACCTGTTTCAAGGCACCACTTCTCCTCGGGCGACGAGGTCATCGTCTCGCGTGGGAATCCCTTGGACGAGAAGGTGGCATGGAAGGGCGGCGCGGCCTGACCGTAGAAGGGAGGACCTGTATGAGAGTTTGTAGCTGCAAGCTGCTGTAGCGGATTCAAAAATCGAATTTGAGCGGTAGCCCAGTGCTGCAATCCCCGGCAAGCTATGTGGGACAACCATACTCATGCTCACCTCCTTAATTCAGAAGCTAATCCATCCAACAACCATGCTCCCCTGTATGCTTTATGAATGGCAGGCCTTAAGGTCTTGGAGGGTCTTAAATGGTCACCCCCTAGGTTGTTGGATTCGCCTCTTTCCCACCCCTTCCTTGTAGAACCGGACCCTGACACTGGAGACTTGAGGTGAGATTCTGGAGCAGCTCGGCTTTTATACGGGCGCCCAGGTACTGTAGGGAGGTGTTCAGTGGACACTTTCCGTTAACAACTTCCCCAAAACCTCCGAGCCCTGCTTGCTCAGGCTTGGCATGAATCGCCTTGCAATCGTGTCAGCAGCTGGGTGGAGACATGGAGGCTGCACAGCTAGGAGGAGTTCAGGCTGTCGGACACACCGCATGTTGGGCTGCCAGAATTCAGGGTCGAATTCATGGGCCTGAGACATTCCCGGATTTCTGAGCCATCTTATTCGTGCCAAGTTGTGCCGACATCTTTCTGAAGCTTGTGCAACATCCATTTTCCCTCCATTAGAGTAAGCCGCCCTCGACTTAGCAAGAAAACGACTTGGCTCAGATTGTGTGCTCATTTGAGGACAAGCCGCCCTGGGAGCTGACGAGCGGCCGCTGGAGATTAGATCGCGGCGCCAACAAGACGGCCTACGAAAGGACGCTTTGTGCCGTGAGTGTCTTGAACATTCTTGCATGCTCTCGCTCGATATTCAGGAACATGATTGAACCCGGCCGCTTCGTAAAGACCCCAGGACAAAGTCTGCCTTGGGGTACGTCACTGGTACAAAGCCTCCAGCTCAGACACATCATGAATCCAGTGCGCTGCGGTTTTCTGCTCATGTTTTCGGAGCATGAAAGCCCGAGACCAGCATTAGCATCATTGTACCGTCAGGAGGTCGAGGTGCTGTTGAGAACCTAAACATGACACCGGGGGCAACTCCTAAGTAAGCACCACAGTCAGCTAGGCAGGTGGCAAAAGCCCACGGACAGCTTAAGTTGAGTCCGGGCGCCGTGGGTCTCCAACCTTCCCGGCACTACTGACCTAAGAGGTGTCACCGAACACAAAATGCAATCAAGTTTTTCTGTTGCCCTCGGGTCTCTACAAACGACTCCAGATCCATTGTGTCCTGTTCAGCGGGACATCGGTCGCTGGCATCAGGTTCCGCGCACCTGCCATGAGAAAGCTGGTCTTGAACGAGGACTCTTCTCCAGGGATGCCGAGGTTGTCCACACGACAGCGGTCAGTTCGACTCTCACTTTGAAAGTTCAGGTGGGTTCAGGGTAGTGCATAGGGTTGCTGTGTACTCTCCCAGCCGGTGCCCTCTTTTGCCATCGCCTCGAGTAGTCCTCTACGCTTCAAATGTTTGAAATGTTTCATGAATCAAGAGACTTGCCAGGAAGGCACTGGCCTTCACAAGGGCGTCCCTGCCGAGTCTGACGACGACGAGGTGCAGGGCTCTTCTATGGCTGGTGTGAGGTTCCAAAACCACCAAACCCTCCCTGGCAATCTGGAAAGCTACACCATGCTACCAACCATGCTACTGTGCTACACCCCCAAATCTTCGGTCCCGATCAAGAAGGCGAGGTGCAATGGAGCTCTCGCAAGAGTCCAACAGTTCTGTTCAAAAGAAACGACCCTAAAGCCCGATCAGTCGGGCTTCAGTGCTGTTGCTTGGTGCCTCACTGTCGTCCCGGGCCCTCTCAAGTACTTAGACACCAGAGTGAAGCGCTTGTTGAACTAAACTGCGCACTCCCATCGTCAAAACCATGAGAAGCAAAGTACACATTCAGAAGTAGATGTTCAGATGCTCGTCTGCATGAAGTTTCGGCAAGCAAAAAGAACCCTTTTTAGCTCTTCCTCCTGGGTGACTTCGAGATCTGCAATGGAAGCGTCTGCGAAGCGCCCGCGTTTCTCTTTGCAGAGCGACGTCGAGGTCGAGGCGGCCGACGGGGAAATTGTCCTGGTTCACTCCTATGTTCTCATGTCCGCCTCGGAGGTTTTTACCCGGATGTTGCAGTCAGAGGTCTTTCTGGAGGCACAGACGGGTCGCATCGTGTTGAAGGACAAGACGCGCGAGGAGATTCAAGAGGTCTTAAAGCATCTTGAGGGCCGGAATGGAGCTGAGCCACCGCCTGTGACGGACCAGAATGTAGAGCTGCTGGTGCGGTTTGCCGATGAGTATCAGGTCACTGGATTGCGAGAGCGTTGCATCTCTGCAATGAAAGTGCTAGCGAAGCAGAAGATGATCCGCTATTTGAAGTTGGCAATCAAGTACAACATGCCAGATATCGTTGAGCTGTGCGTTCAACACTTGGTCGAACTGCACTGCGCTGAGGGCGAAAGACAGAGACAAAGCAGTCCTCGATTCGGCTTTATGTCCAGACACACTCAAGCGCCCACGAAAGCGGATCGGGCAAGGGCGGCTTTGAGAGAGAAATCCAAGGATACCTTGCTGGGACTGGAAGACAACCCAGCTGTGAGGAGTGCCGTGTACCGTGAATTCTACAAGATGATCGCAGAAGATGAGAACGTGGAGAGGCTTCGTGACGAGGAAACCTCGGTGCGTTGCTCTGCACATTGGAAGACGCTAGTGAACATGTTGCTTGCGATGAGGATACAATGCCCAGAGGAAAAGGCTGTGCAGGACGACATGCCAAGTGAATGGATGGCCGCCTTTTGGCCCTTGTTGCGCATGGCTGTTGCAGACTTTGAAACAGTCAGAGATGCAGAGTACAAGGATTTGCTGACCAAGCCGGACAGTTGTGTGCAAGAGGATCATCAGGAAGGTGAAGAGGAGGAGGAAGACGCTGAGGATGAGGAGGTTAATCCATCATAACGAAGCGTGGCTGCAACGCCATGTGTGCACTCTTTTTGAGCCAAACCGGAGCCAAAGAAAGTGCTGGAAAAAACACGTTGGCCGAATCGGGCAGGGTGGAAGAAGTCAGCTGGCTTTGGTGCAAAGGGTCTGCTGTGACTGCAGCATCCAACCATGTTTTTTTATTTTTGTTTCGTACTTTGTGTGTTTTTTGCGAAGCACCTCTCCTTTCCCATTACTTCATGGCTTCTTAACAGAAGGCCTCCTCATCCCAGAGGCATGCTCTATCATGTTCGACTTTCTCATGACAGGGCTTGCCTTTGACTCATGTGTGAAACAAGTGAGCGTTTCAGGGGGCCCCATCTTGGGGGGCACGGTCGCACATATAGGCGAAACGCCCACGTGACTGCCCACTGGTCACCGAAAGTTGGGGATGTTTTTCCAGCCGAATGAACCAACTCCACTTGTCCACGTGTGCACTGCCCGTTCAGAAGGCTGAGGAGGAGATCTCTTGTTCCGTGTCCCGATTCTGAGCCACATCCTCAAGGCCATCAAAGTTCAGCCATTAGGCCTTCCAATTGTTCCCATGGCGGCCCTCTGAAGTACAGATTTTTGTTGCGCAAGTAAATCAAGCCAACCTCAAACTTTGCATACAGCCTTATGGCTCCAACAGTGGCTTCAAGAAAGGCACCGACATGGGGGGAAAAAACGGGGACAACAAATTAAAAAAAAACTCCCGAGGATCTTCCCCCCGAGCCTTGGCCCGATGTGTTCCAGGATGCATGGCTCTCCTTGGACGCCTCGCAACGCGCCGCCGCACGTCAAGCGGTTGAGGCCCGGGCCAGTGGGAACCCTTGGCCCATAGGTGAGTTCGTTGGCCCATTGTGTTGAAGGAAGGCTGAGAAAGGTGGAGATGCAGCATGCGGGCACATGTAGCGACAACCTGTGGAGTCTCCAATGTTTCGGAAGAAGCCTCTCGGGGGAGAGCTTGACAAAACCTGGATTCGGAACCAATTTCCGGATTTCATCAGATTCGGGTTGGGCTAAGAGGGCGGGCCCATACGAACCCTTCCTGTGGACAGGCTCCTCTGAGCCTGATTCAAGGGCCGCCTGGCACAGGCAGAGACAGCTGTGCGAAGCTAGGCTGTCAGAACTGGAGCCCCTTGTTGCTGGAATTCAGGAATTTGGTTGCTGGAATTCAGGAATTCGAGTCAACATTCAGGAATTCAAGCAGAATTCAGAGATGGCGAGCCTCAGCCGAGGAACCAAGTGACTTCGCTGACAGTAGGCTGAGGCCTAGGCTCCAGGGCGTGCCAGACAATGACGAGATGATGACAGCGGGAGGGTACGTGAACGACCGGAGACAGCACTGGGCAGATACCTGGGCAAAAGGAAGAGCCAGTGAAAGGGCGTAGCACAGATGATGCAGGGGCAAAGAGGATGAATCCCATGGGGGGAGAAATGGCAGAGTAATAGGGGATTAGCACGCTACCTGAACTTTGTATAGGGCTCTGGGGTCGACCATTTCTCTCCTGCCCCGTGCGGCTTGAACGCCCACCACCACAGAAGATGGCGAAATATGGTGTTGAGGAGCAGTACTGACGTGTCCTGGGTATGTTTCACTAGCCAATGAGCCTTTCACCAGTTAGCAAACAGTGAGTGTTGAGTAGTATCACCAGCATGACTGTGGCCACATGTGCTGCAGAGCCGATGTTGAGACTGTTGAACCTGTGTGCCTCGCCTGGCTTGTCCGAGTGTGAGCGATTAAACGAGACCTTTCCAGGGTTTAGGCGTATGATTCTTCCGGCCGTTGCACTCTTGCATCGTTGTAGCACTTGTTCGCATGATGTTGCATGTCCTGTCTTGCTTTGGCCATCAAGTCAAGACAGTGCCTCGGTCGCAGGCAAGACGACGACCACATGTCACCTTATACGCCGGCTCGTGGAGAAGCGTGGGAAGGAGCTTGGCCATCGGCATGCTAGACTAGTTCCTGCAGGATTGCAGCACCCTGGCTCAGAGCCTCGTTAGCCGCCGCTCGCAGGACAGCCGTGGCTGCAGCATCCTAGTTGCTGCCGACAGCAACTGGTCTTGGTTTCTGCGTGCCCCATATACAGAATACAGCAACGTCTGCCGCGGGCAGCTCCTGGAGAAACGACAAGTCTCATAAGTCATAGACTTTCCATCGGGATTTCTGCTAGATCCCGGTAGCACTGCCTGAGTCGCGCGAGTGACATGTCTTGGCAGATCGCTGGCATCTTTGCCTACCCTAAGGTTCGAAGGTTGCTCGGAAGATGGGATGATTTGATCTTTTCAGAGCTGAAAAGTAATTTAAAGCAGGGCTTCAACAGCATCACTTTTCGGAGGCAATGTAGCTGTGGATCAGCTGCTGGCTGGATTAATCCGTCTGGGGGTGAAGGCACGCTTGCTCAGCGGCTGCGGAATGCCAATCATGTTGCTTGTGGCACAGATTTGCTTCTCCATTCTTTCTGCATGTGGAATAGCAGCCTGCTGAAAGTGCTGCACTACTGCAGGCACTTCGCATTGGCTTCCCATCGAAAGTGAGCCAGGCAGGCTTTAACACTGCCGTCGCCGCCTAGCAAGTGTGGTATGTAGCAGTTCGAGCCACCGCAGCATCGCTTTTAGGTGTAGCCCAATGCTGTCTGCTTTCCGGATAGGGAGGTAGCAGGGCAGGCACAAGAATCCCAGGCCCGACGTAGGTATGTGGGATCAACTACGAGGGCTCCAGTCACCATTGAACACCCTATAGGCCCTTAATGGCCCTTAATTAGCTGGAAAGCCGAACCGCAATTGCTACAGGCATCGCCTCTAATGCCCCTTCAGAGGCCCCTCTAGGGGGACGCGCTTCCTCGGGCCACAAGCCTCAGTGAGTTGAGATGCATTCAGTCAATGCTGCAGCCCATCACAGTACTCAAAGGCTCGTGGGTACTCATAAGTAGGTTTATAAGTACTAAGTAGCCTGACAAAGGTTATAGACTTACGACGCTACTTCTAAAGACCCATAGTGCTCCGAGCAGGAGCTGCGCGCGCACACCCTTCTGGCCCAGGCGGAGGTGCGCAGTTTGGGCATGGGTGGGGCAGTCGCGAGGAACTTATGGGTTTTGGACTCCTTTGCGATTCTGATTCTGTGATTCCTGCTAGTGAATTCTGAGCTGCAAGAGTGAAGTTGGGAGTATTCGGGGCTGGTGGCAAGGCTTGGCTCCAGGCGAAAAAAAACACACGGAAGAGCCCACAGCGCAGCATCCCGTGGCCCCCCTACAGCTCAAGCCAAGAAGCAGCGGAAGGGCCATGTTCCGATCGATAGCTGGTCCCCTTCAAGGAGTCTGATTGCAGGTCAGGCAAGGTTGCTACGTGTCGGTGCTCAGCAAGCGGCAGTTCGGGCAAATATCCTGGAGATACATGGACCTGGTACGTCTCGTTCCTTTTCGGTTTCTTCGGCCGCGGTAGTTGCCGGGGATCAGCACGCTGTCGGCAATTTGCCATCTTGCGACGGTACTGGAGTCTGCTCCAGTGTCTCAGACATGGATAGGGGCAACATTACGCCAGTCAGCTTCCTTTTGAGGTGGCCCTTTTGTTTCGCTCGGGGCTGGTTTGCAGCCCTCTTGGTGCTTTGGTGGGATGGCTGGGCATGCATGCCTAGGAAGCTCATTTTATCATTCATCAAGCATGGAACGCCCTTCCCGACTATTCGGATTTGGCAGCCTTTGGGATGGTAACCTGCAGCAGCAACTGCGTGATCAATCTTGGCACAGCTTTGGGGGCAAAGCTACGGGTCGCAGCAAACCAAAGCGATCGGTGGAAAGACACCATAGCACAGCCTTTTATGTAATGAGCTGCGCGGAGTAATGCGGAGTAATTGTCGGGTGCTCATGGTCAGGAGTTTTTTGTGGCATGGCCTGCCGCAGTAACGTGCAGCCTGCGATGATGGCCAACGTTGGAAGCCAGATGAAAGTTGCCGCCGCCGTGTGGATGGCAACAAAGTGCTTGGAAATGCGGTTCCGCTTGTTCATCCTGGGCCACTGCATGCCATGAGGAGAGGTTGCCCATGTGAAGACCTCCGAGAGCAGGTGTGCTGAGCTGTCGAGTGCGTGGAGGAACAGCTCGAGGACGAAACGATGCAGTGGTTCCAGAAGCTTCGTCGTTGGGACTGGACCACTACGTGCGCCACGTCCTCGCGCAGTATCCAGTTCCAGCCGTTGATCACGCGGACGTTTGCCGGAAAAGAGTTCACCTTGCATTCTGCTCATTCTGGCTTTCGCTTAGCGAAGCTATGTCTAGCAGCTATACGCAGGTCAGCTCCAGATACATGGTAATGTTGCACCCTGCTCTAGTGTGTTCCCACCCCCGCCCTGAACTGGTTTCCGCTCTCTTTAAACAGTCCATGGTTCCATATGATTTAGTAGGGACGAACTGTTTATATGAGTCAAAAGGGACAGCCAGGCCCGGCGGCTGATTGCCAAGACGCTCTGCACGAATGTTTCTCACGAAGCCCGGAACGATTTGAGGTAATAGGACCCCACAGAAGGGCGTCCAACTTTACTTACAATAGCTTTTCTACAACATGGAGTGACGAAAAGTCTGTTTGTTTGTCGTTGGCGGCCGAGCTCGCTATGGAAGCAAGCCGCGTTGCCATCACCTGTGGGTGGGTTTTGCGGTGGACTCCGCTTCTAGCGAAAGCTTGCGCTTGATGCCGTCGATATCAACAAGTCGGCGGAGGAACCTTGTCGCTGCAGTCAAAGCTCCATGAATCCCTTTTGAACCTGCGCAGGAGCACCCGCTGCGACTTGGCAGCCTTGAGTGTGAAGGCGTAGTTCTCAGATTTCTCAATATATGATATATACTATATAATATATCATATAGAATATATAATATAGAATATATACTATAGAATATAAAAAATAGAATTTATAATATCGAATATGTAGTTTTCAATTTAGAATATATGGTATAGAATAGCTAATAGATAATATAGATAATAAAATGTATAATATATAGTATGTAATATATTGTATATTTTATAATATATAGTATATATAATATCTTATATGAGCAGCGGTGCGCCCCGGATGTTGCGCTTGAATTGCTGTTTTATCGACGTTGAGTCCAGGAACTCGAAGATCGAAGAGACGTCGAGATCTCAGTAGCAACTCGTAGCATCATGGTGCGATAGCATGCGAGTTGCTAAAAACAGCCGGTGCTGCTGAACCAGCGGGGATAACATACCGAGCTCCTTGTATTCTGCATGCTCACGTCTAGCAAAGATAGTCCGATGGTGAGGCGGGAAGCTTTGTCCAAAGTCAAAGATGCGTTGTACTCAGGCCCCCGCTGTATGCCCTTGGCACTAGTACTTTGCTAGCGCGAATGTTTGTGCCAGGCGCGCTCAAAGGAAAAGGAAAGGGCCTGGCTCACCGTGACATCTCCTTGCACGTGCGCGACCTCCAAAAGTATGAGCAGGAGGTGCCACGTGCTGCGTAGTGGAATTTGCGGTGCATTCCCACATTGCCGTTTGCAAACTCCTCATACATGAGTTGCAATCGAGAGTCTGCTTCCAGCATGACGCCAGAGTCATGGCAAGCTGGCAAGCAGCAGAAGACGCACAACCCATTGCAACCAGCAAAGGTGACTGACGACCTTATCGCCAATGCAGAGGCGAGCACGGCACAACACTGATTTCATCCACTATCTACAGCGACACCTCACCAATCTCAGTCAACCCTGACATTTATCGGGAGCCCGTGCCGCCAGGTCATTTGCGCTACCCTTGTTGGCTGCGGCTGCGATGCCTTGCTGCGGAGCGATTTTCATACAGCAGGGGGCTGAGGAAGCGGTCCTGAATAATCTGAACAAGCGCTAGTGCCAAGTCTGTTCCGGTCTGTTCCAGGTTTTGCGTGCGTGTGTGCGATTTGGTTGTCATGCGACTCCAAACGAAAGGTTCAGTTCATGCGGAACATCACTCGTCATGGCCAGCGCAATCTTGTGTGAAAAGCTGCTTTTACCCAACGCATTTTTCTTAAAGGCTCCAGAAAGGGTTCAGCAGGTGGTCATCGACGAGGCATCCCAGGCCACCGAGCCACGCTGTCTTATCGCCTTCCAGACTCTTGCTTAATCTGTGGAAGTCGAGGGGGTCGTAGGCTTTGGATCTTAGGCTTCGAGGTGGAGGCCGCACAGGGTCGGTTACAAACAGGGGTCGGTCTGAATGTAAAGTTTCAGAAGGGACTTCGAAGGTCTCTGGTGCAACAGCCGGGCACTAGCGTGGATGGCCATTCTAAAGGATGGGGTGTACAGGCCTAAGTGTCGCCCACAATTTATTGTCCTTTTAAACAAAGGTGTCCAGCAAGTTCAAGGAGGTTGCTGCTTTCAGGTCGGATGCGTGGGATGAAGCGTCGCAAGAGAGACAAGGTCTAGAAAAGGGCGCGAGTAGAGGCTTTTCCACTAAGTTACTGCCGCGGCTAGAGCCACATTGTTGCGTCGCTGCTTCCACGATGGCTTGACACTCGCGGTGGCATACTAGTAGCCTCTACGAGGGCGACCATGGACCCACAACATTTGAGCCTTAGCTCGTGCAGGTATGGCAGTCTGTAAGAGCTTGGTGTAGAACAGCAAACCACCCTAAACCCTTCTGGGGAACTTTCCCAGGAAGGCGCGGGCCCAGCTCCTCATGGTCGGCGACCAGCAGCAGCTGCCACCAGTGGTCCTATGCCAAGCTGCGGAAGAGAAGGGACGCCCTGGCCAGGTGAAGACTATTTTTTACTATTTTCGTATTGGCTTGGGAGGTTTGGGACAAACTGTTGCGGGGGGAAAGAGGAGCGTGGTGGACGGGTGCAGGTGGTCGTGGATTGATCCCAGCCAGCTTCTTGACGTGGTGTTGTTTTTGTAAGTTAGCTCAGAAGTTTGAGTCATTTGAGTGCCTCTTACTTGTCGGGAAAGATTAATCGATGGACGACCTCCTGCCTGCGACTCACAAGCGGGCATTTCCCCAGCTGGGAAGGCTTCAACTTTTCCTTTTTGGGGCTTTTATCCGCAGCTCCCCTAAGGACTGCGATGCTCGCTGTTCGACCGGCTGCTGAACTCGCCCACACTCTTCAACCAGGAGATAAGCATGCTCCAGGCAGAGCACATGAGCCAGTCATCACAGGTCACGATGCCATGTATTCTGCCAGAAGCTGCCAGGTGCAATACCGAATGCATCCTCTGATCCGTGAGTGGCCGAGCTCGCAGTTCTACAGCGACAGGCTACAGGACCCGTTTGGCACAGGGCTTGGAGAGCTTGGACTTTTTGAATGTCGGCTGTCTCAAAATAGCTATTCCAATCCACCTCTGATGTTAACCAACAGTGAACTCGTGGAAAGCAAGCGTCTGCCAGTGAGGATGGCTTGCCCATAAGCACCTTCGCATCGTGTGTCATGACCCAGCCCTTCCTCTCCAAGCCGCATGGTCCGCACATGATTCTAGAATTCACACTCGCCTTTTCGGGATTATCGTGGGCTTTGCTCGAGGGCTGGGGCAGAGAGCTGGACCTTCATGCCAGACCATGAGGTCATCTCCACACCACAAGGCGCCGATCATGTTCCTCGATACCTCCGAAGGTTGCAAGCAGGCCATCTGGGCCGCTTTCCGTGCCCTTCAGTGCGGTAGCCCCTCCACAGTGTGTGCCGAGTGTTAGAGGACCTGCAAGCTATAGTTTTTGCATTGTGGGCAGGGTTGGTCATGTGGTATGGGTTGGTAGCTTGAGCCGATGCGGGCGGTCAATGCAGTCAATGCATTTTTGTCGTTCATGTTACGATGGAGAGTCGGGTTTGGCCTGCGCCCGCCTGCCAGACCGTGATGACATTTTTGCAGAATTTCGGCGGGCGCACGGGCATGTCCAACACGGAGAGCCAGAACAGCGATGGGACGCTTGCGCCAAGAGTTGGAAGCCCGAGCGTATAGCGGCCTGCGGAGAGTGCGCAAGAGGGAAAGGATGCAATCCTATAAAACCCCTGTTACCTCCTAATCTTAAATATTCCCCATACCCTATAGATCCCTATAGTATGGCTAGCACGGGAGTCTTTAAAATTTGGGGGGCAGGGGGGTCAATTTAGGGGGAGGCGACTACATTCCAAGCTGGCCAGGTTAGGATGAAGGCCATGAGCGTCAGAGTTAGGGCGTTGAGTACAAGGAGCAAGTACAACCTGCTGGAGGTGGAGCTGGCAACTCTGCTGAATGTGACTGGTGAATTGCTTGCCTCCTTGCGTGTCCCTAAGAAAGCCTCAAAACTAGACCAGGGCTCCGTGCCGAAAGCCGAAAGACCCAGACGCCCTGCAGCATCCCTTCAGAGTCTGTGACCCAATCCTGCTCGCTCTCGCGTTCGTTTTCGCTCTCGCTCTCGCTCTCTCTCTCTCTCTCTCTTGCTCTTCTCTCTGCTCTCTTTTCCGTCTCGGCTCTGCCTTCTTAGACCCAATGCTCCAGCAGCCAAGGTGAAAACTGTGCTGAGGAAGTTGCTTGAGGCCGAGTACGCCGCAGCAGCATTTTGATGAATTTGGAATTCCGGGACTGCGGAAGTTTTTGTAAGTCGCTATAGCAAATCAAATGGTATGCTCCGGGGCTGTCTGTATCAAACGCTTGCCTGGTTTCGCAGAAGCTGAATTTCTAAACTGCAATGCGATACTGCGTGTTTGTGTCCGCATGCAGAAGCCATTTGAAGCGACTTGAGCTGTATTGCACCGCATGAAAAAGTGCAGACAAGCCCGAGTATGTTCATGGAAGTGGAGTGGTGGACAGAGTCGCAAGCTTGAGTTTCCTTGCAACATGTGCATGGGTGCAAAGGGTACACGTGTAGAAGGTTTCTCGCCTGGCCTAGTGCCCGAAGCCTTAAAGCGCCTTTGGGATGCCATGGCCTCACCCTTCCACATGTCGAGCCAGATGCTTGGAGACTCAGAGGAGTCTGGGGGCCGGGACGCAGAAATTTGCTGCCAGCAAGCCATTGGCAGACCCGAATGCCAAGCGGACATGCGCAGGATTGTTTCGGCTGGTTTTGCGTTGAGGGAGAAGAGAGATCCTTAGCGTAACCTCAGTTGCTGCACGAGAGTTCTGGGAAGATCTGCAAGAACAAGTTCGATGGGGATGCCTTGGTTGCGGCAGGAGCTGGAGGTGTGCTGCAACTCGGCCCAAGGGTTCAGATTTTCAGGAGCCCTCTGGCAACTTTGATCAATGAGGGGGCTTCGACATTGTCTCCATGACAGGCATTTGCCTCGACTCGCTTTGTGCCCAGCCCGTGGTGGCACTGCTACTGCCGGGCGGCGCCAGCCTTTGCTGTCTCATGGCCCAATTTGGGGGATGAGGTGAGGGCTTTTAGGTTGAGAGGTCGAAGGGTTTTAGAGTGATTCTTCTCTCACCCATTCACGCCGAAACTCGATCCTACCAGAGCGGCTGTGCACTCAGCAGAGCCTCCTCAAAGTGCCGTGAACGCTCAATTTTCCTGATGGAATGAAAGTTGTTTTTTTGCAGCTTAGGCGGGCACTACCTCCACGCCGAGTGCGCGGAGCGGCTCAGACCCAGGTGACTGGGCGGCCGGGGGATCCCTGAACCCGAGTGAATTCCCCCTCCTCCCTCGACAACAGAAAGCTGAACCCCAAACTATGGACTTTGGTTCAGCTAGGCAGAGCAAATCCAAACGTTTCGGCTAACTTTCTTTCTGGTTTCCTGGGGTACAGTAGTTTTAGAAGCAGCCAACCGGATTCATGCTCAAACATAAATTATTAAACTCAACTCATGAACATGGTTCAACCAGTTTGTTTGCAGGCGCTGCCCCATCTGCCGTGGCAACTTCGGAGCCCTCTCCTTGCCCATGGCCAAGGAGGAGCTCCAGGACCAGTTCAGGGTTAGGGTTGAGGGTTTAGGGTTTAGAGTTTTGCAAAAGGATTTCGGGGATGGAATTCCGGTGCCGCGTGACCTGCTTTGGAGGCCCTAAACTACATAAGGAAGACGCATGAATACGCTGTACCCAGAGGGGATCTTGGACTTGCTGTCTTCCCAAATTGGTCCGGAATTTAGATCACCCCTCACCCCCCCCCCCCCCCTTGTCGGAGTTTAAGGCTCGGGCTGGGGCACCTTTGTATTATATTTTTAGAGAACAGCGCGTTGTATCTTTCCAGGCATATAAGCATTAGGGTTTTGTTCGTTTTGGGGGGACTCTGGTTTAAGAAGGCCACACAGGTTGCACACCCACGCAGCATGCCCCGAAACATGCCCGCGAAACATACCCCCGAAATTGCGTCTAGAGTAGCGCATGATGCCGCGAAACATACCCCGGAAGCATGCCCACGAAACATACCTTGATCCCAACACCTGTCGCCCGCCCCATCGAACAAGCCCATGTGTGTATACTCATGTGTAATGCCATATATATATATATATATGTACATACATATGTTTATATATATATATATGTACCTGTATACAGTACACGGATTATACTGCTGTGACCCCAGCCCCCACTAAGAGCCCGAACCCTGAGAGGGGCTTGCGGCTTATGGAGGTTTAAGGCCTTTAGGTGTCGTGGAAAATTGGGGGGGCGTCAGGGAGCTCCCACAACCCGGTGCAGCCAACAAATACCAAGTCCAAAGCTGCCCCAGTTGGTAGGTCGCTCCCGATGTAGGTATGGGTTTCGGGCTGAGGGCTAATGGGAGTTGGACATGGCATGTGTTCTGTGCCCTGAGGACATGGAGCCAGCGCGCATCATGACAGGGCTGCGCCTTCCGGCTCAGCGGTTCCAGTCTTCTAGTAGTGTCATTGGAGCTCTGTTTTGCATTCCCAGTTTCATCCTTTCGCACTTATATGTTGAAAAGGCATGCAGCATCTGCACGTTTGCATATTTTGTGCAGAGTTGTCGGATGAGTAGCCTGCGAACTGCGGCACGATGCACAAAGTAAAGACCCCGGCCTGGAAGGACTCGAAAGACCAGCTGCTTCCACCTAGGGACCCAGGTCTGGTTTGCGCAGAAGTCCCTCAAATTCCCGGGTTTAGGTGCGGTGATGTAGGACCTGCGCGACGCGTGATGCGGAGAGCTGATAGGCTTTCTGGCCGGCTCCGAGCAGGGCAATGTGCAGGATGGTGAGGCGCGCTGGCTTCAATGACCGCCTCCCTCATTTCGGACAGCTGAACGCAAATCTCAGACATGAATCTACGATTTCCAATCTCCGAGACAACCCGAAGTCCTACATTCTCTCTGCCAAACATCAGGCCACTGTGCCGGTGCGCGTGGCCCTCCCTTTGCTCTCAGCGCTGCTGCCACTGCGCCAGGCAAGTCCCGACCCTGAGATTTGCAAAAGAGGTGCATTGTTCCTTGTTGGCAACATTGGAGTCGGACGTCGGTGATGGCTGGATATGAAGGGTGTACCTCGAGTTTCCAGTCAGCTACGGCCGGACAGGCGACGCTCGCAGCGTATGTGGAGAAGGAGTTGTCACGCCAGTGCTTTGGTGAGCCGACATAGTATCCCCAGAAAGCCTTAGAGACTCGCTCTACGTGAGGCCCGATCTAGCCCCAAACTCTTGCAGCCCACAAAGCACCCAAATGTGGACAAGCAAGTCAAGGCCCAGCTTCCGTCAGGAGATCATTCGAGGCGACCAGGATGGCCTGGGCCCTGAGTCTTGGCATGTCTTGGCCGAGACTTACTGGGCTTCAGGGTTCGGGGGTGGAGGGGTGAAGCAGTGTGCTGAGCCGGACGAGTGTTTTGTTCAAAAAAGGTTGTTCTGAACAAAAAAAGTCTCTTTGGGGGGTACGCACCCTGAATGGGGAAAAAATGAATGGGCCCATGCCCCAATGGCACCCAAAGAGGGGCTTTAATTTCAGGAAGCCAGTTCGATACTCGTATGTCTCAGCAAGTTGAGCTTCAGGAGCAGAACGTCCAGGGCCTGGAATGTCGTGTAGGTGGCATGAAGACAGGGTTTAGGGTTTGGGGTTTGGGGTTTGGGGTTTGGGGTTTAGGGTTTAAGCCTCAAGTCCCGTTTCCTGTAGATTTTTTGGGAATTCCATGTATTGGGCTTGCAGTCTCGGTTCTGGTACCTTCCATGGCTTTCCAGGATGGGCTCAAGAAGGTCCTGCGCCACGTGGGCTTGGGTCAGGGCAGCGGAAGGCCTCTGCCCCAGCCAAAGGTTGCCGTGAAGCCACCCGAAAACCAAGGCCTGAATGCTGCAGCAAAGTTAAAGAATACTAGAATTCTAGGGCCAGAAAACGACACAACAAGACACACCTTGCACTCGAGTTGGTTTTCCCTCACCCTTGTGACAGACGCTCCACTGCTGTGACGCTTTGAAGAAGAAATAGGCTGGCATGTCAGCATCATGCGGTACCACACTTATTGTGCAATCGCTGGCCAGAGTGTGGCATGACCAATGATCGTGGAGCAATTTGCAACAAAAAGAAGTTCCGCGATCCGGTTGCAAGGCTGTCCTCCGCGACACCGGGCTTGCAAGCCGAAGGCCAAGTAGTCAACGCTTGAGTTTCTGAGGTTGGGGCGCTCGCAGCCACCTAGCCACTGAAGCAGTTCATGCGTTCATGCACTACTCAGTATTCTTCATGTACCAACATCTTGCTGTTTCATCGGAGAGCAGTGGCTCACCGCTTCAGAGTCACACAGCCATATCAGCCACGGCCTGGGCACCCTAGTACGGAATTGACTCACAACATTTTGAGGCCAACGTCCAAATGCTCTGGATTCTAGCTTCTGGGGTGTCTCGTGTCAATCGCCTTCTGCAACGCCCACGCAGCCCACAGAGCATCGCCTGTCTGCATTGGATAGATATGTGAGGCCAGCCAGGTGCAACGCAAACATCCTGAAACCCAGGTGAGGCAAAGTGCAAAACTCACATCCCCAGAACCCGGAAGTCCCATAATAATGCCATTAAGCACATGTTGTTGAGCCTGAAAGCCTTAAAGACTCCGAAACTCTAAACATCACAAAGCTCCACAGCCCAATACAGCCTGAAGATCAACAGAACGCTGACGCACGCCCTAGACGAACCTCGAAACATCCCGAACAGGCTACTCGCTGGCCTTACGCCTCTCGCGACGCCTGCGGCGGCTGGCCCTGAAGCTCGCAGGGGTGGCGACCTCAGAGTCGAATCAGGGAGGTGGGGCGGAGACCCCCCAAAGACCTTCAAACTGTGGAGCACTTGCAGAGCCCTTCAGTAGAGATGCATTCTATGAGCCCTAAGAAGGACATGCTTTTTGTCTGAAATCCTCTGCTGCACTGAGTGGCCTCCTCTCCATGCTAAGAGTTGTGGTGCGGCGGTGAACAGTACTGGGGGAGGTAGAGCGCATAGACTCTAGACAGGCGAACAATGTGCGGCAGCGGAATTTTGTTTACGCTGAGCATGTTTTGTTGTCTACACCCGATGCAAAGAGCTGTAGTAGGCTGGATGGGCAGGCCGCCCGCCACAAAGAGCGCGATGCAATCCGCAGTCCCTAGCAGATTCTTCTTTGGCGATTACATTCTGCCACCTTCCTGCCATCGCATCCAGTTTGGTGAACCATGTGGAGCCCCCTGCAGTTTCACATCTGTCGACCGAGGCCACTGGCGCCGCAACCTCGCTGATGTTGTGGGACTGCAAAGTGCAGCGACTCATGGGAGAGGTCCCACAATGTTCATCTGCCCATGCGACGTGTAAATGTCTACTGAGCTTGCCTTGCAGACTGCCCATCAGCAGATTCAGCCCTACTCTTTATTTATAAAGGACGCTTACGGACCCTGGATTGTTCTCATGGTTTCGTCGGAAGTTTCCTGGGTTGCTTTCGGCTCCCTCAAACTTGTGCGCCTCGGCTGGGTGGGGGCTGTGGTCGTATCATCTCCATCTCAGGCACTCCACCTTGGTGCCGTCGGGATGCTTTGTGGCATGTTGCTGCTGAGCCGCAGATCCTCACAGCTCGAATCCGCCCCGTACCACAGCATCCCACAGTCCTTCTGTCCCTTGCTTACTTGTGAAGTGGAGGTTGAAAGGCCTCCAGCCTGCCTCTGTTCCCTGAGACACCAAACTCCCGGAACCCATAAACGCATGCAGTAATTATTATAGTCATGTATTTGTGTGGGGTCAGGGTAGTGTGTTGTGCAGTTAGGTAGGGCACTTGCCTCTCACTCACAGTTTGGGCTGCCTTGGCGCGCTGCCGAGGATCAGGCCCGGGTTTCAGAAGGCTCAGGGACTTCGGGGCTCCCGTGGTTATCAGGTTCCCGTGTTCCGAACCTCGTAGACCCTGAGTCCTGCATGCCATCCACGTTGACTTCGGTGCCTAGGCTTGCGGCTTACAGGGCGTCACACGTTGCAACTCGTGCGTGTGGAGGCTGCGACACGTCCGCAGCAACATTGAAGGTGCTCGCCTCATTCACTTAGGAATGAGTTCTCAGCAGTCATCTGGGTCAGCGGCTGCGTGTGTTTGCCTGTGTGATCGGTGGGGCTGCCTGCCTCAACTGAGATCTGGACGAGTTGAACTCGATGCGGGTTCTGCATCTCGACAGCACCAGGCTGCATGTGCGAAGGTGAAACAAAGCATTCCAAGAACCCGAAGCCAATGCAGGCGCGGCTGGAATTCTACAATATTCTACATGGAACAGTTACCTCGAATGGTCGTCATGCCCCAAAGCAACAAAGGCTCCTGTATGTGATCACCGTGATTGCCCTGGAGCTCCTCTTGCTGAGCATCCGCGATCCGCGCTGGGCCAGGAGCTCATCATGGCTTCTTCGAATGTCTTTGTGGAGCGTCTGAGGTGTCGATTCGAGTTGTGTTTTTTGTGCTTTCGGGCTTGGGCCCCAGATAGATGTGCAACGCCGAGAGTGGGTGGAGGGCTTACAGTTGTTAAATGGCTTGGCTGTCTGGGACACGTAGGGCCGAGGGCCTCGGAAAGTCATCACGCAAATGAGTTCTGACCAGCTGGCTTTCAGGATCGCCTGGCCTGTTCCAGTTTTGAGGAGATGCAAGCCCCATGCCAAACGCCCCTAATTCTGTACCCGAAATCCATTGCAAAACCACGAACAACCCTACAACGGCACTTCCCCTTCGACAGAGGTTAAGCGTGGACTGCGCTTTGGAGCCTTGCTGGGCAGCTGAGACGCAATGCAAGTCTTTGCATGGCCAAATTAGCAGGGCGACCGCTAGGAATCGGGAAATGAGCAAGACTTCAGGATTTACAGATTTAGGGCTGGTAGGGGATGTGGTGGCCGAAGGAATTGCGCAATCGGTGGCTAGTGTTCTCTGGGCTCCGATGAGGGAGGGTAGTGGAGGCCGGATCCCGGCTTCACACCGACAATTTTTTTGTCCCCAACACCGGTGATCTGAAGTCCTAAACTTCAACTTCTGTGTACCATGAAACAACACGAACCTCTCAGACCTTCTGGAAGCCGAGGTGCCGTGCTCGGCTGGCTTCGGGCACTGGCTGTTGTGGATCCAGCCTCCCCGCGGCATAGAAACATCATTCAGGGCCGAACACACGACAACATGACAGCCTCTTTATAGCCATTTGATGCAAGGCTGTTTTTTTTTTGCATCGCGTCAATGCCCACCTTGAATACTGTCGCGTGCTGCATCTTCCAACGATGCGCGGGCTGAAGAGGAAGCAACACAAAAGACACGAAGCAATCTCGCCAGTATCTCGCCTGACAGGAGCATGCAGCAAGAAACTGCATAAAGCCGCAAGATTGAATGCCCAACAAAAAATAGCCTAACTTTGCAGGATTTTGAACAACCTAAGCCTTACACGCTTTGTTCTACGTGCCTTACCCCTCCTTGAGCTTCAGAGCTGGCCGATGCTGATTCTTCATAAAGAAAAGGTCTTGGAATTAGGGAGATTAGAGCCTCTTGGGCACCTGGCTGGAAAATCGCATAAGGATCGGCACGGCTTTGGCCGCGTCTTCCAGTCGCTTGGCACCGAACTTTGCTGGGGCAGCTGATGCTTTAAAGTCCTTTCGATGCACGCAGCCAGCACACACCGCTGGAAAGCTGTCAAGCGTGGCTAGACGCCAGCAGCATGTGTAGGATGCCCCGTAAAGCAGAAACATGACGGCACAGCTTCGAAAGTCGAACTACCTCCACACCTATTGCTGGGCAGCTGCGTTTCCACGCCTAGAGGGAAACCCCAATCACCAAGCCCTCCGCCGGGCCGGGTACTGGCAGGCTGGTGCCTTTGAAAGGGGGATGCTTTGTTCAGATCTTCTGAGCACATTTTCGGGGACTGTTCCAGACCTAAAACCCTAAGTTGCGGCATCCTTGCCTGCAAGTGCGAGTGCGAGAGTCGAAGTTGTCACTCTCGAGATTTGAGGCAGGGCCTGACGGGTCAAACGACCTGGCCGAGGCACTGGCGCCTCCTTGAGGCTTCGGGGTTTGGGGGGCAATGGCTGGCTGGGGGATCCTTCCGAGCTTCATTCTCAGCTCTTTCATGGATTGCGGGCGCATGGGGCGTGTACAGGCAGTATGCTTGGATGTGCAGGGCTGGTGGGAGTTTGCGATGAAGGGCCCCTGACATCCCAAACTTGCTTTTGAAGGTGACCGGCGCCCCGGTTCACAAGGCACAGCTTCTCGGGAGAGTTCTAGGACTTCGGGCTTGAGAGGGCTGGCTATCGGTGGGCAACGATGCCTTCCGTGAGTGTGCGATCTGTCTCCTTGCGGAGTGAAACAAGCCTACCCGAGCACCCAACCAGCTGACGAAAGACACTGCATCGCCTCCCCGCTGCATATACATGCCACTACAATCAATTTTTGAGTCTCTGACACAACTGGCAACACGAACTGCTGGCAGTGATTTGCTGGTCCGGATTTCGCTGCAGCCTGCCACTCATGGCTAGAAGCGATCATCAGGTCGACATCTTTGCCCAGCGGCAGTGAGAGGGAACTTTCTGAAGAGTTCTTGGAACCTGGGCATAAATTGCATTCCTGCTGATCGTTGAAGTCAGAGGCAGAGGTCATAAGTTATAAGAACTTGGTCCCAAGACATTGATGCTGTGTGCAGACCGCCTGGCAAAGTGACGGGCAATCAAAGCAAAGACCTTCACGGGGAGCGTGCGACCGTTTCGAAAAGATGGTCATGATGACGGTCAGCAAAGTCCGGCGACTGTCTGCCCAAAACTGACCCGAAGGAAGCGCAGTCCATCGTCTGTCTGTCAGCTAGTCGCATTTGCGTTTGAAGTCCGAGTGTTGTTTTGCGAGGCCGGCGAAGAAGATGTTGGAGTGATTTCGCCCTATGCAGCTCAGGCGGCCACCGCTTCAGCTATTGTGTGCGGGCACAACGGGACCAGTGATAAGCACTTGTTAGTAGTTGCAAGCATTGAACCAGAGGTGGCGCAGATCAAGTCTGCCATGGAGGCGGAGAAGATGCTCTTCCAGGCTGTCTTGGAAGGTAATGCCGGCTGTTGGCAGGGTGATTGGCAAAAGGGTGGCGGCCCTTTCAGAGTAAAGAAGTCTTGACGGCATCAAGAGTTTCTGACGATCACGGATGGTCAGACGTGCTGGGGGTAAGTTTTGATACCCGCTCATTGGTCTTGAGGGCGTGAGCTTCGAGAAAGTTGCAGTAGCCGTTTGCTCGAGCAGCTAGAAATTCAACCTGCAGGGGCGCTAGAGGCTCCACATTGCACGTGGATTCTGTTTCTGTCCTTGGCAGCTTCAGGACCCTGACGCGAGAGTGGACGCTGCGCGCTTCCCGGAAGTCAAGACTGTGGATGGCTACCAAGGCCGTGAGAAGGAGGTCGCTTGGTGTGGAGTGTGGCCAGTGCAAATTACTGCAAGTGCTCGCTCTTTCTTGATGCCCCCTGCCTACATACACGCTCCTCCACTGCCACCTGTGTGCTGTGTGCGCCTTATGTAGACGGGCATTGTAGAGCATAGCAGAGCTGACCCCGAGTCGGACCCAAAGATCCTAAGATTGTTGGTCCTGCTCCTAGCAGCCCTAGCACCAAAACCATGGAACAGTGGGTTCGGGGGACATTGGGACCAAAGGCCTGCCATCCAACTCATATAATGACAATCCACCTCTACCGTAGCGTGAGGCTTTAGAAGGTTCCAGTTCCCACGATCCTGGGTGGGTGTCGAGCTGTCCTTCAACGCTTCATTCCGAGGTCCCCGACTAGTTTCACACAGCCACAGTACCTCGTTTATCTCAGACCTTGGCAATGTGCCTCGGTGCGGTCCAAGGTTATCATCCTCTCTTGCGTTCGAACACAAGGCGCAGTGCTCAAACGGGCTTGGCGACTGAGGCAATGGAACCCTACATACACCTGGCAATCTACTTGGAGCCCCACCAAACGGGATGAGATTTAAGGGGGCTCACAAGAGGGCTCCATAAAGAACATGGCTACGCCCCTCACAGCGGAACATTTCCTACACTGTCCATGGGGCTGACTCGGGCTGACCTTAACTTGGGGGTTCTTTGGGCACAGTACACCGGGTACTAAACCCGGAAACCCAGCTGCTTGTAAGCCAAAATCGTTTAATGGAATATTACAATATAGCATATGTATAAGCATGGCAACACACAGTAGAAAACCACAGATGACATGATCATACCATGGGCTCACGATGTGCAGCACTACACCCAGAAACAAGTTTTAAAATAACAACAACGATATCGCAACATAATAAATCACAACAGAACGTATGATAATGCTATAACAGAATCACATAATCATATAACATGGCAACATTGCAATGCAATATAATCATTCAAAAGTTACAGTACTGCCGAACATATACACATATAGACATTAGATGTTAGAGTTGAATGGAACATAGAACTCTGTCTGTTGTTGCAATATAAGAAGAACCATTAAGGATAATAACAAGTAATAAGAATATTACTCAGAATAGTACTAAGATAAGAAGAATAGTAAGGATAATAACAAGTAGTAATCATATTATTATACAGAATGGTACTAGCAAGAACAAAGAACACCCTAATGACATCACTTTTAGGGTTTAGGGTTTAGGGTTTAGGGTTTAGGGTTTAGGGTTTAGGGTTTACCTTACGAGGCTTGGGCTTCCTGTCCGACCGCCGGCGGCTCAACGTGGGCATCACGCGGGCGAAGTCCCTCCTGGCACCTCGGCAAAAAAAGCGGGTTTAGGGTTTAGGGTTTAGGGTTTAGGGTTTAGGGTTTAGGGGAGCTTCGTTGGCTTTGGGGTTTAGGGCTTTGGGCTGGTTTTGTATGAGATTTGTCATCCTCTTGTTGAAACGTCCACAGTAAGGTGTGTTTGTATGAGATTGTATCCAACAGATGGATGTCACAAGTATAGGCTCTGGCGGCATGAGTGTGCTGAGCGATAGGTGACAGATGGTGACAGCTATGTTCGTGCACTGCATGCCATGCCTCCGTCAATATGGTGGGGGTGAACATCTGGCTAGACTTGAGCCCGGTAGCACAAAAGGTGTTACGGTTCAGGGTTTCTATGGGGGTTTCGGGTTCGGAGCCGCCAGAATGTGACCCGGAATCCATCCGCCTTTGAGGGCACAAGGCCCAAGGCCTTCTGTACTCGTTACGAGTCTCTTCAGTAACATGTTGGAATTGTAGCCTCCTTCTGACTCGAAAACCCAAAACCATGTGGTCACCATGTCGTCCAAGTGGTACACAATACAGCAGTGAAGCTGAATCAGCCGCAAGCGCGCGCAAGGTGATCATAGGCTGTGCGGAGCTCCTGCAGACCGACCCAGTAGCCTGGACATGTGTGGAGCTTTCGCAGGAAACTGGGGTGTTAGGGTTTTAGGATGTAGGCTAGACTTCCTCGGCCTCAGCACGGGTTCAAAAAGGCTAAGTTCAGGGTAAAAGGGAGGCCTGGATGCAAAAAAATTTAAACAACAAGGGCCACGACAGGGCTCCTTTGGACCTTAGTTTGTCTGGATTCCGGAGTCGGGACCCCTTTTCACCTCCGCATCATTCATTGTAGCTCGATCTCTTGCCAACATTGAATCTAAACTTGCCTGAAGGCTGCCGACAACCGAAACCACAGCAAGTACTGTAGCGAAGCATCCTTGTGAGGCACTTACGGCTCGTGGAGTACGGTTTCAGGGCTTTGACAAATGCCAGCAAGGGAGCGCCAGCTCGCCAAGCGTTGCTCTTCTGCGCAGGGCCCCTTGTGGCCACCATACGCACTGCAGCATATGTCTGAAGCTCTCTCTATGGGTTTTACTGCTTGAGCTAGGTCATATATAGGCATGTAGAGGCCAAGAACGTCAGCTCCAACCCTACAGGCAGGAAACCTTCAGCCGCGTGAGTGAACGCTGTTGAGCCTTAAACAACTCCAGTCCAAGGTGTGGCGCTCGTACATCCATTTTCTGGATCGATTTCGGTGGACTCCCTGAGTTGCCATGGAGAAAAACAGGGGAGGCATTTTTTGGTTTAGTTGAGCCCTGGCTCAAAGCCGCGGGTCCAGGAGGTTTTGTCCTTTGCTTTCCTGCGCTCAGTGGGTCGGGATCACGTCCTCGCACTTGCGGGATCTAGCGTGGCAATAGCTTGCAGGAGTAGGGAGGCTTGTGATGGGCAGCTACCGCGACATGCAACATGACTCAGCTGAAGACGAATATCAGCAGTGATGCTGGCTAGTTTGCTTGCTCATGTTCTGCTTCACACTACAGGGCAAACTTAAACGTGAAGCAAAGATGAGGTGGTCAAGTCAAACCGTACAGCAAAAAAACAGTGCATGTGAGTGCTCACATGCGGATTTCGGCGGTGCTGCGGCGGCACGCGCTTTCACACTTCAGGCGTGGCCCATCCAAATCCACAAGCCTCCTAAAACGCATGAACCACGACATGCACATACGGAATCTTATTTCCCACCTTCGGCAACCTGCTTGGTGGTTGTCTCTCACTAGGTAACCGTGCAGAGTTTGCGAAGGGACGCGCAGAGACAGCTCTTGAGACCCCTGTGCTTATGTGTATACCTGGTGATCTGGGCCTAGTTCCCGTACGCCCTGGATAGTTCGGTGCCCTTTGCTCGGGACTTATTTGGTGCCTTCTGTGGCTGTTTTAGCTTAAGAAGGCCTGGGATGGAACAGTGTGGCCACGCGACAGTCCCAATACTCATGTGCGGGTTGACGGTTGTTTTTTGTCGAGGGCTGCAGCAAAACATGAGGACTTGATACTTGGCGTTTCTCCCTCCGACATCCTGAGTATCCCACGACTGGTCCCTGCGGAGAAACGTCTAGGCGTCAATGTGCGTAGCAAAAGAACACCCTAAATGAATCCCTCGTATTCTTGCTATCCCTTCCTCCCCTAGCAACGATTGAGCACGCAGAGCTGTGGCTAGGCTGGTGGCAAATATTCAGCAAAGGAAAACTATCCCGAACAATACAGAGGACAGGAACTATGCAACAACTACTTGAACAAACGGGTTTAGCATTTCGGGTTTTAGGGTTTAAGGGTTTCGGGGTTTTGGGGTAGGAGCCCTACTAAGACTGCCATAGCCATCGATGGAATTTAATTACAAAGGGTGGGAGGGGGGCCTCTAAGTCCCGACCGCAGGGCTCCCCGCTTGGTGCCAAGAGGGCCAGAGCCCAGGCCTGGGACTCTAATCCGCACTACGAGTTTTTATTTGAGGTTGATGCCCACATGGCTGCATTCTGGGAGCTTGTTTGAAATAGTTGTCATTTGTTTTGTCATTTTTATTGGTACTGTTATATATTGTTTTGCTATTATGATTTCTGATATTGTTAATAGTATCGTCATTCGACTATTCATAGATTATGGTCTTTTTGTTCTCTAAGTTGTGGTTGCTTTTGGGGCTCCGCCGCACCCTAGACAGTTCGACATGTCAGCGCCGATTCAAATTGGGTGGTGAGCTGGCCCAAAAGTTCGAAACGCAACCGACAATTCTGGGCACAAATCGTTCAGAGATGTTGCATTTGTGGTGCAGAATCGGCAAGAACCCTGTAGATCTCATTTGAGCAGGTCATTCTCTTGTTGTTCGTTGCGTGCTGGGTGTTGGACAGATCGACATGGCAGTTGCTCCCAAGATTCCAAGTTTATCAACAACAGGGGCAGGGAAAGAGGCGAGAGTGGGATTTCATCAGGTCATCCAATCCTGTCATGGATTTGATGGTTCCAGCCAGCTACATATGCCAGCACAGTAGGGAAGTGGCCCCTGAAGCAGCCCATGTCTTGGAAGCGGGTCTGCATGTTGCTTTCGAAAGCTTCAAGCCTTTCAAAGGAGTTGCCTGCAGCTCCTGGAGCGGACTCGAGGCCTGTGCATTTTCCATTGCACCTGTTGCACTCTAGCAGCACGTCACGCCGGGAGTCGAAACGCCGTGATACCCAAGAACTGAAGATTCACAACGGCCAGGCTCAAGCTATCCTTGGTCCATTTTGACAGGAAACGTCACCGCCCTGCTGGAGCCTTCTCGCACTGTCGCCATGACGCGCATGGGGCCTTGGGGTTTCTGGGATGCCCTTGTGCTGTTGCTGCCAATCGCCTTCTTGGTGGCAATGGTCTTGAAGCCGAAGCCAATGCCAACAGCAAAGAGCCTCTGGTTCGCTGCTGTCATACTTTTCGTCCTGAAACTTTGGTATCTCCAAGCGGCACCCTTAGAGGCCTGCGCCTGCTTCGTCAAAGGCTGCCTGCAGGCCTTAACGCCCTGCAGCATCGTGGCGGGAGCCATCTTCTTGTTCGATTGCATGGAGTCCGCCCACTGCCTGGCATGGATGAAGGTGCAGCTTCGAGTCATCACCGATCGGCACCCAGTGGCAGAAGTGATGCTCATCGGCTTTTGCTTCGCCTTCGTGGTGGAGGGAGCCTCTGGCTTTGGTACCCCTGCTGCCCTCGCAGCGCCCATGCTGTACTCCATGGGGCACCCGAAGATGGAATGTGTTGTGTGCCTGCTGACCTTCAATACCTTCATGACTATCTTTGGGGCAGTGGGCACGCCCGTATGGTTTGGGATTGGGGAGGTCTTGCCCGAGTTCGGAGATGAGAACTTGATGGCTGTAGGCTTCCGAGCGGCCGTTGCTTTGAGCGTTTGCGCGATCATCCTGGTCCCCTACGTGGTCCAGATCATCGTGCCCTGGTCAGAGCTGCGCCCGAGCTTGCTGTACGTGGTCCTGAGTACTGCAAGTGTGGTTGTGCCGCTGATCGCCCTTTCCATCTTCAATTACGAGTTTCCGAGCTTGGCTGCCGGCATCATAGGCCTGTGCATCACCACGATCCTGACACTGCGAGGCATTGGCCTGGGCCCTCACCACCAGGCCGAGAAGGCACAAGTGGACAAGGACGCCATCAAGGAGAACACTGTCAGGAATCAGGAGGAGCTTGTGAACGAGAAGCCCTTGGAGCAGGAAAGCACGTTGAAGGACCTGGTCGATGTGGAGGCGCCGGCAGCTGGCGTGCGCTTCGTTTCAGGAACCATCACCGTTCCGACCGAGGAGAATGACGTGGGCCAGCTGAAGGAAACCACGTCGAAGAATTCTTTGCAGGACAAGGCCAAGAACAATGCATTGACCATCGGCAGGAAGGCGATGAATTTCTTGTCCGAGCATCGGCACATCACAGTGACGCCGGCCAAGATTCATGCAGCTATCAAGCATGACGAGGAGGAAGGCCCCCCAGAGCAGTTGACAGTCAGCATCGACGATCACCAGGCAGAGCGCTTTCATTCCAAGGTGAGCCTCTTCGATTGTGTGTTCCGGACGATGCCGCTCTGGCTTACTGTGCTCCTCCTGATCTTGACCAGGATCGAACCCATTGGCCTGAAGTCCCTGTTGCGCGGGGATGAGCCCGAGATCGTCAACGGCTCACTCGGCACTCTCGGACACCTGCGCATCTCTGCCGTTGGTCGCTTTTCACTGACACAGATCTTGGGTACCAATCTCGGTTGGTCCTACGAGCTCCTTTACATCCCCTTCCTCTTGCCCTTTGTGGCAGCAGGATGTGCCTCGTTGCTCGTCTTCCGCAAAGAGCTTGAGACCACACCGGGAACCATCCTCGCCGGCGTGGCACAGCGCATCAAGGGCCCAGTCGTGGCTTTGAGCGGGGCTCTGGTGTTGGTCGAATTGCTTCGGACAGGTGATGCGCTCAAGGACGCCCCTGCAGCAATCATAGGGACTCGTCTGTCCGAGACGCTGTCGCACGGCTTCGTGGTGCTGTCGTTTCCCCTGGGGGCCTTGGGCTCCTTCTTCTCAGGCTCCACGACCGTCAGTAACCTCACCTTCACTCAGGTGCAGAAGGTCGCTGCGGACACCCTTGGCATCTCCCCGACTGGTCTGATCGGCCTACAGCTCTGTGGTGCCTCCAGCGGGAATGCCTTTTGTCTTTCCAACATCATTGCGGCCACAGCAGTGATTGGACTGCAGGTGCCCGAGGGCATGATTGTGAAGAGGGTCCTCAAGCCTGTGTTTGCAGAGTTCCTCATCTGCACCCTGGTCCTCCTCCCCTTCATCTACGCCGGGAACTAGTGACTGGGAGTGTTCAGAGAGCCAGTTCGGTTGTATTTCTTAGGTTTCTGTCCATGTTTCTCATATGAGTACTGCAGTGCCACACCTAGAGTTCTGGATGTTGGATGTCAGGCGGAGGACTGTCCGACTCTGTCGGCCTCTTTTTTTTTAAGCCGGCACCGTGAATTGCCTGCGACGGGGCATGGCCCGGTGATCGGTTGCCTAGGCGGTGGCCCAAGTAATGTGTAGCTCGACGCCACCTGATCTTTTCAAGCCATCACCTGGTGGCACTCACATCCCTTTTGGGGATTGCGAGATACCAGGGCACGGCTTGACGGCTGAGTTCTTCAGCTTAATTACCTCGATCCCAGAATTTGTCTGGATCGGCCCGGTCTATGATTGCTTTTTCTGTCTGCCGTGAGTTAAACTCACATGGGCAGGAGCAGAAATTAAGCTCATCAGAACCACCACGTTCCCAAAAGCACCCGAGCCCATGCCCTGCTGAGACCACCTGAGCAGGACCTGAGGGCAGAGCAAGGCCAAGGCGGCTAAGATGGCTAAGAGGCCAGTGAGCCCGTGCAGGCACCTGGTATCCTCGCTTGATTGGCTTAGTCTGATCGGCCCATCCTGTGACGCGCGAGCGCCAGCGATTGATGGAAAAGTTGGAGGTGTGGGGGGGGGGTGCCTTGTGAGCGTCAAGTCAGCCCCTGTCTCGTCGCCTGACGCCAGGCATGGCAAGCAGCTCTGAGGCTCCTAAGCCTGAGGAGCCGGCACAGTTGTGGAGAGGGGAAGCTTGCACAGAGTGTTTGAAAACCTGGTTTCGCAGGCAATGTCAGGGGGAGGGTTGAAGCCGGGCCAAGCCTGAAGAGGAGCCAGGGGCCGAGGAGCCCAAGGCTTCGGAGGAGCCCAAGGCTGAGGAGTCCACGGAGGAGCCCAAGGCCGAGGAGCCAACGCCCGCGACCATGGTGTGGGAAGTGGTGGGAAGGTGTGGGAAATACAATGCTCTCCCCTTCATGGCCGCTCTACTACACTACTATTCAGCGAGACTAATATTTATATTCAAAAGAGGTACAAAGTTCAAGAGGTCCCTGTGACAATGCGCTGCCGTGCTTGTGGTGTTTTTTTTCGAGGCCCGACCCTGCGCCGAAAGCAGGCCGGACCTTCAGCCAGAGGGAGCTCTACCAGGCCGGGAGGTTTTAAACAAAGGGGGTCCTCTGGGATTCATACTGCAGGGGAGAGGGCCAAAGCTCAGGGAAGCTTAGGGTCAGCCTGGAACAGAGCAACAAACGAGGAGCGGAAACTTCAAAGACTGTGCAACAGGGACCACCCCCCGACACGTCGTAGCATGCTGCTTTCCTTCGCCGTTCGGTGCTCTCATCTGCAGAAGGCCTTCGAGATTCTGCTTCTGTTGTGTTGCGTATGTTGCACCGATTGCGATGCAACCTTCATGTTGCGAGCCCAGGCCCCTCCCGCAATCAAAATCGGGTTGCAGGTTCGGTCAGGACTCAGAAAAAGAAATGTGGATGGTTCGTCGGCCCATTTAACCTTAGAAGCCTTGAGACAAAGCTCCAGAGACCTGCAGCGCCGTTTGGTTGTGGGTGAGGCCGGCCGACGGATCAACGACAACACCGGCAAGGCCTGGGGCAGAGGGAGCGAGAGAGAGAGAGGGAGGCCCCAGTGCGCAGGAGGGAAGGAAGGAAGGAAAGGAAGGAAGGAAGTGTCTAGGGCCCAGCCCATGTCTGAAGTCCATTCTTCTGCTCGTGTCGGGTTCTTCCTCTTTGTCGTGTCGGGCTTGCACATAGCATTTCGGGAATTTCCTCTGGAACTTCCCTTCAGCGACCTCAGGCAGGGAAGTCACCAGCGTGCAAACTGGCTGCTGGAATACAGCCGCAACTAGTACGGCTCAATTCAACCCTTCAAGCTTTGAACCTTTCAATGCCTTCCCCTTCCCTCAAGTCCGGCAGAAAGTAGTCAACAACGCCATGAGCAGGTCAAGCAGGGCTTGGGAGCAACCTTGGCGTTGCTTGCAGCAATTATGTCCATTCCGCACTGAGGCTGCTGTATTTGGAGTCTCGTTTGTTCCATTCACAGAGAGTCGGCCCTGGGAGAACTCAGCGGGTCCATTGACATTGTAAAACCACAATGGACCCTTTGGACGCGTACCCTCTACTTCCCCTCTCGTACGTGTTTGGGTTGAGATCCAACTGGCTGGGAATTCTCGGTATTGTTTGCTTTTTTTTCTGTTTTTTTCATTTTTTTCCGGCCATGTGGCCTAGCAAGCAAGCAAGCAAGCAAGGCAAGCAAGGCAAGCAAGGCAAGCAAGGCAAGCAAGGCAAGCAAGGTAAGCAAGGCAAGCAAGGTAAGCAAGGCAAGCAAGCCAAGCAAGCCAAGCAAGCCAAGCAAGCCAAGCAAGCCAAGCAAGCCAAGCAAGCCAAGCAAGCCAAGCAAGCCAAGCAACCCTTAACCCTTAACCCTAAACCCTTGACCCTTAACCCTAGACCCTAGACCCTAAACCCTAAACCCTAAACCGACCAAAACACAAACAGAAAAAAATAAGGAAAAAGATCCCCGGCCGAGGAATTCTCCCGACAACCACCCCTCCTCCGAGCTGAAAGTGGGCCCAACCGCAAAATTGACAACAGCCCAACCTTGCAATCTCAGGCTTGGTGGGACAGGGATCCTTGTGTGGCGACTTGTCCTGATAGATCGAGGAAGGGATCTCAAACCCGATGCCCCAGCGCCTCCGCAACACAACCAACCCTGGGCGGCGTTTGCAAGGCCCAGCCTCAACTCCAAATCCCTGAGTCGCCTGATGTTGACTTGCCTTTTCTCTCTCACCCCTTCCCCCCGCACGTGTGAAAGGGCTTTGTGGGCGGGTGGGACTTTTTGAAGTACATCTGTTTGAGGTGTTAGTTGAGAAGGGGCCCCCCTCCCCCCGCATACCCCCAAACGGCCCCAAGCAATACTGCGTTCCCCAACATCTCTACAACCTTCTACCCCAGCCCAGGCATCACTGGGCCGCCTTCGCCAGCTTCAACTGCCTCGGAGCTGGGCTACTGGGCCATGAAGCTAAGTCCTGCTGACCCCCGTAGCACCACCTGCGCATGCAGCCAAGATTCCCCTCAACTTGTGACACGTGGTTTTGTGATAGTTGCAATGGACGTGCTGTGACCTGACGGTATGGATGGACACAAGGTCGTTTTTAAGTTCGCAGCTTTGCCAAAGAGGAGACAGTACCAAGAACAGCAAGACATCCAGAAAGCCAAAAGCCTTGGGCCTAGGGTTGTGTAAGTTCGCTTTGGTGAATCTCTGCCAAGCCTGAACTTGCAAAACCAGTTTTCCAAACCCTCGATGATCCTCGATGAAATAATATTCCCCAACCTCCCTCGGCCTTGACTCTGAATCCCTAATCCCTAAACTTTAGACCCTAAACCCTAAACCCTAAACCAGGCTCCTGGCCCTTGGAGCGGCCATCGCGCGCACAGGGACTTCGCGGGGTGAGAAAGCTGGTGAGGCAGCTTCTCGGGGGTGGCCGGGGGCTGCGGTCCACAAGCCGTCAAAAAGAAAGAAGCATGTATCAAGTTTCAGTTTCACACTCAAATAGCACGCGCAAGTTAGGGCGCTTCTTCGGGGTTCTAAGGGAAGGAAGGAAAGAAGGAAGGAGAATAAGCAGAATAAGAAACAGAAGAAGAACGGCCCTAGACAGACTGGAAGAGCAATCCTTTTGTGCTCAAGTGTTTTTTCAATCTGGGTAGGTCTATTTGCGTTCCGACGGTTTTCGCTTTTTGGGGTAATGGGGCGAAGACTGAACTTCTGTTGAGACCATATGCCAGTACATGTTTCACCTTCTTGCAGGCAAGCCATGCAGTCAGCTAAGCAGACCTTGAACCCCACCCTAGTGAGAACTGAGTCCCGCAGCTGTGGCAGAGGCACACTTCAAGCTTCGCCTCCTCAACAATTCAGACAGATGGAAGGCTGATGCCAAGGCGGGATATGAGCTTTTCTGTTTCGGGTCTGCAAGATCCCAAAATCCTTAGCCTGGAGATTGAGCACAGTGTGTGCGAATTCCTCGGCAGCCTGGTCCATGCAGCCTGAAACAACTAGGGCACACAAGAAGCTGCAAGCCGAGAACAAGCTGAGCTATAATCGGAAGCTTGAAACATATGTCAGCCTTCCAGGTAAACCCGCCAGCATGGATCTCCACCTGCGTGCCTTGCGAAACCTCCAACCTCCCAAGTTTGAGGGCCAGATGGAAAGCAATCATAGTTAAGCCGCTTGAGATATGCATCCGGTCGAGACAGCCATACCTGGCGTCCCAACATAGGACTTACAAACCCTAAAGCGGAAGGACTGAAGCTTCTGGGGTTTGCGGGTCTTGCAGGGTTGATAAGCCAGGAGAAACAGTCCTGCGCAGCAACTACTTAGGATTCGATGGAGTCGTTCGCTTTGCAATGACAGGACTTAAGCGCTGCAGGCAAAACTTAAGTAAGGAATACCAGCACGTCCCACAGACGCAATGGCGGCCAGAAGCTTGCGGCTGTGCTGCCGCTCGACAGGACGTCTAAGGTGACTGGAAAGGGCTGGAGTTGGTAGTGGTGGTGGCGGCAGTAGTGCCAGTAGTGGTAGCAGGAGTCAGAGGAGTAGTAGCATGACGAGTAGCAGTTCGCAGTTGAAGCACTATCAACGTAGCGGTTGTTGGCAGCATTATTTCGTAGCTGGAGTAGGGATAGCGCTACAATAAGCAGTAGTAGTAGTAGTAGTAGTAGTAGTAGTAGTAGTAGTAGTAGTAGTAGTAGTACTAGTCATAATTGGTAGTGGTAGTGAGAGGCGAGAGCGAGACCCAAGCTCTACCGGGTTGATCCGCTTTGAAGCTAAACCCAGGGGTTACATAAACTTGCCCCTGGAGTGCTTATAGCAGCTACTAAGCTTCTTAGCATGGGGAAACAAATCAAATTCCCCACGTATTAAGGCCCTAAACCTTCCTCCCCCAGCCCGAACTCGGACCGACTTAAGAAGCCCAAAGCGTACCCAACTTCAGGCTTCAACGTCTTGGCGCCTTCCGCACGGATCTGCGCGCCCTTAGATCGGTGGCCATGGAAGGCGCAAGCCGCGTGATGATTATTGATGTTGATTATCATTGGTGGGTAATTTTCTGAAGCTCTTCAATCCCAACTGGAAAGCATTAATTGTTTAATGGTTGGTTGTTTGTTATTGACTATAAATATCCAGAGTGTCAGTCTTACTACTATCATGTTCCCGTACACCCGTATTGAGTGCAGAGTCTCCAAAACTCACTGGGGAAAGCGATTTTTCTTGAACATAAGCGTTCGGCGAGTTCGCCCAACCTCCATCTTGCCAAGCCAGGGGTAGATCTCGACCCTGCTCCCGCGGAGAAAATGCCGTTGTTTCGCGTCTGGGCAAGTTTTTGCCACATCCCCCCCTTCGACTTCATTGTGTCGGATGGGTCCCAAACGTTCTAGCCGTAAGCGCTCAGATTTTAGCTTAGCTTTTGCTACGTGGTTTGTGTTTGGAAAAATGGAGGGTGACCAGGAGCGGCATGCGGCAATCTGCGACGCCCTGCTTGCCATGGAGGCAGCTGCTTGGACCTAGATGCAAGGACTACTCTTAAAACAAGAATTTTGCGCCGGCCTTGCAAGACAGCTTGCCCATCATGAGCTGACGGACTCCCACCGGGGCCAAGATTGCGCACGAAGCTCGGACGCTGAGGATGTCATCTGCTTGCAAGAATTCGACTTCGCGGCCGAAACTACCGGCTTTGCGGACTTGTACGAAAGCAAGCTGGGCGAGACTTACCAGCTGCACATGAAGCAGCGATGCTCGGACCTAAACCAGGCCACGTTTCGTGCCAGCCTAGCTCGGTTAGTTATCTTTGGCACCGAGGAACCGGCTGCAAGAACGAGGGACTAGCAATGCTGTTCCGTCGGGCGTCTTTTTCCGATGTCCAGGCCGAGGGTTTTGTTTAAAGAAGGTAGGCGAGAAGCCTGTCATGTGGAAAGGAGGTTGTCGGTGCAGATCTACAAAAGTACAAGGAAACTGCCGTGTAGGTCCATTTTTAGGGTTGCAGCCAACATGTTCGCAACGCCCAGAAGAATTAGCAGCTTCAGCAGGTGATCTGTCAAAATTTGGAGCCGGACTTCTGTGCCGCCTGGCTTCATTGGTACCAGTTAGGCCCTACCTAGTCAGGCTGCATGCCTCCATGCGACTCGTAGCATCCACATACGGTAGACGTGGAGGCACGGGCTCAACAATAAAGGTCTTCATCCTTGGACGTCCCAGGGAACCTCGTGACTTGAGCCAAGGACCGCGTGGCCATGTACGCCCGGCTTTCACATGTGGAGACAGGCCGCAGGAGCTGGCTTCAGCTTAGTGAGCTTGGGGTTCTAAATTCTACATGGTTCAGTAATCCCTTCCCCCTCATATTGAAGGGTCCCTCCCCCCCTAATAGGGGGGCTTCGTATCGTTTGTCCGAACAAACAAGCCGTCCTTCTAGCTTGCTGGCTCAGTCATAGAGCAGGTTTCAAGCTTGAGGGCCAACAGGTTTCAGGCTTCCCCCGCCCTACTTCTGTAGAGATATTAAAAGGGGCGACTGCCGGATCGGGTTTTGGGGCCAGAGTTTTTTTGGTCAGGGGTGTATTTATTTTGGGAGGAAGGGATTACAACACATGGACAAAGAACCTTAGTACAACTTGTAGCGCGTGTCAAAGCAGTGGTCAAGAGTTTTTCTTCAAGTTTCTGGATCCGATTCTTGCACTCACGGACGTCCTCCACGTTCGTCTTTGCTTCTCTGAAGGATACTTGTGGCTAACACGCACCTGACTGTGGCCCATGCTACAAATGGCCACGGCCCAAGAACTGCTGTGCTTGCCACCCCCCAAACAGTCTGCATTCTCCTTGCTGCAACCGAGTCCATGATATTCCCTTCTGCCGTCCTCGGCAAATGGAACAGGCCATCGCTCTTCCAGTCTAGTTTCTTCAGGGCTCTTGTGAAGCGTGGCGGGGGTCAAGGTGGAGAGCTGCTTCTGGGTTAGCATGGGCTTTGAGCTGATTTCGTAGCTAAGTCTTAAGCAACCCCGCGGGTCAGCGTTGCACTGCGGCAGGTCAGGTTTCTTTAAAAGCACGCGTCAAGTGGAGCAAACAGAACAAATCGTCTAAGAACTTGAAGCCCTTCCGGGCTGCGACCCCATCATCTGAGTCAAGTGTCGAAAAAGGTGCTGGATATGATGTTGGCTTCACCTGGCATAGACGCCCTTCTGCTGTGCGCAGCAACATGTCTGCAAGAAGCGATTCGAGCTTCGGAGGTTGAGGGCTTCTCGGCTACTTAGCGAAATTGATGTTTTCCTGGGGGGGGGGGGGGGCCTTGGGGCCTGCATTATCCTGGAGGGCCGAACTGAGTCATTCGTCAGCCTGATTTTGCTCATGCGTCCTGGAAGCTACAGGGGAACTAATGAACTCATGGACATATTGTGCCATGAGGACATGAATTCGGACCATTTGGAGCTGGAGCCATCTGGACCTTATTGGAGTCTTGGAGTGCAGTCTTGTTGAGTGTGGCTTTGTTTTGCCAGAAGTACCCTTGGGTGCCAGAACCCGAAGCCAGACGCAGCAAGAGTTGCTTTCATCCATCTGACAAAGGGCTGAGATGGTGAATCGGCCCGTGGCAATGGCCTTTGAGCGGCTTGGCTCGGTATGTTGAGGCTCACCCTGCAAACAGCGTGGAATTCATGCCTTCTCTGACTCTTGTCGATGTATCAAGAAGAAGAAGAAGGAGAAGAAGGAGAAGAAGAAGAGAGAGAGGGAGAGCGCCCGCGCGCGCACGCGCGCACCAGTTTCACTCGGAACTGCACGCAATTGTCCACAACCGCGAGGAAGGGCTTCAGTTCAGCTCTCCATGCACGACATCCAGGCATGAGGGATATGGCGGGCTTCGTGGGGGCTCTGCTTGGGCCTGTGCCGGGGACCTGTTCTGCCAGTCTGCTGTATCACATCCCACAGCTCAAGACTTGCTGAAAGATAGACAAAACTCACCAAAGTCCAGTTGTTCGCACCCTGGACCCACAGTCGAGACTCGGAGTGCTTAGCGGTTGAGGGCTCACAAAGACGTGCTGCACATCCGTTGATTCCGAAGTACTTGGGGCCCCTAGAGTCCCTCGACTACCCGGCCGAGCCAGGCATTCAGTCCGGCGCCAGAGCCATTTCGCACACCTGCAGCTATGCGCAAGACGGCTGTGTGGACTACGACCCTCGGCACCATTCAACACCCTCAAATCTCAGCATGTCCTGCCCTACCACGTAGCTGTTGTGGGATCCGTGGGCCCAGACGGTATCAGAACTTGTCGGATCCATTGGCAGACTCGAGCTGTCAGCAGTGCATGCTGGAGATTGAACGCCAGCACAGCAGCTGCGACACATGGCTACTTACGGGTGCCGCCGAGGTCTTTTTCCACCCAAGTCCACAGCTGTCGTTGGCGGATGCCGCTGGGAAACCAAATGCTGGTGCACCGCGTTTGTGACACCATGTGCACGCCAGTAAAAGCTTAGAGTTGCAAGTCGATGCCTTGCATCTGCTGGCTCCCAGAATGGAGTGCGCCCATTGAAAGCTCCAGGAGTCGCCATTGTTAGCAAGAGAGCGATAGTTGCAGAACATCTGCAGTAGTCAGCCATCTATCGATTATTAGATAATCATTGCAACCCGGTTTTCAACAAGAAGCAATGATTCAATCAAGCGTGTGCTAATCCCCGCGTGCGCCACTACTGTAGCTGCTAGAGCAACTGGGGAGCTGGGCCCGACCAGGCATATCTTCATCCGCGGGAGCTGGCCTTCAACACACCATGGAGCCACTAAGCTTGCAGAGGGCGCGTAGAGTCGTAGAGCCCACGAACTGCCTTCCGCAGGATTGACTGGCGTCCCGCTGCATGTTTGTGCTCTCGTTGCATTCGGGGCCTAAACTTCAGGGAAAGAAGCTCAGCAGCGGCCGGCTCGACAGGGGATCACCTGCAGTGAATCCCAGCGTTTTGAGACCAGAACCCATGATGCAGGAGAAGAACTCCCTCTACCAGCGAATGTCCATAAAGCCTTCCACAACTGAGGCCAAACACATGGCTGGGGGACGGTGCCACGGCATGCAGATGAAGCGAGGGGCGTTGAGAGTTGGGTCTCAGAGCGCCCTGGGCTGTAGGGCGTGGGTTTGAGGGGACGATGAAGCAGCGAAGTCCCATGTCTTCACTTTTCATGTCAAGAGCCCGGAAACATCCGAAAAGCCCCACACATACATACATACATATACACATATGCATATGCATATACATATACATATGTATATATATATATATATATATATAATGCAGAACTGCTGCCGCCCAAGGGGCCTTTGGTAACGCTGTCCGACCACAGACCGCTGGTCGTCGACTTTCTGATCTCTGCCGACACGTGCGATGGCTGAAGAGAAAAACTGCAGCTGGACCGGCTTGATCATGCATGGTGCTTGCATTTGACGGGTGCCCCTCGAGGCCCAAAGCCCGAAGCACCAAAAAGAGAATCTCGACGCAGCTTGGCCGAGACTGTGCGGAAGAAATCTCCGATGCCAGGCTCTGGACACCTTGCTGGGCACGGACACCTTTCAGCAGAAAGACCTTGCGAAGGCGCGCATGGGTGCATGAGGTGCGTCTGGGATTGCATCCCTCAGAAGCTGCTCCGTCACTGTGTTTAGGTTTTCTGGCACCACCCTGTACGGCACGTCTCAGGGTCTGGGGCTGCTTTTGGTACGTAGACTTTTGAAACGCAGTGCCGGGCCTCTTAAGGGCCCTGAATGCCGCACTTGAGCCCCTCTCAATGCTCGAAAGCTGTGAACGTTTTCTTGAAAGCAAGGCATGCGCAAGAGGCCGACCTTCCCCACGGACGAGTCATCATCATCATGATAATGATGATGCTCATCGTAATGTGCTTATGAGTGAGCGGCTGCTGTTCCGGAATTGTTTGGACCTTGAAGCCCTTTGTGTTTAAGTTGTATGCGTACGTCTTGTTTCCAGCTTGCCATGGTGTAAGGTGTTCTGCTTTGCCGGGTTGGATTGTGGGCGCCCTTTTTCAGATCAAGCTCCTTTGTGCGGCCTCCTCCCCTCGCCGGCTGCGGTGCCATGAAAGCTGGGGAGGAGCCTTCCAGACCTCTGAAGGGTGTGGTGGACAGCTTGGCCAGCTTTCGCACGGAGCTTGCTGCAAGCCAGAGGCAGCTCCTGGCAAAACTTGACTGCGAGCTGGAGAAGGTCCGTTCTTTCCAGCCGCCCTTGCCTACCCACGAGGCCAGATGATTCCCAGATGCTTTCTTGCCGTAAGCCCGATCCCTTAAAAAAAGATGCCACAGAAGATGGACAGCAAGCTATCAGTCCGAGGGGGTTTTTGAACCACCATTTGTTTTTGAGCTTGCATCTTGGAGACAAGGTGGCCCAGCGACTCTAACCCCTTTCTGTTGCCCTCCTGCATAGCATTCAGAGGCTCCAAATGCGCTGCAAGAGGTCAGGAGAGAGTGTGGTCGTTGACAGCAGGAGGTGAGAGTATGTGAGAGCTGAGAGCCAGAGTGGCGAAGCTAAGTTGGCGCAAGCCCTTGTTGGGGTTATCACTCTAGCAGGACGAAGCCAAACAGGGTTGAGAATCGAGCCGCTACAATCTTAAGCCCCAGAAGCTTTCAAAAGGGGCTTGCATGCAGGCGGGGGAAAGCACTTTCATATATTTGTTCCTGTGAGCATTTTAGTCGCAGCGGAAGAATAAACTTCGCGATCATCCCGGAACTAGAAAACCCCCAATGTCTAAGCCCTAAGCATCCCTAACCCCTCTGTTCTGCATCTTAAGTGAAAAAAAAGTGTGTGGTCTCTTTAACACTTCTCCCTGGCAGGCTTTGACCCTTCTTCAGCCTCCTCCTCCAATTGGTTCGACAGCGAGAACCAGCACAAACTCACCTCCAGGACTGTAGGGCTTTGTGTTGTTTTGCTGATTAGGGGGGAGTTGCTGGCTTTGCGGGGACGAGGTCGGTGATCACCCTATAATGAACTGACTGTGTATGCCGGACATGAAGTGCACTTCAAATGTGACAAATATGCTCACGCGGACGGGCTCGGGCACGGAGTCGTCGCTTGCAATTGTTCGGAGGACAGCAGGCTTAGCTTACAGTTCCCGTCCTTGCAAACTGAATGTAATGCCCTGAGCACGCCAGGGCTTTGCCTGCCTGGGTCCATCAGCGACGATGAGACTGAGAGTGACGAGGGCGAGGTGCGGATTTCACGCGTTCACCGGCGGACCTGAATCAAGGGTTCAAGGTTATAGCCGACAGGCTGCGTAGGCTTTAGCGCATATGAGTTCCAGAACCCGAACTGCAACCCTGGCGGATTATGGACGCAGGTGGGCCAGACCGTCACCACGTGGACGCGGCCCTCACAGTTTCCGAGGCCCTCGCACTTTTCGACCCGCCCCTCCTACATCCGAAAGCAGGTCCATGACGAGGTCCGCAAAAAGACAGCAAGGCCGGCGCGCGATTGCCATAGTTCCATCGAGGTCTGCCCTAGATGTAGGACCTTAGAATGCTTAGTAAATGTAAAGAAACCTGACTATGTTATATGTCAATACATCAGTGGTTCTTAGTTTTCTTTGGTTGGTGTCAACCTGCAGGTGGTTTGCAGTACTCGAACTCAAAACCCCAAGAATCGGGATTGCTCTACATGCGGATCCCTTTTCTGGGGCGCCTTTCTTCTTAGGGGGATTCTAGATAAATCTACCTGGAGACCCGAATGCTTCAAGAACAAGCAATGCAAATTTCAGGGCTTCCTTCTTGCAGCTCAACTCGGACTACGCGGTTGAGCGCCTTAGGGAGATGTCCATCAACGAGTTCGGAAACGAGAACCTCCAGCGCCAAGAACAAGAAAGGCGCCTCGGATAGAGGCTGTTTCGATCCCGTGCGCGGCTGTAGATCCTCCCGCTGCTACAATGATATTATACTACTCAAAAAACGCAATGGAACAATCATCTAAGAATGGCTTAGAGTATATTTTCATACAGCACAGTATAGTGATTCTACAGGTTTGTGGACCCCTAAGGCATGAGAGGCGATGGCCCAGGCTTTTGGCCGTCCTCCGAAGTCCCCACTTCGAAAGCATCAGCCTGGCCGTGACATGCCTCAACGCCATCTGGATCGCTTTGGACCTTGAGTTCAACGATGCCCTGACGGTGCTCGAGGCTTCCCCGCACTTTGTTGTCGTGGAGCTGCTGTTCCTCTTTTACTTTGTCGGAGAGGTTCTGGCCAGGTACATGTCCTACGCCTCGACGAAAAGGGCCTGTCGTGACCGGTGGTTCGTCTTTGACGTAATGCTGGTCGTCCTCATGATTGTGGAGATATGGCTCGTTCCGATTGTTGGGGCGATTGCCGGAGGCACAACGGATTCGGGCAGTGGCATCGGAGACGCCTCTGTTCTTCGCATGCTGCGCATGGTGCGGATTACACGTGTCATCCGGGTTGCTAGCTACATGCCCGAGGTTATGATTATTATCAAGGGCCTTACGGTCGCCTCCCGTTCGGTGTTCTTCACTTTTGTGCTCCTCCTTCTCATCACCTACATCTTCGGCATAGCTTTCAGGCAGCTTGCGCAAGAGACTGTCTTGGAGGCGGAGCTATTTCCTTCAGTTCCAGCCACGGTCCTGACTTTGGTTGTGCAATGTGTGATGCCAGATCAGGAGGCGTTTTTTCAGCAGGTCTCCCGCCAAGGCGGTTGGCCGATGGGCATGCTCGTCGTGATTTTCATCTTGATCTCGTCGCTCATCGTGATCAACATGTTGATTGGCGTGCTGGTCGAGGCTAAGGGGCGAAGGGAGAATCTGATGGTCCTTAGGACTATGGCACAGTATGGTATCCTGAGTTCCGATTCTTAGAAGTGGTGTATGCTCCGGTTATTTGAGGTGTGGGGTCGGTCCTGCATCCAGAACTGGTAGCGAGGCCGTCCAGACTGTGTCAGATGTCGAGCACGAAGCCATCCAGATCGCATTTGCGAAGCTTTGCAGCAGGTCATTGCGCAATGTACTGTAGTCAACGACTTTCCCGCACAAAGCAATCACGTGAAAAGCATGTAGCACTCACTTTGGGCATGGGGCATGGCTGTAAGTCTAAACCCTCGCTTCCTCAGCGCCCAGGAAGCGGCTCCTTCGTGAAATGCTCAGCGACGGGGCTCAGCACGACTCCAGCATCCTCACAGAGCAGGACCCCGAACCTTGCATGGGGATTCATAGAGAGTCTGGTTCGGGTTTTGTGTCGCTGGTCTCGTTTCCGTTTTCTGAGAACCCTGGAGCAGACTGGGGGACAGCCGGAACACTATTGTGTCATCTGGTCATGCAATGAACTCCAAGGTCCCTGGTTCCATCTGGTTACTGGTTTCCGATTCGAGTCGGAAGACGCCAGCAGTAGATAGTGGTAAGAAAAACACGTGACCTTTGAATACAAAGCCGCTGCATCCCGAGAGAGGAGTTCTTTGCCATGCTGGACAGGCCGGAGGCAGTAACTGCCTTGGTTCAGCTCGGTGTGGACCATATGGCCGCCAAGGACTCTGTTTTGATTTGAAGATCGTTTTTCTCATCATAATGCTATTTATACAAGAAATACACGAAAACCATGGAATATTAATATTTAAGTAGTAATCTTTTTCTCTCTTGCAAGTGCTCTTCGCATCCACTCCCTTCTGCATCATGTTCTTGTCTTCGCAGCCGGAAATCACCCGAAGCTAAAACAAATTCAATGGCTGGCCCCCCAAGAATTCCATAGTAGAAGGCTTGCCGTCTGAGACATGGCTCCTCAATCAGAGGGCGAATCGCATCCCTGGCAAAGGACTATGGCAAGCTGCTTATGGAAGATGGCGAGCCGATCACTTTCGGCGAGTTCCTGGACAGGGCCGCAAAAGCATAGGGCCAGCGCACGGGGTTTGCGATTTCTGTTTCTGTGGGCAACACAAAGGAGGACGTCCATGCAACAACTGAGTTCGCGGGTGCTGTCTAATAACTCCAGATGATAGTCATGAACCTGGTGCTCCTTGCACTTCCCTGCAAGGAAAGCATACTTCTTCTTCGCGGGTCCAACCAGACGACCATCAAAGACCTCGTAAACCTCAGAAGGTGGGCAGGGCTGAGGATCGGTTTAGGGTTTATAGGTTAGGGTTCAGAAGGGCAAGGAGTCCAGTTGCAAAAGGGTTGTATCCTAGCAGCTTGCACGTGCCCATGACATTGCAGAAATGTGCTGCCTCCTGTTTTGTTGGGTGAGAACTGGTGTTCTGTAGCTTCGCAGTGCCTGATGAGCCAAGGTACGTGGGAGACCAGTTCGCCAACGTCCACAGTATTTTGCTTGAGATGCGGAAGACTTTGTCTCACCAAAAGCTCGAGCCGTCATAATTTGAATTCCGATGTGCGACCTTTTGAGACAGATTAGGCCTGTCCAAGACAGACCCAAAATGTTTTCAACCTCTGCAAGGCTCCTGGCCTGCACTTTCAAAAGAGAGACGGCCGAAAGCAGCAGCAAAAGGCGCACTCAAGAACCCAGGAGTCGCCCAAAAAGCCATCACTCCTCCTCTTACTTCTCAGTTTTTGTTGACTGCAAGCAGCCTGTTTAACCTGGCCTTGAAAGGCCAAAAAGAGCTAAGAACTATAAGAGCAAGCTCCTCATAAGCTCCTACAGTACAACAAAATCATGACGCCCCACGCGATCAGACTTCCGGTGCTTTCATAGAGACAGTTGGGAGTCGCGAGACAGAGACCGTTCAGACCGTTCATCTGAAAGAAAGTCGGGTTTGAGGCTTGTTGGGCTTGAGGGGTTATAGAGTCGGTGTGACCTCAATCACTCAAAACAGAATGCATGCAGCCTTCAGGGTGCTTTCTGCGTGCCAGGCTGCCGCAGAGGCTGAGAAGAAGGCCGCTGAAGCAGTGGGTCTGGTCATGTATGGCCACTAGGGCGGAGGTAGGTCTCTCTCTCAGGGTAGTTTCATGAGCCCTGTGTATGGTCCCCTCCTTTACAGAGTTCTGATGTATGGGCCCTTAATTTGCATAGGGTATACAAGGGGTACCCTTTTAAGGGCCCCATACTAAGGGGCCATGAAGCTACCCTAATTCTCTCGCTCTTTTTGTGAGGAGCAGCAGCTCCTGAAGGAGGCCGTGAAGAAGCAGAGTGAGGATGTGAAGGAAGCCCTGAAGGCACTCCGACTCATATCGGGGCCGTAATAATCATAATAGTCATAACAATAATTATCATAATTTAAGAATCATCATAATAGTAATAAGAATAATAATTAGAATAGGGTTTTGGGGGGTTCTTATACTATAATTTTAAAGGGACCATCAGGGAATACTATTAAAACTGGTAATGATTCCGACCCCTAAATTGCATCCGGCATACTCCTGTTTCAGCACCTCTCGGCAGTACTCGGTAAAGTGTACCAGGTATAGCTCAGGATCAGCAACATACGGCCGGAATAGTCGTATAGCACAGTGGATGTGCCCTTCTTCACAGCTGTGATGTCAGGCAGGAGAAGGCGCAGCGGAAATACAGGCACCTCCTTCTCGAGCGAGTTCGGGGGTTGGGGATTAGAGGCTGCATCTTTCCCATTTCGGTTTCTGTTGTACGTTGGGTGGAACTTGTTCGGGTGCATGTGTCACTTGCCGATTGTGCAGAGAGTGAACCGGCGGTTCGGCATGAAGCATCTTCCATGAGCCTGAATATCTGCGGCCACTGACCCACCAGCAGCCGCATCTGTGTCATCAGAATGGCCTGTCCTAGGCAGGGTTCGTGCCTTGCGCGCTTCACCATAGGCAAAGAAAGTGCAGACAAGCTTAGGGTTGCGTTCGAGATCCCGAAAGCCCGAATAATCTCGGGCCTTCAGGAAACTTAGGGTGTCTAGGGGTCACTCCCCAACAAGCTTGAATGGTAACAGTAGAAGCTACAACTAGTCTTGAACGAAGGTCAGCCAAGACTCAAATAGACGAAGGCGCGATTGCGACCTCGCACATTCGTCTTCGACTTTTCCACCTCGAGCCTGGACGCAGGCACGGAAACCCAAGTGAGCGCAAGGCCCCGGTCAAAAAGACTTTGCGCTTTAGAGACTTCAGCGGGGGGGAAGGCAACTTGTCCTTGCGAGTTGTTCTTAGCCACGTGTTTTTCTCATTCGGGTACGCAGCAATCACTCACTTCCGGAAGTCGATGCTCGCACGCGCCAGCCGGTGCCGCAAGGTGTCCCAGGGGGCAAGAGCATGAAGAAGCGCTTGCAGGCAGCCTTGTTGTCCCTTTCTGGTCCAGGGTGACTTTACCATCTTGTCGTGTGGTGGTGCAGAGGTTTGGTGACTGTTGAGTCTTTTGCATGGCTTTGCACCAGGTCCTGAACTCTTTACCCCCCTCAACCTCATCATTCAAGGCCTCCATCCCCTACTTGCATTGTAACATCTATTCCTGGTGTCTTAACTATTTGGGGCTACTTCCCAAAGCAAAGCCCCGCAGCCCCTGGAATGGAGCTGGAACAGAAAAAGCCACTATGCGAGCAGGACCATCTTCGAAACTTAAGGTTACTCGCATTATGTTGGCCCCGACCTAAGTTGGAGGACTTCCGAGACACAATCTCATTCATCCTGCACTGTGCCACCGAGCATGACGAGGTCGCCTTGTCTGAATCTGGGTTGGAAGGAGAGCAGCCTTAAACCCGACACCCTGAACCCTGAACCCTAAACCCTAAACCCTGAACCCTAAACCAGATTCAGGGAGTCGACCTTCCGAGCCCCCTGATCGGGTTCAGGGGTTTCTGTCCTTAGTCTTAGGCTTCTTGTTGCATGCAGCATAGGGGTCTACCAGGGGCTTAGGGTTTCAGGCTTAGGGCTGAGCTTGTGCTGGCTTTGTGGCGTAGAGGGGCGAAGAAGAGGGCCAGCATTCGTCACAATCAGGGCCTTCGGGCCTGCAGAAGCCTTCGTTGGAGAAACACATTCGTGTGTATATATATATATATGTATATGTATGTGTATAAATAAATCCAAAAAATGTACAATAGTATACACATCAGTATTGCAGAATCAATATAAACATCGTCCGCCAGTATGACAGGCATCTAAGCTCCGTTTTCTGCTCACGGTGTCCGTACAAAGGAAAGGGGCCGGGAAGGAGCGCGCAAGCCCTTTGAACGACTAGTCGGTTACACTCATGTGCGAATCACGTGCGCAGCTCGTCCGAGAGCAGGTATGACCATCCCGATTTCTGGTGTAGTTTTTTTTCTAAACCCTAAACCCTAAACCCTATAAACCCCACACCCCAAACCCTAAACCCTAAACCCTAAACCCTAAACCCTACAGGAGGAAAAAGCACCTAGGCATCTTGGTTGCTTCTCAGGCAGTGGTGCGCATCACATCTCCCGGCGGTGCCGTCATCGACTATGGCTACGCCAGCTCGCAGACCCTCGCCACATTCCAACCACAACGGATGCCAAGCTCTCTTTACATCCTTGGTCTTGAGATGCCTAAGTCCCCGAATGGAAGCCCAAACGCCTTCTGTGTCTAATGTTGACTTGGGGGATGGGCGGGTTTACAAAGGCCAAGTCAGCAGGTATACTCAGCCCGAAACCCTGGTGTGCAGTACGGATTGGAAGCCTCCAAAAACTCAGGTGAAGTTAGCATAGTAAAGGGAGCCCTCCTTGTAAGCCAAAGGCATCTGCTCCAAACTGCAAAAACCCTGGCAGCTGGCGTGAAGGTTGATGCGGCTTCGCCAGCGCGGGTCGTGCCGGCATGTTTCCTGTCAGTGTTGTGAGCTGGAGCTAGGCTCAGAAGAGGCTCTTCATTGTTGTGTCTATTGCTTTGCTTGACCACGTCCAAGTAGAGATCAGAAAGGTCCCACAGGTCCCTAATCCCAAAACTCCTGACCCTAGACCCTAAACCTATAGGCATGTGTGCGTTGCGGTGTTCATTGGGGGGCATGATGCCAGGCTGAAGCTGACGGCCTGCGTGGACATGGCCGGACTCGGTTGTTGGTTTAAGTATAGAGTCCCTGCCAGAGATTCTGAGAGCAGCGTGCAGAGGTGTAAGGCTTCTATGCACTGTAAGCATGCTCTGGGCTAGTGTTTGGGCTTGCGAGCTTCAAGCTTTGAAGGTGATCGAGTAGATAGTAGATAGTAATTAGATAGTAGGCTAATTGCTGCAGCTGCTGCGTTGTGAAGTTTAGAGCTTGTCCAAGCTAAGACATTGCGGCAGTTGGCACTGCATGTCGCATTGGCAGTGGTGAGTGGATTTGGGAGAGGGCGACAGGGGGGCTTCGTTGTAGCTGTGACTATGCTCTGGGGACTGCTTATCGTCTTGTCGCGCTGTGATATGCAGGTAGCTGCGTCAGGGGGATACATGCTCCTTGGCGGCATGTGCTCAATCTCGGGCCGAAGCTTGGTTCTGTTCCAGTGCTGTCCTGACAGCTTCAGGCATTGCCCTGAGCAGATGACGGGACAGGCAAAAGATCGATCCCAAATCGTAGGACACATCCTTGAATGATTCGGCGATTCACTTTGTTTTGTTGACCTGGGGGACTTCCCGAAACCTCCTCCCTGCGCTAGCTGAGGATGGCTTGCACGGCGATTGCCTCAGACGTTGAACAAGTTCAGGGTGTGAAAGTGCGCAATGCCCCTGCTTCGCCGCATTCCTGCAGCAGTTGCATTGGTTTGTGTGGATATGTCCCAAATTCAGCACTTAGCAGAAAATCCCTGATGTCCTAGTTGCACTTATTTCTTCGGCCGGAAGAGATCCTACCCTTTGTTTTACATAGGGCTCCGAGCCATGAGTGGCGGTTATCTGTTTGCCCAAGATGCCCTTAGTTCCAGCATGTCTGTCTCTCAAACTACTGTGTGAAGCCATCCATGTGACTACAGAGTGTGAAGCCATCCATGTGACTACAGAGTGGGCAGTGTTAGTCTGCAGGAACTTGCGAATCAGCTACATATATATATATATATACACTTCGCTTCAAGGGCTCCGTTCAGTCAGGCACTTCCAACAACAGACTTCAGTAGGCCGCTTGAGCATCATTCGACTTCACAGCCCTCAGTCCGCTGAGGCCGACACGATCGTAGCCACACCCTTCTCGCTGGTCGGTTCCATCGGTTCCTTGCCATCAAAGGGGCTCAGTCTTTTGGTGAGGCGGAAGCTTCAGGGAGTCCTGGCATGGAGTGACTTACAGGATTCCCTGATATGTACAATACAATACAGAAAACATGTCCCTGTTCCTCATACCCAGGGCTGCGAAAACATGCGAAAACGCTTTACTGAGAATTCGGCCTTGAAAGCCGGTCCCCCAAACCCAGCGCAGCCCAAAACTTTAGTTTCTTATTGTGAAGCAGATGAGAACCTTGCTTGGGAGCACGGCGCCGCGTAAAGGCGTCCTTGCCTCCCTCCCGAACTTCAACAAAGTCTTGCGGAGGCCACCCGTTCAGGGCTGAGGGTTGGGAGATTTTCTGGCAGGGCTTTGAGTGCAAGGTCATGAAACTGACCAGCCGAAACTCCAACCCGCTGCACCGGAGGGCATGTGCCTGTTGCAGTCCTCCGAAGCTATGCTCCGCCCCCGTCCACGGTGCCTTCTACATGATGTTTGTTCACAAGTGAGAGTTCTGCGGGCATGCTTCGTCAATAGCGGCGCAGAATTAGGGATGAGAAGGGTGTGAGATTCAGGGCGCCGAGATCTGTAGCATTTGTCCAACCAGCAGCTTCTGCAACTCGTAGCTGAACGCCAAGCACCACAGAGCGGCCAGGTACGAGGTGGACTGGCTTCAGTTTACTGGCGGCCGCTACAAGCGAACTGTGGATCCAATGTCCTTCAGCTCGGCATGAGCTATCGGTGCTTAGTCAAGAACGTGCCCCTGGTTGGGCTGTGTCTTGAGGGTGCGACAGCGCTGAGTGCCAGCTTTTTGCGGCTGCAAACGTCCCGCGTTGCCTTTAAACTGTTCCATCAGGTCCGAGCCGACGGAAGAAGGCATCGAGAAAATGAAGCAGGACTGGGACTAGTATGAGGGCTTCATTCGCGGTGGAGATGATGAGATGATGCGATCGTCCCAGTTTGCAGTAGGACCTTCCCAAGCAATCAGGAGATCAACACGGTCCACGACGCATTCAAGGGAATGGTCTTGAAACAGCGCACTCATCTGGACATGGATGAGGCTGGAAGCCAGAGAGAGAAGAGTGAGAAGAGGTCGCCATGATCTCCCCTTTGCCCGGAAGAGTACGCTGCAGTTTTGTTCGGGGTTTGTGGTCCGGTCAAGGGTTTAGGGTTCCGGGTTCGGGGTTCAGGGGCCAGGGTTTGAGGTTGAGGAAAGGCATGGAAAGAAGCAGTCCCCGAAGTCGCGGAGCGCAAGGTTGCCACAGGCGAAGCATTCCTCGGATCCGAGGGGAAGGAGCCACAGCTGAGCAGGGGTTCACACATGGACCCAGATGCCGGTTCGAGGTGGGACAGTCTTCTGCCCGGTATTTAGACTTAGACATGAAGCCCAAAGGCTTGAAACGCGATGTCCATTTAGGGGTTTTTAGGGTTGCCATGGGTTTGCTCACAAACTATGAAACGGGGAAACACCGAAATGCTTGAGATGCGGGCACCGATTGCAGAAGCCGCGTGCCATTCCCCGATACGACCGTGAACTCCATGTTACCGTAGTGTATGCCACATCACTGACTCGATTCGCCTGCCCTCGACACGGGCTCGGCAACCGATCAGCTCGTCAGACCAGGAAGGAGGCGGAGGAAACGGGTATAGGGTTGAGACCCTGACTTCTATCATTAAGCCAACTTCCTTGATTAGACAATCATGGGTGCGACTCAAAGGTCCAAGGCATGTAACAAGCCGGCCGTCGTAAAAGCGACACAGGGGTTGCAGGAAGGGGCCGCTCTCTTCACAGCAGCCCCACCTTGCCTAATTTGCATCACAGCCGCATGTTCCGTTCACATGTTCGAACAATATGTGATGTGTGTATATGTGTGTATGTATGTATGTATGTATGCATGCATGCATGCATGCATGCATGCATGCATGGATGCATGGATGTATGTATGTATGTATGTATGTATGTATGTATGTGTATACATATTTAAATATATATATATGTGTGTAATTATGTATATACATACATGTATATATATATATATATATATATGTATATATGTACATGTATTTGTATTTGTATATGCATATGTATATGTATATGTCTATGTATATGTATATGTATATGTATGCACACGCGCGCACACACACACAGACACACAGACACAGAGACACACAGACACAGAGACACACAGACACAGAGTCACACAGACACACAGACACACAGACACACATGCAGTCTTCAACGCTCCCGCTGGCCCGACCTTGGGTTCCGAGAGAGGAGCGGGGCTTGGTCGATCGCTTGGCCACCAGCGACGAGGCCTCGAAGTTCTTGAGAGTGTGGATGAGTGTGGAGTTTACACTGGCAGGACGACTGCAACAGGTTTTGAGGGTCGCATGTTTGTGGCTTGGGCTCAGAGATGGTCAGGGTTAGGATATCAACGTGGGCGTGGAAAGGTGGGCCGACCGTAAGATCTTTGGCTGGATGATGGGTTGGTGCTGTTCGAAAGGGTTTTCGTCTTAGTTATCCCCCCAAAGGCACCGCAAAGGCGAGATGTTTCTGACGTGTCTGTGCATGTCGAGCTTCAGGCTCGGAGAGGAGAGTTTGCCGCACGTTTACCGTACCATTCAGGGCTTTGTGTTCCAAACATCTGCCCCTCCAGCAGAACCAGGCCTCGTCAGGTCTTTCAGGCAGCTTCAGGGGTCCTCAGTGCGAGGTGCTGGAGGAGCGGATGGAGGTGTCAGACGTTATCGAGGCTCGCTGGACATGGAACCTCCCACCCTAAATTCGCAGGCGCCAAGCCCGGGCTGGGTTGAAGTGTTTGATGTTTCCGTTGGCAGTGACCGTCTGCCATGACATGATGCTGCATGCAGGCTAGTGTAGGCGTGCCGCAGCCCTGCTCGTGAGGCTTTAGTTTGCTGGCCATTTTCAACTTGTGCTGGGGGCTGGGCATGTTCTGGGCTACTTGATTGGGGCGAGGCAGGCAGTGGTGAGAAGACCTGCTGCAACATTTCTAACTGACTTGTGTCAGGCTTCAGCATATTGTGACAAAAAGAGCGTCAAGCATCCCACCCTGTCTTGCAGGTGTCTTTGACGGAGAAGAAGAGGGTATGCTGGCAATGATTGGTAGCTCAAAGCATCAGTAGATGGCAATAGAACTGCTACGCAGCCTTCGTCAACATGATGCAGAAAATCTAACATACTCTCCATGACTGTATCTACCGATGCGGCAAGCCAGTCTAGCCCCACGCATCCCCACGCCATGCCAGGGGTTGCGCGAGCTTCTGGAAGGCCAGGGGTGGGGGAGTGCAAGGAGTTCCGGGGTTTGAGCTCATAACACGGGTCACGGTTGCACGATGCCACAGCGGGAATGCGACACCCAGAGCCCCAGAGGTTAGAGTCGCACGAACCCCAGGAAAGATCGAGGCAGCAGAGAACCTTGTAGTGGACTGCTGGGAGCATCTTCGCTGCATGATGTGGCCGTGGCAATGTGTCATGTGCTTCCCTGGCCCAAACTGAAGCTGCCTTGGACTTCGTTTGGAAAGAGGCACCCAGTAACCCCCCTGGTTTATTCCGGATTCCCCGTCTGCGTTGGGCGCTCGTAGAAGGTCCCGTGGTTCGATGAATTCTAAACCCCCAGCCCCAGAACCGCCCTAAACCCTAAACCGGGTGGTGCCGGCTGCTTCTACGATTTGCAACCTATTGATCTGACCCGTGGCTTTCTGTCGTAACGCCTGTTCCGAACTCTTTGTGTTGCTCCACAAGGTTACAGCATACACTTTCAAGATCTCGAGCCTTTTGCAATCCTGCAGCGTGGTGCGAGACTACGACCAGTAGCCCTAAGCCCAATCCTGCTACACAAGGGAACTAAGGGGAACCCGTGGCCTCCTGTGATTTTCGCAGCATCTGGGGAGCCTTCTGTCGAAAATTGTTTAACGTATAACGGCTGGACAGTGTATGCGTGCCAATTGGCCTTGCCTGCCTCATGCAGGTGTGAGAGTCGAAACCAACTTCGGAGAGAGACAGAGAGAGGTGCAGAGAGAGAGAAAGAGTAGTATATTCATAAAATAGTGTGCATGATAGTATAAGAAAATTTGAATATAGAAACACACAAAACATGCAAAGCATATAGTAATACGACAACAACAATAATAGTCGCAATCATAATGATCATACATGAAGATCATAATGTAATACTGTAGAGAAGCCGGCCTCCCAGGCGCGCCACCGGCCTCGGGCGCAGGGGCGCCGTGGAACTGAAAGATCCGCAGTTCTGAGAGGCCATGGGGCTGGATGAAATGGTTTTAGGGTTTGTCAGCATACTTACCCGGCAGACTTCAGAGGCCTGGATGTAAAAGTTTAGGGCTTAGGATTGAAAAGGTGTTGCCGGCAGCCTCCTCAGTCCGCGCTTAAAACGGGTTTGTGAGGTTTTAGGGTCCAGCTGCAAAGGGCACAGAGCCCCCCGGAGATGTTTGATGGAAAGGGTGAAGGTGTCCAGAAGTCAAGAGTTCGCTTTGGCAAAGAATTCTGGCTGCCATGCTTTTGCATGGACTGTAGAACCATGTATAGCCCCTTTGTCTTCATTCCCTGCAGCGTGACTGCTAATACTGCTGTTACTACCTTCCTATCTTCGACGTGACCTCAGTGGGCACCTGTGCGCATGGCCTTAGTCTTTCGAAGGGCTTCTCAAGTGTGGGTCCTCTATGTAACGCACTGTAGAATTTGTTCATGGCTACCAGAACCAGTTTCCCAAAGGATCTGGCCCCATAGCCACAGCGTAGCGAATTGCTTCCCAAGAGGGGTGGCCTATTGCATTGTGGTGTTTAGCCAGCTGTCAAGAAGACAGCTGTTTGCTCCGAACGGACTGCCGGAGCCCATCTTCTTTAGCTCGGCGGCTGTGCTGCAAAGACGCTTGATGCCTAGCGGGCCTAGACGCTGGCGGTGTTGTGCGGCCATGCAAAACTTGCCGACCGACTGCATCGTGTCATATCGTGTCCTTTGTTACGTCAGTGCCTTCAAATGGGTTACGCACTCTTCGATTATTCTTTGCACTTCGCACCCTGAAGTCAGTTCTGGAGGACCTGGCACCGACTCTTGCTGTGAGGTGTCGACTATGCATTACCCAAACATAACCGTCCGAAAGAGTCTTCTCCATCGAGCCTGTCATAGCTTGTGTGTTTTGTTAGCACTGGGCGTCAACGGTGCAAAAACCATAAACCCGAAACCCGAAACCCTAAACCCTACAGAGCCGCGGTTTAGTTGGAATTAAGGCTTAGTTATGAAGCACTTTCCAGTCGGCGATTCTATGCTGGGAAAGCATGGCAGTGGCAACAGGAGGGAGGGTGCCCTCATTTCTAAACAGAGAAGTAATGGCAACGAATGGCTAAACAATCATGCTCTCCCACAATGCCTTGGCAAGCCAAGCCTCAGGACTCCAAGCCACACTCCACAGCCAATGTATGCCCAGAGTTTACCCGAAAGTTTGGGGCCAGGCAGGTCTCGGGTTTTGGGAAGCCTTTGGATGCTCGCAGCAAAGGCTGGGGCCAACAGGGTCCCTGGAAGCTCCGACTGAGGCCTGTAGTGGTGCTGCAGACGTGTGCAAGGCGCTGTTGGAGGGTCGCCGGAAGCCCAGAAACCAAGGGCTTTGCTGGGAGCTTTCTTTCAGCCTTCGATTGAAGTTTGGGTTTAGGGTTTAGGGTTAGGGTTTAGAGTTTAGGGTTCAGAAGTTTGTGTTGTGTTTACAGGAGCTTAGGCACGGCTTTTGTTAGGGAACCAGTCTGGAGTTGCGAGGCCAAGGTGCTGGTTAAAGCGGTTTAGGGTTTAGGGTTTAGGGTTTAGGGTTTAGGGTTTAGGGATCTGAGGTTGGTAGGTCAGCTTCAGGTGCCTGACATGGTGCACGGCAAGTGGGGGAGCCAACAACAGCAAGAGAGGCACATACCACGAACTGCCGAAGTAACGATAGCACCAATACATACACATACGCGCGCCCAGACCTGCACAGGCACACAAGCTCACGAACAAGCAACAAGCAATCAACAACACAAAGACAGTCAGACAACGTACCAAACAGCCCATCCTCCACAACGAGCACACCTGGCAACAAGACCTGTATGATAATGAAACGAAGCCATGTAACGAACACCAAGAAAGTGCTGAGATTACGGAGAAGTCTGATTGGGGCTATTTGTGGCCTTGGTTTGGCTTGTTCTTGCGTGGCTGCTTGACTGAATGGGGCTTTTCGCAATCTGCAACCTTTCCAACCATGGAGAAGCCTTAGCCATGACCGCCAGAAAAGTCACCAAAACTGAGGTGCGGATCCCAATCTCCGCACACAGCAGGGGCTCTGCGCCTTCGAACTCGCGTGCGACGCCCAACTTCTTCCTCTTTGTCTGCCTTCTATAAACCCCGGATGCCTAAACAGCCCATTTTTTGCAAGACTTGGATGTGGATTTTACAGCTTCGCACCGTGCCTCCAGCCTGACTTTGGCTGCTGCGGAAAGTTCACCATGTACTCAATCAGTATGTATGGCGCATGTCCCTCCGTCAAGGATTTATGTATACATACATATATATATATATATGTATTTTTTTAATCTAATTATGTGGTTCCTCGTGGTCAAATTGGGTTCTGGTTCTATATTCGATTCCCTCTTCGCCGCTGCTGCGTGGCCCAAGCCTTGGATTCCAGTTGATACCGAGATCAGCAGGACCTTGGAAGGGCTTGCAGCTTCGAGGGTTTGGAGTTTAGGGTTTAGGGTCTATTATTCATATGGGTTATTAAAACTATTCTAATTAGAATAAAGGGCTTATAGGGTTTGGAGTTTAGGGTTTAGGGTCTATATGACACGAGGAGAGGTCATGACTTTGGGGTTTCAGAGGTGCGCAGGGTTCAAGTTGCAGCGGAGGAGGCAACTATAATTAGGCGCAGCTTGAGGTCTCCTGCATTCGGGTGCACAAGGATGGGCTTTTGGGCCTCCCGGCACATAGGCGCATTGTCACCCTCATTGGGCTCTGGCCCGTGTGTGCCTCAGCGCAGGACTCGACCTGCAGCGACTTTTCCAAGGGATGGCGACCCCAGAGTATGCCACTTTGCGTCGACTTCAGATGTTGATTCAGATGGGAGCCTTCTGGATTTCGCGGTGTGGTGGGGTTGGTACAGGGCCCTTGTTGTGCTGAGTTCTAGCAGTCCTAGCACCGCATCATATTTCTACATCTTGGGGCACGCACTGCATCTGCTGGGCTGCTGATCAAATGCCCCGGCTATCCCGTGGCAACGAACTTGGTTAAACAACCCTGCCATGAAGAAGATAGTCGCCAAACGAGAGACAGTAATGGACTCCGGGAAAGAGAAATTTGCGGATTCTGCAAAGAGGGCATGTCAGAGTGAAGGGAATGTGTGCAACTGCACATGAGTCTGAGAGCGAAGCTCGACTGCTTGAGCTTTATAGAGTCAGTGTAGGATGACTGGCGGGACCCAGCTGCCATTGGATCATCGCGAAGTGATCGTGGCTGGCTTTTTAGATGTGGGCCTTAGCGAAGAGTGAAGAGTGAGGAGGGCTTATCATCTTTGGGGGTGCTGAGGGTTCGGGCCTCTGTGAGCCTGAGCTCGCGGCTGAGGACTATCTCTTCAAGCTCCTTCTGATTGGAGACTCAGGCGGCTGGGGGACGTCGATGGTCGAGTGGGTCGGACAAGTTGAAGGTCAGTTTCCCCTAAACCTTCAGGGCAGTGATTGCGGCAAAGACCGCCTTGCTCTCGCGGCCTTGAGACACATTGAATCGTCGAAGGTCCTTGCTTCCCTTAGGGTATCAGGGAACCTTGGGTTACATACCCCCCTTGAACACCCCTCCCTTAAGACCCTATCCTGTGGCAGGTGTCGGCAAGTCTTGCCTCCTGCTCCGCTTCGCCGATGACACCTACACGGTGCGACGCAGAACCGATTGGATGCCATTGGGTTTAGCTCTACCTAGTTCTGGCGGCATCTGAGACTCTGGGAGCCACAAAAAGACCCATCCGAAAAACACATTGCTACAGTAGTTCTGAGGCACCTTATGGAATCACTCCTTGTATGCAACCCCTTTATGAGGGATTGTATATGCTTATAGGGTACCTATACTTCCCAAGAATTACCTACCAAGAGTCAGTACGAACCAGGAGAGCTACATCAGCACCATCGGCGTCGACTTCAAGATCCGCACCCTGGAGCAGGAGGGCAAGACCATCAAGCTGCAGACGCTCGTCCCCTTAGCAGGTGTGAGCTGTAAACAACTTGCCTGATCACCGTCGTCGGCTATCCTGGCAGTTTCTCCCGTGTAATTACATCCGCCCCCACTCCAGCTCGAGATGCTGGGCCAAGGATTTGGGACACGGCCGGCCAAGAGCGATTCCGAACCATCACCAGCAGCTACTACAGAGGCAGCACCATAACGAAGCTTGAACTTGCTTGCTCGTGGGGGAGTGTAGTGGAGTGTGGTACAGCGGGGAAAGGGGCAAGGTCAGTTTCAAGTTCAGGAGGGCGATCAAGCTTCGAGAGTTCACGAAGGGGCAGCCGAAACCATGTTGTGCAGGTGCGCATGGCATCATTGTCGTGTACGACGCCGGAAGCCTAGCCGGTAGAACTCCACGGTAAGAACATTAAGAAGATGCACGCAACTGCATCGTGTCTCTATGCAAGCACGTATCACATGTGCACACACATACATATCTATCTACCTATCTGCCTATCTATCTGTCTATATACATGCATTCATACACATATCGACATGTATCCAAATACAAACATAAAAGCATATTGTTTATATAGACATACAGAAATACAAATACATATATACATATAAATATATCATGGGTGTACACATACATGAACAAATATTCATATATACCACATATCCTTCTTCCGAGTGCTCCTTGTGTTGATATGGGGCAGAATGGCCTTATAACCCTTTCCAGATCTTTCCAGCTTCGTTTTGAAGCTCATGTGATGTTTGTGTGGCCTTTATTGCGCATGCCCAAATCTCTTTGCATGTTCCCTACGCTACACTAGTATCGGTGACTCATAAGTCGCCCTTGCAATAATGTGGTCCCAAGTTGGCAACTTTGAGCACTGCTGCGAGACGTGTGTTCCTGACCTTGGCCAGATGTGACTGTGAGCCCGCCTCGAAAATGACAGGTGACGGACAAGGAATCCTTCAACAACGTCAAGCATTGGGTCCAGGCGTGCGGCCTGCAGCTTTCACAGAAGAGTTGGAAGTCAAAAGACAGGCCCTGCGTTGTACAACAGCGCGCCAGGAGATCGACAAGTATGCGGCCGACGGTGTGAACAAGCTGTTGGTGGGTGGCTGGGCGGGCTTTTCCAAACAGTAAGCTCGGAAGTATGAGGTCTTGACAGGTTTTGCCTTTTTAAGAGAGGGACGTCGGCAGCTTTTCTCGTCACTGCGTGGCCCATCGTGGCCGTGACCCAAGGCAACAAGTGCGACCTTTCTTCCAAGAAGGTGGTCTCGTACGATGAGGCGAAGGACGCAGCTCACAAGCTCGTCAAGCAGAAGTTTCAAAACTTTAGGTAGTGATCTAGTAATGATCGTTAGTAAAAAGACACGGCCTCTGGAATGCCACTTGGGCCTTCAGAAGAACAAAGTACCTCTAAGCACTCGTCCCTGTGACCTGGTAAAGGCTTTGAGATGCAAAAGCCTGTTGCATGTACATATCCTCGACTGCTGGCCTCTCCCCAACAATGTCTCTGCGGATCCCAGTCAATGCCAAACAGTCAGCTCACACGAAGCATGCAGACAGCCGGAGATCGGTGATGTTCACCCTCAAAATCGATAACCTATATGCCTTCTACCCCGCAATGACAGCGTGGGGGGAGCGGGAGTTGGATGCAGGAACTCGCCGACTCTTTCGGCATCCAGTACCCCGCTCCATGAAGACGGGTCATCACTGACACACCGAGGTATAAGGTTTGTGGTTTAAGGTCGCGGTGTTGAGGTTTTTCCGGGTTGCCTGGGCCTGTGTTGAAAAGTGGGTCAATTCTTACACGAACTTCGGATATACAGGCTCCTAACGGATAACCATGGGCACTGGTTGGACACGCGGGCCCTTCTCTTTGACAACGTCTTCAAAAAGGATGCCATGATACAGGTGCCGCGGTAGAAACTACCATGGAGAACATCTGGCTGAATATGATAGTCCACCCGACCCTGCTGCCGCCCGAGGTTCATGGAGACCAGCGCCAAGAACGCCCACAACGTCGAGCAGGCTTTGGGCCCTTATTCCAAGGTTTAAGCGCTGTGCTTGGAAAGATTTGTAAGGGGGAGTAGCAGGTACACACAGCGTCGCAGTGTCCGTCCTAACTTCTACCCAAACTCCCAGCCAGGCCTTCCAGACCATGGCAAAGGAAATCAAGCAGCGGGTGGCCTCGCAGCCGCAGGCGGAATAGGAGTTGCAGCGGTGAACGAAGGGTTCCTCCGTTTAGGTTATTCTAATGTGCAGATTTGTGTCGCCTGAGCTTCCGAGTGGCCTCGCCTTGAGCGTGTCGAAATCTGAACTGTCATCATGCAAGCAATGTTTTGCCGAGTGGCTCAACATTGAAGAGGACATTCTTTTTGCGGCAGCAAATGCACATCTAGTAAATGTGATTTTCTGTTTTCTAGTAGTAGTGCTTGGGGGTGTGTCGTGTAAAGGCCGTTAAGTTGCCTTTGACATTCACTACTTGCCAAATCCCTGCGAAGTGGATGTTCAGCGATGCGTGCGAAGAAAAAGCGCAACCCTAAAGCGCAAGCCCTGTGCCAGGCCAAGGCCGGACCCGGCAGCACCACTCTCGGTGCCGGCCGCCCTGTGCAGCAGGGAGGCTGCTGCAAGTAAGGAGGTGGGGGGGGCCCCTGACACTTTCTCATGTTTCTTCCAGATGCGAATGTCCCTGAGGGTCACTGGGGAGTTTTTTTTTTAGGGGTTTCTGTTCGGGGCCCTAATTCAGCGATTAAGCACCCTACAGTACCCGTCCACGATATTCCCAAATGCCGGAATTGAGAGGCCGCCTCGGACGGCTGCAGGGTGAGCAGTGCAGTTGCAAAGCCTGTGGCCAGGCGAGTCTGGCAGTGCTCTCGGCAGTGTTCTAGAGGGTGCAGGCAGCAATCAGTGGCGCAAGCATCTGGTGCTGTTTGCAAGGCATTCCGGGAGCAAAGATGATGCTTCCAATTCAGACAGCCACGCGGCTGCAATGCAGCAGTGTGAAGGGAACAGCTTCGCGTTTGGAGCCTTCGCATATTCAGTAGACCTGCCATTCCCATAGATTCCTCCTCGCCAGTGTGTTCTTAGTGTTTTGGCGCGCGTACAGCAGCTGTTTTCAAAGCAACTGCCCATGTTCCAAGATTGATTGTGGAACCTTTTCCACAGCCTTAAGCCGTCCGTTTGCTATTCCAGATGCAGAAGCTAGGGCAGCTAGGGAGTGTTTAGGGCTTTTTGTGAGAGCAAGTGAAGATCCGTCACTCCAGACTTCGGCAAAAAGGCCAGCCTTAAAGGAAATCGAAGGCCGGACCCGCCTCAGGATCGCTGAACACTAGGGGCTCGCTGTGCTGTTGCCCTGGAATAAACCATAATAAACCTTTCGTGAACCGCTGAGGCGATTCAATGACATTTTGCTGAAAGTGGCAGTCTCACAGTGCAGAAAGCAGCACGAAACTGGATGGATCTTCAGCGGCGAGAGTTGTAGTGTGTTGGGGGCCTCGGCTAGGGTTTGGCGATCGAGAGACAAGGTCCACCCAAGGTGCTGACAAGTGGCGATTTGGAAAGTGCAGTGCGGTTCGCCACTTCGAGGTTCCGTTTGTGTGCGCAAGGCTGCATCAAGCGATGTAAGTAGTGAGAATCCCATATGCGGCTCCTTGAATTGAGGTTCAGGGCTTTTGTGGGTTGCGGTCATCCTTCTGCTGGGATTGCCCATCGACTGCTTGGATGTCCTTTGCTATGCAAACGTCCTTGCAAGTTCCAGGCATACCGCCTGATTGCTCGTGGGGGGCAGTCAAAAAAAGAAGCGTCCAAGAAGCAGCTTGAAAAGCCAGCACTCTGGGGGCATCACGAAATCCTCTGTATTCGCATCCCCCTTTCACCGCTGCCGCGCGGCCCAAGCCTTGGATGCCAATTGATAGATCAAGGACCTGTGCAGGGCTTGCGGATTCAAGGCCTTGCACACCCTATTGGAGAAGTTTCCAGAGGTTCCGGTTCGGGGGGAGGCCATTTAGCTTGCGTTCAAGTGCACAAGGACGGGCCTGTGGGCCCGGACCTACCAGCACATACGTACACGGTCACCCTCATTGGGATCTGGCCCGTGTTTTGTTGGCCAAATCCGCGCCTCAGCGCAGGACCCCACCTGCGGCTACTTTTCCAAGCGATGGCGACGCCAGAGTATGCCACTTTGGGTCGACTTCAGATGTTGATTTGAATGGGAGCCTTCTCGAGTTCGGGGTGTGTGGTTGTTACAGGGCCTAGCTGCTGCGTGCGAGTACCAGCTTGTGCAGAATGCCCCGGTGTCAAGCTCTGCAAGTCCCCACTTGCACATCGTAATGCTACATCTTGAGGGGCTGATCAAATGCCCTTGCTATCCCGTATTTGTGTCAACAACTCTGTCATGAAGAAGATGGTCGGCGAAAGACACTTTATAGAGTCAATAGAGTCAGGGTAGGATGGCTGATGAGCCCCGGCTTCCGTAGGGTCATCGCGACATGACCGCGGAAGTCTTTATTGAGGCTTACACCCTTGAAACTGTAAACTGGCCCATTGCCGTCCTGCTCCCACCACAAGCCCTTGTAAGGCCACGAGAGCCCCACCCCAACCAACATGAGCCTGAGCGTGCGGCTGAGGACTACCTCTTCAAGCTTCTTCTGATCGGAGACTCAGGCGGATGAGGGACGTGGGTCGAGGGATATGGGGGGGGAGTTGAAGGTCAGTTTCCCCTAAACCTTCAGAGCAGAAATTGTGGAAAAGACAGCCTTGCTCTCACTGCCTGGTGAGTTATTGAATCGTCCGTTCGTCTTCTCCTCATGGCCTTAAGTCATCAAGATACAGAAAGGTGCGTGCTCCTGAACCCTGCTCACGCACACTCTTGCCTCGCATGTCCGAGTTGTGGTAGTGCAAGTTCTGATGCACGTACCGGGGGATCTGCTCAGGTGTCGGCAAGTCTTGCCTCCTGCTCCGATTCGCCGATGACACCTACACGGTGCGACACAGCTTTCGGATGGCATTGGTTTTAGGAGGTACGGCCCGGTTCTGGGGGCCTCTGAGATTCTCCGAACCACCAAAACACCGATCAAGCAAAAAACTTGCAACAGCAGCTCTTAGCTTAGCTGGAGGCACCTTGTATAATCACTCCTCTTGTAAGGGATTGTGTATGATACAGGATACCAACGATTCCCAAAAAGGTCCCTATTAGGAGTCAGCAAGAAACAGGAGAGCTACATCAGCACCATCGGCGTCGACTTCAAGATCCGCACCCTGGAGCAGGAGGGCAAGACCATCAAGCTGCAGACGCTAGTCCCCTTAGTAGGGAATCTTTGGAAATTTGGGTTTGAGGTTTATAGAGTCGATTGGCATGGTTATGGGCAACGGCTGGTGAACTGTGTACAACTAAAACTTGCATGATCGCTCTTACCCCTGCCCCCTGCCCAACGTCACGCCCACAGTTGCACGAGCGGGCATCGCACAGAGATGCTCGCATGATGTCTCGCCCAGTGTGCCCTAAACCCTAAACCGTACGTAAACCCAATCATTAAAAAAACAATCATACGCATGCTATGAGTCGGCCTGGAGCAGGTGGTGGGAGCCCATAGTCTTTGAAGTCCTGTGGTTGCGGCGTTTAGGGTTTAGGGTTTAGGGGGGGGGCTTGTGTCTTGTGCAGTGCGACGCGGTGGTTGATGGAGAATGTGGTTACAAAAGAGGTTCGTCACGGAGATTGAATTCAACAAGGCCGCTTCGATGACGGCTCGTGACAAAGCATCCCCGCCTTGCCCTAAAGCGAGATCAGAAACTCTTAGAGGCAGCCACAAGTCTGCAACTGCAGCTAGGCTAGACTGCTGGATGCCTTGTCACTAGGGGGTTGCTTCCACTGTGTGGGGCACGTACTCTGCTCCTTGCCTCGCTCCACGCAGAACTCCAGAGGGGCTTTTACGGCTCAGCTGCGCTCGCCACCCGACTCTCGGCCCTTCAACCCGAAAGCCTTCATCCCGTGAGCCAAGACCTGCACCACCAAAACCTGAGCCCCCACTCCAGCTCGAGATGCTGGGCCAAGGATTTGGGACACGGCCGGCCAAGAGCGATTCCGAACTATCACCAGCAGCTACTACAGAGGTGGCGCTGTAACGAAACTTGAACTTGTTTGCTCTTGGGGGAGTGTAGTGGAGCGTGGCACTGCAAGGGAAAGGGTGTGACAGTTTGAAGTCGAGGTGCACGCAAGAGACTTAGAGCATGACACGCAGCGCAGGTGCGCATGGCATCATTGTCGTGTACGACGCCGGAAGCCAAGCCGGTAGAACTTCATGATAAGAATATGCAAGAACATGCTATGTATGCACGCACATATAAACACACATATATATATGTATTCAATAAATGTCTGCCTCTCTCTCTCTCTCTTTCTCTCCTCTCTCTCTCTCTCTTTCTCTGTAGCTTTTTCGCGCTAACCCTTTCTAGGTCTTTCCAGCTTCGTTTTGAAGCTCATGTGTTCCAAGCAGTCCGTGTGTAGCAATCGAACCCCTCCAAATTTCAGAAGTGTTTCGTCGAGCTCACTTTGGACCACCCGACACGTGTTCCAGTTTATGTCTTACAGACCTACTCAGGGGCAAGTGTTTACAAAACTGCGCGAAATCGGTTCGCGGAAGCGTCCGCGGAAGCAAACGCAGCGGACGAGTAGAAACAGTACTCGCCGAAGGACCGCGGAAGGGTTAGGCGGAAGGGTTCTTGATTTCATAGGAAATCTTGTAGGAATTAAAACCACAGCTCAGGTGACAGACAAGGAATCTTTCAACAACGTCAAGCATTGGGTCCAGGTGTGCGGCCTGCAGCTTTCAGAGGAATTGGATCACTCCAGGAATTGTCCCCAACCTGTTGTTTGTATTTTTCTGCATAGCTCAGGGACCCGGGCAGGTTGTGTCATGCGATGGGGGAGCTGAATTAATGGGAGTTTTGCAATAGCGCGCCAGGAGATCGACAAGTATGCGGCCGACGGTGTGAACAAGCTGTTGGTGGGTGGCTGGGCGGGCCTTTCCAAACAGTAAGCCCGGAAGTAATGAGGTTTTGACAGGTTTTGCCTTCGTAAGAGAGGGACGTCGGAAGCTTCGTTGTCACGTCACTGCGTGGCCGATCGTGGCCGTGGCCCAAGGCAACAAGTGCGACCTTTCTTCCAAGAAGGTGGTCTCGTACGATGAGGCGAAGGACGCAGCTCACAAGCTGGTCAGGCATAAAAGCGACAATTGTGATATATCAGTAAGTAACAATAAGACACGGCCTCTGGAATGCCACGTGTGCCTTCCGAAGAGCAAAGTATCCCAGCATGAGATCTGTGATGTTCACTCTCAAAATCGATAACCTACATGCCTTCTACCGACACCCAGTGCCTGCGTGGGGGGGAGGGGGAGTTGATCGCAGGAACTCGCCGACTCTTTCGGCATCCAGTCCCCTGCTCCATGAAGACGGGGCATCACGGAGACTTCGAGGTTTAAGGTTGGGTTTGTGGTTGAAGGTTGCGGGGTTGAGGTTCTTCGGGTTTCCCAGGGTGGCCTGTACCTGGACCTGGACTACCTTTTTTTGGATGTGGGTCAATATATATATATATATCCAATTCTTACACGAACTTCGGGTATACAGTTCCTAGCGGTTGACCTTGAACACGGACTGGACAGACACGGGAAGTTCTCTTCTTTCCTAAAGGATGCCATAATCCAGGCGCCGCAGCAGAAACTACCCCACGTGCATCTGGCCAAATATCACCGTCCCCCCGACCCGAGGTTCATGGAGACCAGCGCCAAGAACGCCCACAACGTCGAGCAGGCTTTGGGCCCTTATTCCAAGGTTTAAGCACTGGAAGATGTCGCGTCCGAACCTATAGCTGCAGCCAGCGTGGGTTCTGGTATCGATGAAAGGTTTGCCTGCCTTTGCTGTAGCACACTGCATGAACCGAGCTCCCAGCCAGGCCTTCCAGACCATGGCCCGCGAAATCAAGCAGCGGGTGGCCTCGCAGCCGCAGGCGGAATGGGAGTTGCAGCAGTAAACTAAGGGTTCCGTTCAGGTTATTCTTTATGCAGGCTTGTGACCTCGCCTTGAGCGTTTGACTGTGAGAGTCGAAATCTTGACTTCATCATGCCAGCAATGCCTTGCTGGTGTTTGTCTGCAGTGGGCCCTGATCCTGCGTCTGTGGGAAATGCACAGTGGCTTAACCCTGAAGAGGGCTCTTTCTGCGCAGAAACGCACGATTGAGGCTTTTGCCCGGGGCGTCGTTAGTAAAGGCCGTTAAGTTGTCTTTTGTGGGCTTTAAAAAATATCAGGGATGTCTTGTCGGGCATCTCCTTGCGAGATGTCAGGCCCTAATAGGGTCGCAGTCTTCCTCCTCACTACTTGCCAAATCCCTGCGAAAGGGCTGTTGCCATTCAGCGCTGCGAGCGGAGAAAAAGCGCAACCCTAAAGCGCAAGCCCTGTGCTAGGCCAAGGCCGGACCCGGCAGCACCACCCTCGGTGCCGGCCGCCCTGTGCAGCAGGGAGGCTGCTGCAAGTAAGGAGGTGGGGGCGGCCCCTTAATTACGGCTTTTCTCATGTTTCTTCCGGGCGCTCCAGGAGTCGAGAGGAGTTTTGGGGCATTGCTTGGAGATCCTGATGCGAGTGTGCATGAGGGTACCCTAGGTTCGAGCAACCCCCACCCGTCCACGATTACAGGCACCTAGTACCCCAAAGCCGGATCACTGTTTGAGAGGCCACCTCGGTCGGCTGCAGGGTGAGCAGTGCAGTTGCAAAGCCTGTGGCCAGGCGCGCGTCAGACCAGACTCCGGCTTTAGTTTCACCGCTGTTCTGGTCTTGCAATGTACTGGGCAGTGTACTCGGCAGTGTTCTGGAGGGTGCAAGCAGCAATCCGGTGGTGCTTGCAAGGCATTCCGGGAGCAAAGATGATGCTTCCAATTCAGACAGCCACGCGGCAGCAATGCATTGTGAAGGGAACAGCTTCGCATTTGGAGCCGTTGCATTTCCAGCAGGCTTACCATTCCTGCCTAGATCCTCCAGTTGTTTTTTCATGCTCGTGCACATCAGCCGCCTCCAAAGCAACTCCCTACGTTCTAAGACCGATTGCGGAACCCAAACCTTTCCCCATCCCTAAGTAGTCACGCGATTCTGGGCCCGAGTAGCCAGCCCGTCACTCCAGACTCCGCTATAATGTCGCGTGCTTGTGGTAACCTATGTATGCAAAGGGGATCAGCAGACTTAGGGCCGGGCCCTCGTCCCTCTTGACCCGCTTCAGGATTGCTCCACTAGAAGCTCCCTGTGCTGTTGCCCTGTAATACCCCTTTTGTGAACTGCTGAGGCGATTCACTGACATTTTGCTGAAAGTGGCAGTCTCACAGTGCAGAAAGCAGCACGAAACAGGATGGATCTTCAGCGCTGAGCGTTGTAGTTTGTTGTGGTCCAGACTGGGGACAATGAAGCTGCTACTAGCATGGAGTTATTGTGCAAAGGCTTCGGGGGTGGGTTGGTTGTTGGGCCCTCAGCAAAAGCAGGAGAGTCGTCTCCCGTGCGTCAGTCTGAAACCCTAAACCCCAAACAACCCCAATTACCCTAAACCCCAAACAACCACAATTACCCTAAACCCTAAACCCTAAACCCTCGAAAGTGGAAGCCTCGGCTCGGGCTTGGCGATCGCGAGACAAGGTCCATCCCTCCCAGGTGCTGACAAGTGGCGATTTGGAAAGTGCAGTGTGGTTCGCCACTTCGAGGTTCTGTTTGTGCGATGTAAGTTTTCTGAGAATTCCCATGCGGTTCCTTGAAGATTCAGGGCTTTCGTGTTAGGCCCGTGCAACCCAGTGTCCTGTGTGGAGTGATCTTGATCCTGCACACCTTGGTGATCAGACTGCCATCGTGACTGTTTTCTGGATGCCATTACCGCCTTGGATTCGTTCCGAACCAGGAAGAAAAACGGAGCGATTGCGCTTGCACGTGCTCTCTGCTGCTTCTGCCAGACCACCCCTGGGTTCTAATCAGTTCGGGGTGGGAGTGGTGCCTCTGGCACTATCCGTTTATCGGGTGCCAGCTGAAGACTGAGACTAAACGATGCGTTATCTGTCAGTAGGGTCCGTTAAGATGGGCGTCCGGCCAACGTAGCATGTTTGGGCCAGACTAGCACATATAACTACATAACTTCTGTGACGCATCGTGGTGCATCTGTTGCTCTCTCTCATGTTCCCCCCTACTACTTTCGTGCGGCCATCTAGAGGCTTCTTGCCATGGAGATGCTGTCGCAATGTGGGCGTGTGGTTTTCTTTGGTCCTTCTGGTGGTAGCCCCTCTGTAAGTCTTGCTCTAGACTCAGGAAGGTTCCGAGACCAGGCGGCCAGCGTGCAACGCTACGCGCACAACGCACGCCCTGGCACCCAAGGCAGCAGGGTGGCGTCGACGTCGATGCCCTGCCCGCTCTGCGTGAGAGCCTCAGGTTGTATAGTTATGAATGCTGAATGAGGACCGACGCTACTTAACTTAAGGTTGCGGCAACATCATGATCAGTTGGTGTGGGGTTCCTATCTTGCCTATTGCTTTGAGTAAGTTAGGTCAAGTACAGAAGTCATCTTGCCACGTAGCAGTACTTCACCTTGCCCGCCTTGGCTCGCACGCATTTGACAAAGACGCCGCATCATACCACTATATCATGGGGTTCCAGTGTTTCAACAGTCGACATCAACATCAGAATAAACGATGCAGCACCTGCCCCACAGCGTCCGGCCAAAGCAAGCCTTGTTTGGAGATAGACTCCCGATGCTTTGGGGCATTCTTCAGTTTCTAGTGAGCCGGCCCTTGTTCGTTTCGAGCAGTTCGATAACAAGCCAGCTTGTCAGCGGCCATGGCTTCGCAGTGGTGGTGCAAAGCGGACGAGGGCAGCTGGAACCGAAGTGATGTGTTGCAGTACGTGGACACTGGGCACAAAGAGGCTGCTGCACGTAGCATGACTTTTGCCGGCCCTGAGGTTTTGAATCTCTGATCTTGCAGAGGAAGGTTCCACCAGGAAGGCGCTCGTGAGACCCCAAACTCGCGCGCCAAATCTCAAACAACCGAACCCACTGGTGACTGTTTAGCAAAAAAGTGGCCTGCGACTCTTTTTGGGTTTAGTGCAGTTCACTGCTATTCTATAGGGTTTAGGTCTTAGGGATTCTTGGGGGCTCAGGGTGTAGGGCTTCGAGAAGTCCCAAGCGGGAAGTGAGGTGTGAGGTGTGGTGCTCCGCGCCCTGCCCTCCGCGCCCTCGATGCTCTGCGCCGCTCACTCCGCGCCCTCATGTCTCGCCGGCACATTGTGTCCACGCTGCGCCCGCGTGTTGCGGCTATTCTGCGGGTGTGATCGGGTGAAAGCCAACTTGTTTTCAACACACGCACTGTGCAGCATGGGCTTTATCGCGTGTCCATCTTAGAGGGGTTGGAGGATGCGGGATATGGGTGTCCCACTCTGTCTGCGTGAAAACGCACAGGGGCACTAGGAAATGGGTCTCAGCCACACCCCTGTAGCAAGTCAATGGAAATGTCATATCCTGCCTGGGTACAGGACTACTTCCGATTCCTAGAATGCCGATGGGCCATACCCTCTTTCACTCTGGAAGCTGAGGAGGAGTCCATCACGACCAAGCTCCACGACGTGGAGGAGCGGCTCGCAAAGCTCGAGCGCCGCAGCTGACCTTTTGGAAGGGAAGGCTTGCGAATCTGAATCCCTTGGATGCTAGGCGATTTAGGGCCTATAGATATTCGAGGCTCGCGAGGCCAATGGATAGACTGGGTACAGAATATAGGGTTCCGAATATCGGGCGCACGGAGGCATCGAGATTCAGTCTACGATCAAGTGGCTGAAAAGCGCATCGTGGGACTTTGGGTTCCAGCTTTGGTTTTGTGGCTTCATGTTTCGCTTTGCGGAGTTGTACATGATCCCTGAAGTGTCTAGACCAAGGCTGTGTGTTCAGAGGCCACCTGTCTGACGTTGAGAATTCCTTTTTTTATGCCTTCCGAAGCTTGTCGAAGGTTCACAGACGCACAAGACGAGCACTTCGCTGCCTGAGCATTCCGTGCCGTGCCCTAAACCCGAAACCCTATAAGCCCTATATTCTAATTAGTTTTAGTAACCTATATTTAATATTTAGAGACTATATTTAAAAACTATAGTTAAACCCTCCGACATCAGCCAGCTAATTCCAGGTTGGCTGCTGAGCCGCAGGATGCTCAAGGCAATGTGGTGACGCAGAGCATGTGACTTGGAATCCACTCAGCACACAGGGTTTAGAGGTCAGGGTAGGGTTTAGGGGTTAGGGGTTAGGGTTTAGGGTCTAAGAGTCTAGGGTTTAGGGTTTAGGGTTTGGCGTAGGGCCTTTGGCCAGAAATACTTGGGTTGTTCAAGACAGCCTTTCGGCTTCGTCTGCGAGTGTTGATGCGCAAGACCTGCCTGCCTTTTCTTCGGTGTCCATGATTTACTGGGGCGACTACCTGCGGGATCCCCACCGAAGACTCGAACCTGACTCATATTCGATGTTGCTGATGAGGCCCGACGCCGAAGTAGTGGAGGTACACCGCACTGGCACCGACGTTGCAGCGGAGGTGGCCGCGTCCAAATGGGTGGGTTTAGGGTTTATATAGGGCTTAGGGCTTAGGGTTTGGGGTTTTTGGTTTTTGGGGTGTTCCGAAAATAGAGTGGCTCCAAGCCCCCAAGCTCGAAACACGAGGCTTGTGGTGAGAGGTGGCTCTCGGCAGTCCATGTCAATCAACCTGTAATACACACAACCCTCAAATGGGCAGACCCCCCCCCCCCTTCGGAAATCGTAATTGGGGGGCCCAGGAAGGTCCCATAGCTGCATTGGCCAGGACGCAGGGGAGCCTGCGCTGACACTAGAGGAGGCCGCCAATTTTCGCGTTATATCTTGCCGTTTCAAGGGCTTCGAGGCTAGGCTTGGGGCTTGCATTCACGATTTGGGTCTCAGGGCTTGGGTGAGATTGAGATTGGCATTAGAGGTCCTTTTAATCAACGTCGTCCGGGCCCGGCCGGAGGTGCATTCATGCAAGATACCTTCAGGGTGAAGCACCTAGCTCCGAACTACCACTCCGCCCCACAGCACGCATGCTACACTAGCTGCTACACCCCTCATGTCCCCGGAGCTCCAGCTTCGTGATCGTTTTCGGCCCAGGTGGCCCTTTCCGACTGCTGGAGCTACAAGCTCGAAGGCGTGATCCCAACAGGGGCTCACAAGGCATAATATAGGTTTTCAGGTGTATAGGATTCTAGTTGCAATCTGACAGGGGCAGCCTGGGACGCCTCCGCGCTTGCCGGCCTGGGCGTTTTCTCGCTTCAGGAGTCCACGACCCTTGGGCTTAAGGCATGCACCATATCATCGCTAGAGCATGATGAACCTACCTGCCTACCTGCGTGTATACGTGTATATGTCTTCTGGTCTTTCTTTTCTTGATCACTTTGAGCAAGGCGTTCGCCTGGTGATGACATGAGGGCTTGAGGTATGCATCTTAGTATGGTTAGCCTGAAGCGCAGCTGGCCCGAATGCCATATCAAGGTTGATCGTTGCCTGCGGCGTTTTCTCGATTCTCCTGCAGACCGTATTCGCAATAATCCTATATGATGCTTGGATGCAGTATAGTGGTGCTTGCGATGCACAATGATGCACAAATTCCAGGCTCACGTCGGCTTGCAGTGCACAAGGCTGCAAATGCAGTCAAGTCTGCAAGGCCCACCTTGTAAAGAAGGAGGTCGGTTCATTCATCTACCCTAAACCCTAAATCCTAAACCCTAAACCCTAAATCCTAAACCCTAAACCCAAAACCCTTTGTTGCGTAAGGCGAACATGATTGAAAACATCTTCACCGAGCAGCTCGTCCAGGAGCTGACTGAGTGGCGCGTCCTTTTCGGTGCTTGCCTGAGTGAGTCAGGGCCGACAGACATAGGGGTTTAGGGTTTCGGGTTTAGGGTTTAGGGTTTAGGGTGCATCCTAGTAGGGCTCGCGGGGTCAAAAGGGTGCATCCTAATCAAAACTCGTTGGGGCCTTGAAAAGTCGCCCGGCAGAGGCCACAGCAGCCAGTTTGTGGATCCCATCACCGGTGAGCCGCTGATGGTCGGGCTCTGTGGTGGCTCGCAGTCGTTGATGGATGGGCGCGCGCACCGCGGCCAATAGAGCATTCATGATCGGATTGCAGTTTTAGAGCCATGGTGATTCTCAGGCGTACGTAGTAATTATGTGGTACACAGCGCAGCCAACGGTCACATATGTGTGTGTCCTTTGCTCGGCGAGCCGTAGGCAATTTGAACTGTGGGCATCCCGCGATCCCTTGCTCTCAGAATGTTTTCGACAAGGGGAGCCGAAGGTGCAGATTCATGTTATGCTTCCTTTCCACCCCGTTTCTCATGATCGTGAGCACCGGTATCTTTGAAACGCTATTTTGAAAGAGCCGGGTGGCGATTGCTTCCCAATACGGTCGTCTATCTTGCAATTCTCAAGCTCTGCATAAGCAAGTGCACGACCGCCCTTGGTTGCCAATCCAGGCAAGCTGAGATCTATCAGAGCGTTGTATCCTACGGCATCCAGGTGAGGGACGACGCACACCCGTCACAGAGCTGCATCAGTGGCATATGACCACAAGCCTCAAATATTATTCCCAGCATGATGAGGTTGTTAGCCGCGTTAGCCCTTGGCTTGTTCTTGTCCCTCATCTTTCAGTTCAGGCCGGTTGGACCCCTCCCGGCCGGTGCATGGCTGGCTCTTCTGGCGCTCCTCGTGCCTTGCCACATGCAGAGCCGCGCATCCCGATTTTTTCAGTCCAAGAGAATTCTGCCTCAAGGGGTTGCCACGGTTGCTGCAGGACACTTTTTTTTCTCAGATTGGGGTTGCAGCTTCGTAAAACACACAAGTTGTCAAAGCCCATAGCGAGAGGTGTGGACCGCAACAGTCACAAACGAGCTGCTTTCCATCATATCCCTCACGTGGGCGATGCTCTCTCTTGCGTCGGACACAGACAAGACGGTGCCTTGGACATCTCTCTGGCTTAGCTGTTGATGACAATAGGTATCGCATCGTGCTTCCTTACGGCAACAGAAGATGGCAGCACCGAGATTCTTGAATCCAAAGGCAGAGGTCCTTGCCTAGGTTTTCTTCCAAAACCCATGTCGTTTTCGATGACAAGGAGCTGGAAGGAGCGAGCCTCTCACTGAAGCGGATCAGCCGAGCCCGCTCTGCCATGTTGATCGTGACCTCTGTGGCATGGTCTGAATGGACACATAAACCCTAAACCCTAAACCCTGAATGACCTGCATGACATGGCGGACACCCTGCATTACGCTCCGAGCTGAATTGTGGTTGTGCAAAAGCAGATGGGATGTGGATAACTTCAAACGATGACGGCTGGTTCTGAGAGAGGGGTTGAGGGGCAGTAGTATCACTTGTTAACGCAGATAGTGGTTAGTCAGTGGAGTGGAGTTGGCAGCAACTTCGCCAATAGTGTCACCATGGACAATTCCCTACCAACCGATGCCTTGCCGGCCGCGTGCGAGTGTGAGCGTCGAACCCCGAAACCCTAAACCCATCACAGGGTTGCCGGAAGGCCCGGAGCTGACCCAGCTGATGCTCGCGATGCGTGGGCTTGGGGGCCACAAGCTTTCCGGAAAGCACTAAAAGCCCACCCCCTGATGCTCATGATGCGCGGGCTTCGGTGTCGCAAGCTTCCGGGGCCGACCCAGTTGATGCTCATGATTTGTGACCTTTGCTGGAACGCTCAACTGAATCTTTCGCAATCTATAGAATCTATCGGCTATACGCAGGGATCCAATTTTCTGGTTTTATTCAAACTGCTGTTGGAGGCCACGAGACTCCTCATCGCGGGCACGCTGGGAGTGACAGGAATACGATACCTGGTGGCTTGCCAGCAACTCTCTCTCGCGCTGTCGATTGTCTTGTGTAAGGCCGCAATCCTGCGCTCCTCTCCTCGGCGCTCCAATCCCTGCGCGCAGGCCGCCACAGCATCGATCTCCGAGCTGATCCTGAACACGGCCGATTGGCTAAAGGTCAATTCGAGGTTTGTTCTCCAAAGATCCTTAAAGATCCTTTTTGTTCAAAAAACAGGCCAACAATAGGGGGTGCGCATGGTACACAGGGTACTTTTGCCAAACTTGGGGGCCCTTCGTGCTGGCCTCTTAGGGTTCTTGGCTTTGCAGGCCATATGCCACCCATGCTCCGCGCGAAGGTTGCCCTGGAGGTCGTCCTCCATGTGGACGACGTGTTCTTTGCACTGCTCATCCCGTCTAAGGCGCTTTGAAGACATGAGTTGCTTCAGTGTCATCCAATAAAGGTTGTAGAACACGCAGTGTCAAACATCCAGACAAGTATAGAGTATAGACATGTATGTATACATCATACCAACAAGAGGGAACAGGTGCTCGCACCTCAGTTTCGGTTGGTATATCGAGCTTTTTGTAGGGTTTTCGAGGCAGGTATTGTTGGAAGCCCTCCAAATGCTGGTGTTGCACCTGAAGATGAGATGAGAACCAGAAGTATGAGAAGGTGTCTAGTATGGCGTCAACCATTCAATTTTGCTTGTTCGAGTCCACATGGAATTTTGTGATGAGCGTGGGCTACGCCCAGACATGTCAAGCGCCAAAGCCTAGAGATTGCAACTGCGAACGGCTGCTCATCGCTGCTCATCCCCCTCCGACCTGCAGGAACAAGCCCGTTAATTTTCTCTGGTTTGGGGTTGAAGGATGGCTAATCTTCATGTGCAGGTTATGTCTACCGTGGATCGGATAGAGGAGATCACAGTGAAGCTGGTGACTTGGCTGGGCTGGGTAACATGGGGCTTGAAGCTTGTTTCATGAAGTTTGCTTCAGAAATTCCAGCGATGCCCACGGGAATGGGCAGACACAGTAAAGCCTGCAGGCAGACATGATGTACTCCTGACGCAATCGCTGAAGCGTTTAGTGTAGATGTTTGGGATGAGAGACGTGACCTGGCAAGGCACGGCCCTGGATGTCCTGCCTGCGACTTGCTCCTGTGCTGCATACTTATCCAACCCCGATTGGGACACATGCTGCCTTGCTTGAAGAACTCCGACCTAACTCTTGGACTGGCCCCCCCGTGTTTTTCCAATCTTTTGGTGAAGCAAAAAAAGAGGTTGCCTTCATGTTCATCGTGGTGCTGGCTTCGCACCTCCTCTTTCTGCAACCTATGGTGGACAGAATGCAAGAGACTGCAGATGCACTGTGCAGCAGCAACACGTCCTTCAGTTACTTCACGGACGCCGCGGGCTTCGTGTTTATGAGGGAGTACAGCGCATCGGCATCTGTGCAGACTGAGACCTACGCCTATAGGGCTGTTTTCGAAGCTACTGGCTTGCAGGGCTCGAGAGATCTGCAGCCCACGGCTGTTCGAATAGTGGCCGACGGTCTGAAGCAGATCGTTGTAGAGATGGAGGGCCGGAATCTTGAGAGCCGCAACGACTTCATGCCGGTCTGCCTGGACAGCGACCATCCAGTCTTGGAGAATTCTGGCTTGCAGAATTTCGGGGAAGCATCTGTCCAGATCATGCGCGAGATTTTTCAAACAGACCAGTTGGACTCCTGCGCGTCTGCTCGAGCTTACTGCGACGACTGGTCCAACTTGCCCTACAGTCTGTGGAGGACGGGGGCCCAACAAATGCCAGTAAAATGAAGGCACGCCATTAGTTGTCTGGTCTGGTCACTGCGACTGAGTATAGTCGTAGTTCCTGCGCAGAGAACGACCTAAAGGCTACCAAAGAGCTGTCAGTCCGAGCTAAGCTGGGATTTGGGGCAGGCTCCGCACCTTGTGCCCTACAACCTGCGGCTGCAAAGATGCGCTGACCGGGAGTTTGGTGGCGGTCTCGTCGAAATATGGCTGTCCGCTGAACCCCGGAAGCAATAGGTGGGAGTAGCGGCCAGTCTGTAAGGCTTGTAAGGTACGCCGGGCCCTGGGACCGAACACCCAATGACAAGTCCTCAACATTGGGCGCCAAAAACTCTTGGTGCAGAAACACGTCAGGCGCATGAATCACGCCTGACGCGTCCAAAATGTCGCGGAAACTCTATTCGTCGAGGCCCAAAATCTGAGAAGAGCCTCTGTGAAACCAAGGGTTTATTTGGGAGTTTAGTCACTGAGGGCGCCTTTTCGGGGGGCCTAGGCTGTCGTACTTACAAGGAGCCAACGCCAAATCTGAAGTACTTGTGCCCTGAACAACCGAGGGCCTGCCGCTCAGAGTATCAACAAAGCCTGCTGGGGCGCAACTGCAGTGATGCCGAGCCAGGGAGCCACTCGACTGACAGGCCGTATACATATTTATTTATTTATTTACTTACATATTATATTTTACTATATTAGATTGTATTTTATTCGATTAGATTAGACTATATTGTATTGCATTATATGTTAAGGCTCAAGGCATCTTGAGTTCGCTGTGTCAGACGACGGCCCGCTTGTGCGTGCCATCCCATCTGTTAATATTTCTTATGAACTCCAGAACCTAGCTCTCTTAATTGGGTGTTTTTTTTTTTTTTTTTTTGGGGGGGGGGGTGGGGGCGGTGGAACTACTCCGTTCCGGCAATGTTTTTTTTTTTTTTTTTTTTTTTTTTTTTTTTTTAATTTTTTGTTGCGATATTATGTTTCATCATTCCCCGGAAGAAGTTCTGCCGTCTGACTCAAAAGACGCTGTTTCGGCCACATCTAGTGATGTCCTAGGCTCATGGTGATTGGATAAACACATGATTGGAGTTTAAGGGTTTAGGGGCTCGGGTTTTGATTGACGAGGCATGTGACGAGCTCGGGTCACCAGCTGTGCGAGGAAACCTGACAACACTATTCTCGCTGAACAGATTGAATACTCCTCATCTTGTTTCTTTCGTTTTTAATAAGGATTTCTCTCGCTCTCTCTCTCTCTCTCTCTCAGTCTATTAGTCTGTATATTTATAATATATACATATACATATATATACACGCTGTGCATCGAGTGTCTTTTTTCGAAGCGCAAGCATGGCGCAGCTCAGGCGCGATGCTGAGGAACTACGTGCGCTCCTTGGCGGAGGTCCGGAACGCGACGCTGGAGGAGACCTGCCAGGCCACCAGCTGCTGGCAATCTCCCGCCGGGCGCCATCCGAATAGATTGTTATATATACATACATACATGTGCTCATTTCTGTTAATACATACACATGTACATATGTTTAGGTAGATACTGTGTATACTTGAGTATGCAACAGTGTAATGTATATATATATATATAATTAGTATACATACATACATATATATATATACACATACACACACTGGGCGCGCACAAGGAAAGCCTTCGTGCTCCAACAAAAAGCGAGTTCTCAGACGCTTTCTGCGATGTGGGCATCATTGCAGGCCTTCCTGGTGCCCTTGGACTTTGATGGTGTGACCTTCAACATGTGCACGGACCATGAGGCCGCATACAGCTCCCTGACTTTCTTATTGATCGTCATAGGTTTGGGATTCAGGGTTTGGGATTGCTCCGCCTCGGTTGGCAAGGCCGAAGCAGGTCAGCAAGGTGTTGAGCACGATGGCTTCGGCCGTGTGGTAGCTACCTCGCCGTATGATGTTTCGAAATGTTCTAGTTTTAAGGGCCGCCGGGTGCCGTCCATGTGCACATGGAGGTTTCCCCAATTCGGGGTACTTTGTAAGGGTCCGCATTATAAGAAGATTCTGTCATTTTGGGGTGCCCCCGTCTTTCCAGTTTGGTGCAACGGCATGTCTGCATCGATCCACGCCTAGCAGCTCAGGTTCGGGCTACGCCTCGGCTCGAACAGTTTGTCCTGTCACCTGTGGCTGCATCCCGGCTCCGCCAGCTTTAGCTTGCATGCACGCCTGTGGAAGCTTGCGTAGAATGCTATCTTTACCCGACTCGGACATTCGTGACGATTCTGTCAAGATGGCATCGCGAAGTGGCAGTACTGCAGCAAACGAAAGCTACGATTTGGTGAGCGTTTTGAGCTTCGGAAAGCCTTAACAGAGACTCTATCTTCTTGAGCCCATGCCGAGCAACCTCTCCAAACCTCGAAAGGGTCTAATGACCGCTTCTGTGAAGGCCAAAGTCTGCCCACTCTGCCCGGCTGTCCGCCCAGCTGCGCGTCGTGAAGGGTGTTTTTAGTGTGGAGGTGAATCCTTTTTGGGGAGCTCTGCAGCACCCCCCAGCCCCAAAGCAGAGCTGCCTCTCCCTTTCAGCGGTCACACCTCCATAGGGGGCATGTGCACCGCGTCCAAGCACGACGGGTATCCGAACGCTTCAGGGAAGCTGCGCTGCGTGATGGCTGCTGCACAACTTGCAGATACGTAGTAACTGAAGTTGGGTCGTGGTTCTCCAGCTATGCTCAGTAGAACCAACCGTGTGAGGACAGCCATCAAAAGCTTTGTACCTTTCTGGCAGCTTTCTGCGACCATCAAGCCGCCAATCCAAAAGGTGCTCACAAATTAAGATGGCCCGGTTCCCTTCGATGGGGCGCCACTTAAGGCAATAAAACCCCCGGACCCAAAACTGGGCGTCCGTGCTTGGAAGAATGTTCTCTCTCTGACTTCATAGCTGCTGCTCAATCAATCCATCAAGACGTCCCCATCGTTGCCCCAAAAGTCCCACTAAACATGCAACAGGGGTGCCCCAAATACTTCTAACCAGACAGCACCACCTGCACATGGCCTTCTTCATATCAGAGTGGTGGCCTAAAGCATTTGATGCAGGACAGCCTGATCACTTGATCGACTTTGGCCGCCCCATCCTGGAATGAAGCACGAAAGCGGGGCAGACTCGGACACGAGAATGTAGAGCGCATCCTTCCGCAGCAAAGCATCTTGTAGGCATCGCAGTGAGGCAAACCGCAAACACACTGGAGTGTTCTCAGGTTCTGTGAAGCTCGGATAGGCTCTGGTCCGGGCATCCCTCCCACATTCTCTCACTTAAAGTTCAGCCCGAGTCACCTGAACTGCAGACCAAGTCGCACACACCCCACCCTACCCGCCGAACTTCAAGTCTTTGAATTTTGGGCCCCTCCAATCATCGTCGGGAGGCTCGGGGTCAGGGTCTAAAAAAGGGGACGCAGGGATGACGGCCGAATGATCCGCAGAGATCCTCTCAAGATTTCGGCCCAGGACCTGCATCGCCTCAGGTGACGGCAGATCTCGAGCGGGGCGCTGGGCACGCGAAGGGCAGTTGATCATACGGTTGAGTTAGTTATGGTATACTGGTTGGGATGTTCCCCCCTTAAGCTACAGTCTTTAATACGGGTTATAGTACCCCCTATGATCATCCCAATTAAGGGCGAACATCACAGCGTTGCTCTTGAGGAGGGTGTTGGCATTGCAGAGCTTTCTTGGGCAGACTCCTAGCGAAAATGAAAGAAAGCTATCCCGAGACTTGACACTACTTGTAGCTGCTGGCAGCTTCATGCTCGGAGTCATGGGCTGCTTGGCTCTTCGCATCCACTACTCGTAGTTTGATACCCGAGTTCTGGTTAAAGCATTTGTTTTTGCTCGAGCTTGCTCGCTCGGACTAGGGTACCGCTCAGCTCCACATGGGCTGCGCTATTCAGTTTACGGCTTCGCGGTATTCCGCAAGGTGGCGTGAGTAGTTTGACATAGTTGCTGCCTCAAGCCCCTCAAAGCTACCACGCGAAGACTGAGAAAGCAGGCTTGCGGTCATCTAGTGTTGACAAGTGGCCGAGCAGCCACGAGGAAGTAAGCCGGTACCTTGAAAATCCAGTGTGTAAATCCAGCTGCATAAAGTAATACAAAACCTTTGCTGTTGAGAAGCTAAACTCCCTTGAGCACAGTGCACCAGAGACCCCTCCAACTACCCAAAATGACGCCTTATCAGTACTCAGTACCCTATTAAAGTCATCATGACGCCTTATCAGTGCCCCTTCTAAGTAATCCCACTATAACTAGTACCTACTACTCAGGGCCCTCATCGCTATTGAGGGGAATTGTGGGGCCAAGGCCCGACCTTCGAGGAGAACTGCGGGCCGCAGCACGGGTACCATGGCTCCGGATTTTTGCGGGTTTCGGGTTCAGGGCCCATGCAGCAGAAGCCCTGCTGAAGCTCCGAAAGTATATGGGCCAGTAGGGGCCGCCTTGTATAGCAACCCCCCAAAAGGGACCATGTTTTGGAGAGATGACCATATATAGGATATGAAGCTATGAAGGGCCTTTGCGCTTTTCGGCAGTTGACGCTACAAACTTTACCGTATTACCAGCTCTGGGAAGTATATAAGACTTGTCAGCATGCCTGTGCTTAGCATTGGCAGCGATGGGAGGTGTGTCACGACCCACGCCATGATGCCCCTATTGATCTGAGGCTTGCGACGCTGCCAAGCTTGCCGAGGTGCTTGTTGCGAAGCAAGTTCCCGTAGGGCCATAGGAATGTTTGCGGACCGCTGCCTGCCCCGAAACATGGGGAGTCTGGTTTAGTTGGTCTTCGATGGGCCTGTTTGTGCCAACCATTCTGGCATCTACTGGCCTGGCATTGTGGGTGGAGTCTCAATTTGTGGGACGTTTCGGAGCCTTCATATGAGACCTATGCGGCCGAATGACTCCTTGTCGACTTCAGGGCACGAAACAGGCCCATGAGGTCGATCGACCCCTGACTAACAACAGCTCCATCTTCCAAGAGTTCATACTCCCGACAAGCTTCGACCGGAATCGCGCCGCAAAGTGGGCAAGCAGCTTTCATGTTTTCTGGTTTCTGTGCATGTTCAGGTGCTGGTGCTGTTGAAGCCGGATTCGCAAGAGGCCCGTGGCCAGCTGGCATGCAATCGAGAGTCTCTGAGAGGCAGCAACTAACGAAGCAGCGCCTGACCCAACTAGTTGCAGCCGCCCGCTGCGTACATCATGTTTATTTGACATGTGTGTCGACACTGATGCAGGTTTTGTCGGAGGCTGATGGAAGTGGCAAGACGCTTCTTCATTTGTGCCCGGAAGCTCAGCACCCGATCGTATAGGCTAAGTTGAACTTCCAGTCCTGCCACGAGCCAGCTCTTAGCAGGCAGCTTTGAGCTTGGACGGGCTTTTTCGAAGCTACAATCTAGCTTATATACTGGCCCCACTGTCGCGAATATGCACAAGTTGAGCCAGTCGCTGTGCTCATAACGCAGTTCAAGATGTGTCCATCATGTGGCCGTAGCCATTGGCAAGATTGGCAACAGCAGCTTTTCACGTAGTGGAGAGCTCAAGGTCAAGACGTAATGTGCGGTCTGTTTGTTATGCGCAGCTGTTACTATGCCGCAGGGTGGTCGTTCAAGTACGCTAGGTCTGGCGTAGGCTGAAATGGCTTAAAGGATGGTTGTACATGCAAGCTACGGGTTGACTTAGTGTGTGTCGCCGTGGCCGAATTTAGCAGAGTGCAAGCGATGGCTGGGGATGGCGTGCCCTCACGTGGACCCGCGCCATCGCGGGTACCACGCAGTTGGTTTGGCCGCTGCTGCCGGCGCAGTTCCAAAGTCAAGTTGCCAGAGACGCCCCTCATACTTGCTGGTGCTGTTGGTGGCCCCTTTGGCATTTTCTTGCTGACTCCACTCCGAAATGCCTTGACGTTGGCAAGCCAGTATCCAGATGGTGCCGCCCTGGACTTGTACGAAAGCGTCTTTGCTGGTGGCTTCGCGAAGGGCTGGACAGGAGGATGGGCATGCGTGCCTCCGAGTTGCCCGCAGTTCATCGTGATGGGGCCGCTTTTCCATTTCCTGAAGGATCTGCTTCACTCGGCTCCTCTTGCGGTTGTGTGCAGCTCCTTTGCCGAAAGCACCATTTCATACCCATCCCAGACCATAAATGCACAGATGGCTTACAATGCTGATCAAGAGTTGGTTGGCGGCGCACAGGTGCCACTTTGGAGCCAATTCTTGCCATGGGGTCCTGGGTCTTCTGCGCATGTGCTGCGGAACATCGTGGCGCTGAGTGGGCTGCGGGTGTTCTCTAAGCCCTGCCAGGCAGGGATCGCTAAAGCAGCAGAGGCTGTCGGCGTGCCTCTTCACTCAGAAGCGCAGCAGTTCATCGGTGACTTCATCGCATCCATGGGATCTGCTATCCTGAGTGCGCCCCTCAATCAGCTCTACAATTTTGCGGTCACTTCCAATGAGTTCATGGCATCTGGGATGTTTCACAGGCTGACGCTCGCAAGACGCTTCTTAGTCGATGCCTACATCATCTTCGATTCGGAGGATCACTGGACGGTGTCGCCGACGCTGGGCCGGGACCTCTTCATGCGCTGCGCCTACATCGCCACGCTCTATGCACTCTTTGGGGCCATCGAGCGCCTCTTCGTTGCCGTGTGGAAGCACTTCCACAAATAATTATGTGCGCGTCCAATGTGGGGCGCGTTGGATTGCATCGGTGTCTTGTATAAGCCTTGTTGCAGCTGCTGATACCAGATGTGCTGTCACAGTGTGCATATGAAGTTGATGGCTGCCAGCACAGGGTAATAAGAGAGTGCACGAGGCGCGTGCTGCTTCTGAGACCTGAGGATCAGAACTTGAAGCCGTTGTAAGCCATAGCCCGAGGCCGAACAGCGAGGGAGCGTGATAGTCGAAGCAATGCTGCATCCTGCTATCAAATGTCATTGCAAAAGGTGCGACTTGGCCGGATAGCATCCAGGCTCTCGAGGCCACGTCAGCTGGTGGAATTTCCTTTTCTAATCTTTGCTTGGAGTTTAGGGCTTGCACATCATGTTTATGGCCGGTTCGGCTTGCAGAAGTTCACAAGAACTCACGAAGCCACTTTGTTCAGTGAGCCCTCACTCTAGGATCCCTGTGATATATAACGTGCCCTGTGCATTCATGAGGCTGCATGAGGTTTGGCTTCAGGGGGGCATTGGGCACTTTGAATCCTTGGACAGCAAGCGTCCACACAATGAAGCACAGGAGTGGCTTCCTGCGGCCATGTGATCCTTTCACTGTCACTTGTGACAGGCAGTCGAGAGCTTGCTTATTGCCAAGGTGCGTTTGCCTGTTTTGAGGGTTGTTCTTGGGCTCCTTGAGGCCCAACTTGCTCTGGCTTGCAACGGTATTGCGGCTTGGGGCCGCGGTTTGGTTGCAGTGTAAATTCAACCCTAGGCTTGCGGCTTGTCTTACGCTGAACATGAAAACAAGAGTACGAACAGCACCCGCTTGCACAAGAGCTCGTGCCAGAAGTCAAGTTCTACTTGAGACTCGACTTTGCATTCAGCAAGAGATATGGGGTCATGGGGAACCGGACAGCGGCACATAGTGCAGAGGGTCTAACATGCCAGCTAGCGTTGGCCTGACCGCCAAACACCAGAAGATACCAGAAGCCCCTTACGAACTGGTGTTCTGAGGGACAGGTCCAAGCTCAGAACATTTCCTGAGATCAATGCCTGTGGCTTCTCGTTCTTTGGCACGCTAGCATGGCTTGATGCCGTCAAACAATGAATGGTTGTCGAATGACATTCCAAAATGATGACCCGGAATTTGGGAAGGTTGCTTGCAAAGCTGCTTTGATGAGAAGTCAACACATCACAGCGAGTGCAAGCTGGTTTTCAAATTCTGGCACGCGTTGCCTGTCAGATTCGTCACGACACGCCATGTGAGGCAAATCCAGACGCCACAGATGCTTTTGATCGGACGCCTTTGGAGGCCCGTGCCAGCATGTGGCCGCTGTCTTCGGCAGACCTGAGAACGGCATGTGGACATTGGAAATGTTGACCCCGAGGGCTCTCGTGCTCTTGCACTCTCGCGGGCAGGTTGCCGCCGAGATGGCCTGTGCTAAAGACTGTGAAGACCCAACCCCTGCTCGGGCCTCAGGGCTTTTCAGCGCTTTCAGCTGCTGATCTTCGGGAAACCGGCCTGAGTGACAGTTTATGGGTTTTTTTGAAAGTGCCGTTCAGAGCGCTGCCTTGGCTCTCTGGGTGACGGGCATGCGGCACAGAGCGTAAACGTTTTGAGAGGGTAGTAAAGACTCTTGCGATGCCATGCGAGCCTTACTGCACAGTAATTCATGCAGCCAGAGGTGTATGCACTCCATCCACCTAGCAGCGCAGGGCGCACGCATTCTGCCTCAGGTTCTTTCGCTTTGCGCTGCGCTGCTGCGTAATGGCCGACCTCAGAGAGCGGCCGCATTGCTCAGTGCAGTCAAACCCGGGCCCGTAAGTGTAAACCCCGATTCATTCTCCAGTTGCCCTGCCGGAATCCCTGCTGAGTGGTTCGTCCAGCTAGGCTGGTGCCAAAGAAAAACCCTGATTCCTTGAGGTCTGGTAGATGTCGATCGTGAAAACATGCGAAAACGACTTGGGAGAGAGATCATCAAACAAGCGGCATACTTATTTTAGTCACAAGATACCTGGCCATGTGGAGCCACCCTGTGCCTCAAAATTCTCAACCTCCCGGAACTTCCCAAAACATTGACCTCCAGGTTCAGGGCTGTTTCAGGCTATAGAGATGTTCCTCTGCAAAAGGGTGTCTTTACCAGGGTTTGCCAAAAAAGGGACTGCCTCGTGTAATGGTCGAAGCTCCTGCAAGGTCAAGTTTGCCAAGCAAGCCGCTAGTACAGCACTAGGCCGGGCTGTCAAATCACAGGGCAGTCGAGTGCAGGTTTCAGAGCCTCTTAAAGGAAGCTGGCTGGCGATTACTGCTTTTTTACATCATGCAGCTGAAGCTTGAGCTCTGACCCAGCTACATCCGAAAGCCCGTGGCAAGGCAGCGCTCTGATCACTTTTCTGCAAGATCGAAAAGTCGAGCTACAAGTGGAAGGCAGCCATCACGGCGAAGTGGGCTATAACGGCCGGGGGTTTGTTTGATGCCAGTGGTTTGCGCTCCTTCCATTTCTAGGTTCCTCCGTGGTGTCTCATTCCCTTTAGTCGGAACTAGGTTCCCCAAAAGACCCCATTGAATCGTTTAAAAAAGGGGTTTCCAATGGTCTTAGGTTACTGGCAAACCCAGACAGGTTTTGTCACTTGCCGCTCGGAGTTTGGGTTTCGCACGCTCGCTCTTCGTGCCAAAGGTCTGGCTTTCGGGCTCAGGGGTTCCATTCCCGGAGTGCGAGCACGTCCTTCAGCGAGTGTTGAGCCAAACCCCTGATACACAACATACACCACCCGAAAGGTCACAACAGTAGTTTAGAGTTGACAAACGCGATGAATATGATGCATCGTAGAATCTATACCTATATATATATATATGTGTATCTATGTTTATTCAGATTTTTGTATGCGTACAATAGTATAGTGCATCATACAACATCCTCGGGGGCCCTAAGTGAGGAGGTGGGAACTCCCTGTGCCAGGCGAGGACTGGAAGCCTCCCGAGGAAGAGGCCCTGTCGGTAAGGGTTTAAAGTTTAAAGGGTTCAGGGTTTGCCCTCCCGAGCCGATGTGGCAGAATGCTTCGGTGCTCGTACCTCTGTTCGCAACACACGTGCTGCCCAAGCCTAGCTGGACCGACGCCGTGCTTGTGAACAAAATGAACCCCTGACTGATGCTTTGAAGGCTTTCGGGGCAATAGTGACAAGACGAAGCCTAGTCAAGTAGCCATTGCCAACAATGTGAGCACCGCCCATGCCCAGGCCCCTGAAACCTGTGAAGATGCGCCAGCAGGTACGGTGCCAATGTCTTGTTTCACAAACTGTGTGTTGAAGCTTAGGGTTCGGATCTCACAGCGGGCTCAGACTTCAACAGGCCATCCACTAAACAGATTGTAAAGCAAGCCATCCTTTCGCTATTGACTCCCAAATGTAAGTACCTGCAGTGCAGGAGTACAAGACTGCGTCAGCACTGCTGCTGTCTTTGGTGAAGCAGACAGCTGCACAGTTACAGGTAGGTTTGTGGTCAGAGCGTCCACAAAGGGATGCCTGGACCAGGGGTATTTGGGTTGGCAGCTCCTCTGTGCCTTCTTGAAATTGAGGCCCCGGAGAGCAGGGCTCAATGGCTCAACCTCAAGCAACTATTTCGTTAACACGCGAAAGTTTCTGAACAAGGCTTCCACAGCAGGCCGGCACATCCTTTGCGCAGCTGCAGCTGGGGACCCCCAAACCTGAGCCTTGTTCCCTTTCAGGCGAGAGCGTCAAGCCTGATGGCCCCAAACGCGCCTCACACTCGGAGCTGGGGAAGGTCTGGATCGCATTGGCCCTATGTCGACAGTAGGCCTGTGCAGGCAACAATCCTTGCATGGTTTGCCTAAGCCGACACCTTAAGCTGGCATCAGCAGAAGATGAAGCAGTGCTGTGGGTCAAGAAGCAGACGCCGCAACAACATGTCTACCTCCAAAGGGACATTCCGGGTTTGGGGGGGCTTGCGGCGTGATTCGGTTGCTTCCTTGCATGCATCAGAAGAACACTATCCCAAGCAGTGAACACCCACGGTAGAACAGGCTCAGACCTAACTCCTGCTTGAACTTGATGCAATGCGCACTCATGGTGTGTGGTGTAAATTCTCTTCGAAGGCATGGGAATGCCCTGATCGGCTGTATCACCATCTGGTTCTGTGCGTTGTTCGGATGTAGGTTTGACGTCCAGGAGTTTGCTCGTTCGTTGCGGCTGCCCTGGTCTGTTTTCTTCTAGAGCTTGGCCCCAAAGTGCGCCAAATCATGAATAATACCATAGACAGGTCAGGCACTTGGCAGTTGTTGCAAGTTCTAGGCGGGAGACTTGAAGCATTCACACACGCTGCGGCTAGTCAACATCCTTGTCTGTAGCCTTAGCTTGTCTTCTGGGGTTGTACAGGAGAGCAACGGCAAATGTTTTATGTAGTTCTCCAGCTTGAACCACTTGAAGTCGAACTGTCCGTGCCTTTGCAGCGCACGGACCTTCGTAGAACCGGCTCCTGCCAAAGATGCAGCCAGCCTCTGCGCCAGCCGATGGCGCGCTCCACAGGAGGCCCGCGTGGATTTGGCGCTTTGATGGAGTAGTCCTTGCTGCCCTTCTCTCTAGATCTTACGACAATAGTTGAACTTTAAACTTTTTGGGTTTCCATGTTTAGTAGGAATACTAAAGTTCAACCTTTTCTTCCCTTGTTAGAGACAGGCAGCTTCCAGGAGATGTTGGTTCCTAGCCTGGCTTGTCCGAAGTCCATCGAAGCTGGACGAAAGTGCCTGAAGCCGACAGGGACCACACTGTCGGAAAGTGAGATGTGCCCTCAACAGCTATGTAAGCTGTAGACTCTTTGGCTTTGCACATCAGTTCAAGATCCAAGAAACCACGGATGGCTTTCTTCCCCTCCGCAAAGAAAAGCTCCTTGCCAACTCGGTAGAGTCAGGAGATTTTTTCGGACTTCTGGCAGCCACCTCCCTGGCCCGCCAGGGCCTCCAGAGGGGTGCTGCGCATGAATCTCCACGGTTGTAGTAGTC